GGTTCGAACCCTGGATGTACCAGAAATGTCCTTCAGCGAGGATGCGAGTGGTTGTCTGTTTATGTGCGGCCCTGCGATGGACTGGCGACCTGGATATATTTTGTATGGGAAGTTTTATATTCACAAGTGCAAATGGAAAGAAAGAAAATAAACCACAATTACCACTTTTTAAGATACAAATTACACATTACATACATTTTTTTATTTGGTTTAAAGAATGAAAAAGCCAGTCAGAACAGTTAAAATATGTAATTATTTTTCTATAATGCCTTTGTTGTTTGTCACATGACACCACTTTGTTCTTTAGTTATAGTTATTCATGTTATATTTTGTTATTTTAAGAACTTTTATCTTGCTTATAAAATGTCTCTCATCCTTTCGCCTCTGAGATGACAAAACACCCGAGGCATACCACAGTCATATGAAACAATCAAACTACTTATTTTTTAATTTTAATTCAGATCACCACTAAAAAGGAAAAACTTATTAAAAGACCATCCTTGAATCCTGTGATATGAGATTTGGAGGATAAAAAATGGACTTGTTACAGTTAAATCTGTGGGATCGAGACACTGAATGCTTGCTGTAAGTTATTTTTAAAGGTATCAAACAGCAAGAGTTTACCTTTAATTCATGATTCAGAAAGACACGCTCAGTATTTACACAGGTCAACAGGAACATTTATTCTCTCAGAGTGAAACACAGCAGTCATGAATCCAGCGGGGGCGGCGGTGGCACACTACGCCTCTCCAGCTGAGGGTGGAGCCAGCTTGGTGGGGTCGTAGTAGTTCTCCCCTATGAGAGGAAGTCCCTCCTTCTCTCTTTGCTGGATCAGACGCTCCGCCTCCCTCCTGGCCCACTTCCGCATGCTGGAACACACAAAAAACAATAATAACCACAGAATGGATAAAAGAAGTAGACGTAGTCACCGTGATTTTACCCGTTGGTTTGTTTCTTTGGAACCAGACATGACCATATCTGGCCTCCCCTGCTTTCTGGTCTATTTTCCTCTAAATGGGACAATAAATGAACATCATGCTGTGTAGAAGAAGACTTACATTATAAACATTTCATTCTTCCACTAAGACGAGTTTATTTTGTTGACGACCACCAGAAACGGATTTGAATGCATTAAAACTTGTAGTATGTGTCTCCATAATTAAATATTCATGACTCAATAAGCAACACATCTTCAGGTGCCATTAAGAATATAACACTGAAAAACTTCTTCATCAGGATTGCGTAGGCGTGGTTGGATCAGGCTTGATTTGAACTGTCATCAGATTCTTGGTAGCTCATCGCTGGAATTCACCAACAGTTCACGTGGTGAAATGTTACTCAGCTGGAACTCTCTGCTGCACCATTACATCAGGCTAAAACACTAATTATTTGCTGGTCCAAGTTACTAGAGAAAATCAGTGTTTCATTATAAATATAGTATGTTATGTTTTCAGGTATTTGCCAGTTAAGAATGTTACTGTATATTCTATTATGTACATGTTTGTGGTTGATTCACACACACACAAACAATATATATGTTTATGTCCTTAACGGTCATGTGATCCCTGGATAGCAGAGAACAGGTTAATGCTTGTTAGCTGTTGTTGTGTTGGGATCTATGTGCATTGCCTCGGTTCATTCTGCAAGAGGGCAGAGTGACTGGGCTTCCCCCTTTCCTTATCTAAACAATCAATAATTAATCACAAAGAAAACATCAGACTCAGATGGAGTCTTGGATGTGAAATAACCAAAGCTGCAGTAACTGTTCCTGTCGGACTCCATCACTGATCATAAGGAGGAAAGAAGTTTGTCTTGAAGTGGCCCCACAGGCTTCGAGTGTGGTGGTTCCTCAGGGGGTCTACATCAGAACCAGACTTATGTCAGCTTATCCTGTGCTCAGATGGAGACTCACCCGTGGTCCGGCAGGTAGTGGATAAACGTTCCTCCGATAACCAGAGCGACCGAGATACCGAAGAAGAAGCCCACCCTCATGTTCCACTGATCCACCACGGGGTCGCTGGAAAAGCCATGGTAGTCCGGATTCTGACAGCACACAAAGGGGAACAACAAGAGAGACAACAGATACAGAACTGGACTCACTGATGACTGACTGATACAGACTGGTGCAATAACAAACTGAATCACTTCAGTCTCTGTTGGGAGGAATCAGACATTATTCCATTACGTAGTTAGGTCTTTAGTCACGTTCAGTAATAACAGCCACACACACGTTGTCAGAAGACTGACGTAATAACCTGAACAAAGATAAAGAGACTTTAGGCTAAACACGGCCGAAGATCCAACAGCTGGTCTGTCTGCTCCCAGACAGTTTTACACTGACACAGGAATCTTTCAAACCAGTTTACTGAGACGGGAACATTTCTCTGACTAAAGTAAAGTCTGTCATAAAACCCCGGGAACGCCCGACTCAGCTGTAGATCTGCCCAGTACTGGCAGCCCAGAACACACCAGTTTAATCCACATGTCCAGAGCTCCATGCAGCGACAGACTGTCGGACTCCAACAGGCCGGTTCCTGAGAGAACCTCAGATGTAGTCTGATCGGCTGTTTGCTTCTTCAGACTCTTTAGTGTAGTTTAGTGACTTATTCCACTCTGACTAGCACTCACAGAGACCTTTCAATTCAGTTCTTCAAGATTTATTGATCCAAAGTTAATAAAATGATACTCCGTGGTTTACTTTCAACAGCGGATCAAAAACTGAACTTATATTTCAACAACGCACAGTGGTCACTCAACTGTTTACTCCTCCTCTCATTCAAAGACAGAAACACCTCCCAAACAATAAAAAGGAAAGAAAAGAGATCACACGGCTCGACGTCCATAGCAACAACAAAAACTACTACGGTACAAAAGGTGGCATTTTACTCAAGGTATCGAATGAAGTACTATGTTGGAATTGGTATTATTTTAAGGGTACTGGGTTTGGCACTGGTATCGGAAAATCTTTAAAGTATACATACATACAATACTGTGTAGAGAAACATACACACAGTACTGGGGACTCACCTTGACATACTGGCTGACCTCACCGTGTCCAGCCGGTGCCGCAGCGGGGTGCAGCTCTGTAACAGCGGCCGACCCTGCGGCCCCGCTCGGCTTGGACTGGGAGACGAACCGGGCCGGTGGATTAGCGAGTAACCGGGGAAAAGCGAGCCCGAAACGCGACAGTCGGGTCAACATTTCGCCTGTTTGTGAAGGAGACTGTTGCCCCGGAACCGGAAACTGAAGGTTTTTAACCCTTCTTCTTCTTCAATTCACAGATGTTAAAAGGCGCGTTACCGCCACCTGGAGGCGGTCGCCAGCACTGCACCCTGAGGATCCGGCTACACCCACAGGGACATTGCAGAGCCTCAGCACTACCACATAATAATTATAACAACAACAAAAACAATAACAATAATAATTTGTTCATAATCAAGCTCATGTTATATAACAGGGTCACCTTGAAATTGTTTGTGCTGTAATAATTAATATAACAATAACAGCAATAATACAACAAACTGAGACTTAAGAAGAGATTTACAAGAAGCCCCTAAGTTACCTACCTGAGATCTCCAGGTAAACATCCAGGTCACAGAGAAGTCACGTGTTCTTTCAGGTTAAACTTTTATCATGCTGCAGTGTTTTTAGCTGTGAAGCTATTCTATTATGAGTGGGTTCCTGTTTGTCCCGTCTCACGTTCATGCACGAGGACACTCTTGGTAGGTGACACGATACACAGTGACACTAAGGTAATGGCAACACGCCAGGAGAGGCTGCAAAGGCCAACAAAGACAGAGAAGAAGAAGACTCATAAACATGGATGTAAACAATACTGGGGGAAAAAACACTGAATACTTTTGTTTATTTACAAAAAAACTCCACAGGGCCTCATTAACAGACTGGCTCACTGTCATAAAATCTGATGAGGACGTTCACGGTGCCCAGAGGAGGATTCTTAATGTCGGGGCTACCCTGATCTTCCCGACCCTCAGGTTGCCTTGACAATGTGATCCACGGCAAGATACAACAAATAATGGCTGGATTTCAACTTATTTCTCTGGTTGTTGTCTTAAGAGGGGCCTTTTACTATAGCATCATCAAAATCAACTCGTTCAACCAAACACTGTCAACAGATCTCACTCAGAGAAAACACAGAGTTAAAAAGCACATACAGGAACACTATACCTTATCTTTCAAGTTTGAATGAATTTTCACATGAATCTGTATTTCATAAACAGAATAACATATTTTCACTTTATTGAATGTACTGTATGTAAAAATGAACCAGAAAGGGAGATGTGTGCTTTAATATCCTTCCTATATTACTGCATTTAGTAATTTACTTAAATGTAAAAAAAAGTTGAAACAAAAAACAAATTCCTGACATTTCAGTGCTGCAGTCCAGCTTTTCTCAGTTGTTTCCACAGTAACACTTCAGACTCAATAAGCACAACCTCTTACTCATGTACTCTAACCCTAACCCACACTCACATGTAAGAGTATGAATGAGAAGGAAAGAGCTTTGACAACATGACTTCAGTTTGGACCAATTCTTATTAGCAATTAAAAAACTGTAGTGTGTTTAGGTTCTTGAAACGTTTACACAGGTCGTAGTGAACTCACACCCTCTTGAAAGCATGTGAGGGCCTGAACTGTGACCACTGTGGCTACAACTGGTAATTATGGGATTATAGGACATGTCAAAACCAGAATGAAGGAGTAGAAGCAGCACACAGCAACAGCTATCTTCAGTTAGCTAACATTAGCCTCCATTAGCTCTGGGCCACACCCGAGTGTTTCACTGCTGATAGATTCATGTTGTTTCTTCTTCTATGGTGTCACAGTAAGTCCAGTGTCAGGCCAACATAACGAATATTGCTACCAATCAAAGTTACTTGCATGGTATGGTACGGTATGTTCACCCCGTGTGAATAAGGAGGATTATCAGCATCATTCACCTTGTAGTCAATTCAACAAACCATCCTTCACTCACTCAGTTGCATTGATTATTTATTTGTGTCCAATATACAATCAGTAACATTGTTCTGTGTTGTATGATTAAAAAGTTTAACTTTTGTGCACATATATAATTTAACAAGATAAACAAATATTTTTTTTTGTTTGGTTTTTTACAAATGCACATATTGCTAGCTCACGGCCAGTCCAGTCACTTCAGTTCGTCTTCAATATGCTCTTAAATACTGATATAGAAAAGGAGGCAAAGCCAAATGTAAGATTCATAAGCATAACAAGGGTCTAAAGACACGAGAATCACTGGAGTTTCTGCTTAAACCCGAAGCACCCGTCAAAGAGGTGGAGCCATCACACTCTTCCTGTTCTGCTTGCAGTAGGGCTGCAAGTAACCATCATTTTTATTGTCGACTGTTTTCTCAATTAATTGATTAGTTGTTTAGTCTATAAAGGTGGCAGAAAATGTCAATCAGTGTTTCCCAAAGCCAGAGAAGACATCCTCAAAGATGTTTACTTTACTGTCACAGGAGTAAAGAAACCAGGAAATTTAAGAAGCTGGAATCAGACTCACACCGAATAATCGATAATCAAAATTAATCGTTGTAGCTCTACTTTACAGACTACTGAGGATGTACAGCACACAGGCCACTCCAAACCAAGAACGTCTTAAAGGTACACAATAATGAGAAACAAACAAACAGTGAGATCAACTTCCCCAAATGTTCCCACACAAGTCCAAGGTCCGAAATTCCAACAACGGGCTGGAGGAGGTGGGGTCATGGGGGACAGGAGGTGAATCTCTCAGGATTTCTTAATGACAGACCTTCCGCTCTCTCTGCAGCCATGAGCTTCATCTACATTCATTTCATCCTCATCACTACCAGATGAACATTTTCAAGTCCTGAAAACAAACTAACCTCATGGTTCCATGTGAGCACAGTGCTGCTGACTTCAGATGCATCTGATCCATATCTGGATCAACACAGGATCAAACCTTTGGATGGCCGATGACCACTGGTCGTTAAATTAAATCTTCATGACGTCTGCCTTACATCACATTACATTTAAATACATTTTTATGACCTGTCTGCTTCATTTGGAACATTCACTTTCTAATGCCTTTCTAAGGATCAGCAGGAAAGATATTGATCATACAGCCAGGACTCTCAGCAGCAACCACACAAAGCAAAAGACTGCCTAAGTGTGATACCTGCGTCAGATTAGACTCATTTAGACAAATATGTTGATGATTTCTTTGAAATCAGAATACAGTCTTTGGGAAACAGCAACAACGACCCACCACGGCATTAAATAATTGCAGTACGCTGTGGTTGAAGTCCAACACATGCAGGGTATCACCAGAGTGCAGATCAACAGCATCCACGTGTCCTTTAGAGTGACGCCAGATGACAAGGTGTCGATCAAGATGATCAGCTGCTTTGTCCCATTGCTCTGCACCAACTGTCCCATCTGAGACGCGATTTCGTGAAGAACAGAAAACATCACTTCCTCAGGTATCAGCAGTCCTCGCTTGTGATTGGCTGAGCCTCTTTCCCTTTACAACACGTTTACAGAAGCAGGCCATTTAAGCAACTTTAAACTTTAAACAGTTTTACTGAAAGCAGAAAAGGCAAGAACATCAAGCTCATGGCAACGAGATGGGAGAATAAATAAAAAGACACTTTCCTTCATTTAGGCTACAGTATACATCTTCAGTGGTCTGAAGGGAACCTATAATGTACTGCACCTTGGTTCTGTTTAGATCCACCTCAGGGTATCCTACCATGCCAACAAGTCCACATGCAGCAGCACTTTGGAAGAGAAAAAGGAAAAATTAGGCCACATAGCTTCAATGTGTGGGATTAAAGATCTGCTCCACTGATTTAATGACGAACTGTGGGTTCAGATTAAAGCAGCAATGGTCAAGTTATTAACTGGGTGAAGCTCCAAAAACATTGGATCCTCCATTCCCCATAATGTAATTCAATAGGGTATCTTCATTAGACCTTCCCTGCTTGGTGAATGCCCAAGTCTTTCAAACACCGCACCCCCCATGTTGTGACGAGGGCTTTCTGCTATATGATTTGCAGTCTGCAGCTGAGATAGCCCTGATGACATCACTCTGACATCATCAGGGTCATTTTCTCAAGGTGTCTTCAGACAGAAAGCGAAGCAGATTGTAAAACATTAGTGCCAAAACAGGTCAGGACAGGTTTCAAGCTTTGGCGCCCCATCAAACTAGAACACAGCGGAATAAGCTAACGCACTTAATCGAAGGCAGCGACTGACTGCGGACCGCACTGCATCGCTCTGATGGAGCAGGTTATACTAAATGGGATGGCGAGACACAGCTTCCTCTCGTTTGGCTCTCCGGTTCCTTGTTCCCTCAAAGGGCGGTGCTGTCAAGACAGGCTGAATTGGTGCCAATTTGTGAGTTCACCAAGGATCAACTCTACACTAAAGCTCTGCTAATCCTCTGATCGCTGCGATTCATCTGAGATGATCTGATTTTCAGCTAAAAACCTTGTTGTTATAAATGCTGGTGTAATCAAGCGTTAAAGTCTGTTCAGACAGAAGGCAAAGCGCACTTTAGCTGTAGGTAAAACACAGCGACGGTGTGTTTGTGGGACTGATTTCAGAGCTCACCAGGAACTCCAGTTCTTTCTGTTATTTCAGTGCACGTCTTCCTCTAGTTGATTCATAAAGGATGAACAGGAATCCATCTTTAAGCACTCTTCCATCTTATTTCTATGCAGCTTAAATTCATGTCTGAACACACTCTCAGCAGCATTTCTTTCCACTATGTATATGTATTGTTGATTTACCCCTTAAGGTTAATGGTGACAGGCTAGGTCAGGAAGGTTAGGAAGGAAAGTATGTATGCTGGCTGTGTCTCGTTTCCAAATGTTATCATCAGGTTATTTTGTGACAAACTGATGACTTTGTCTTAATTAACAAGTCTTGTTTCTTTGAGAGATCCTTTATGAACCTTGAGTGCTTTACTTAAGACACTTTTGTGGCTTGTTGGACATAACATGAGCTTGTAAACAAAGTTCATAAAGAGGGCAACACAGGCTAAATGCACCAAGTGGCTAAACTTTTGTTGGTTCTGGCAAAACTAAGACAGCTGATCTGTCTGACTGTGAAACGCCTGAACCACAGGGTTTAACATTTCATGCATCAACAACCTCAGAGGACACAACGGGAAATGAAGCACTTTCACCTTCTCTTCAAGGACAGCCAACAGAAAGAGCTTAACTTGAAAGGTTGATGACAAAGTTAAATACTACGATGACTACAGACATAAGGAATATATGTATTCAAGCATACACAGAATGAGGAGACTATTAACTGCCCAATTCAACGTGGAAGGCTGACCAAAAAAGTTCTACACCTCCAACGATCCACAAACAGTCTACTGAGGAGTTCACTGACGATGGGAGGCCAATGATGCATGATGGAGTCAGGAGGTGGGAGAAAGGGAGACTTGAGCTGTTGGGGATGGAATGGTGGTTGCGAGGTTGTATGTTGAGTTTGGAGATGATGACTGAGGCGAGGCCAAAGGGCTGTAAATGGGCCGGGCAGAGATGGTTGAAGAAGGGGAGTGTTGAGTAGCTGTTGTTGGAGAGTCCAAGCTAACCTCGTCCCCTTCTTCCGAGTCCCAGACTTCACTCTGCAAGTAGTCTGCGAATAAGGCCTTGGCTCGCTGCAGCACCCTGCTCAGGTTGTGGCGCCGCACAAGGCGATCAAAGTGCATGGCCAGCTCATTATAATCCAAGCTGTTCTTGATGATGTGGTCCCGGTGCTCCAGCAGGATGGACAGGCACAGGAACAGCATGAAGGGGTTGCCTTTGCCGAACTCTTGAGGAGGCGGCAGCGAACACGGTTTGATGCTGGCAGTCTCAGCTTTAGAAGAACTGGGCGTGTTAGCTGTGGTGCTAGGGGATTTGTTGCCTGGTGAGGGGAGATTGTTGAAGGACGACCTGCTTCCAGACAGCGAGGGGCCTCTCCCAAAAGACAAAATGGGTGAAGAGAGTAGGGACCGAGTGTGGGAGGGAGATGCGACAGATGTTTTTAAAGTGGGGGTCGTGGGCGAGTTAATCCCTGTACTGCTGAGCACGTGGGCAGAGGAGGTCAATACTTTTGGGACAGTCATTGGAAAGACCTCTCCTCCGCTGGTTCTGGACGGGGATGTGGGTTTTGGAGGAGAGTCTGGAGAAGCACCTGGCCAGCTAGAGGGTGAAACTGAAGATGTGGGAGAGAGAGAAGGGCCAGTTTTCCACATTGGTAGGCCACTGGGAAAAAGAGGAGGAGATGACATTGGAGAGAAACCATTGTCACAATTTTTTATGAGAGGCGTTCCCTCTCCTGGGTCCTCCTCACTGTCAACTGTGGACTGGCGTGTTGGGATGCTTGTTACTGATTTTGAAGCCACCAAACGCTGTGGCTGCTCAGCATCCTCCATATCAAAGCTGTCTTCACTCCGGGCAGTATAGTATTTAAACTCTCCAAAACTCATTTGCCTCTCAAACGGAGGGGCCTTTTCCGTGGTCACTTGAGGAGTATCACATTCACTGACCTCGCTTCCCTTTCCGGCGGCGAGGTCTTTTTCTTCTACGACAGCATTCCTGCACACATCTGCTTCCTCTCTCGAAGGCCTCAGCATATGTCGCCTACGCTGCTTCTCTTTCTGTTCCTTATCATCTCCGAGGCAATTCTCCACCGGCTTGTCCTTTTCCTCGTCTCTGCAGGACATTGTTTCGTTGGTTTCCAGTGATGGACCCAGAAGCTCCACTTCAGTTTCAGGAGGATCCGGAGGCAGTGAGCTCCAAGTGACCTCCAACATTCTCAAAGCATCGTCAAACGCAAACTCCCGCTTGAGCTCCAGAAGCAGCCAGCGGTAACAGAAGAAGAGGTCGTCGGCCCCTCGGGACACCAGGTAAGAGTAGAACTCAGGATCCGAGTACTGCAGAAGCAGCTTCAGATGCTGGAACTTAACGGACATGAGCTGCCCATCTGGCCGGAAGTTCCCCTCCAGGCGTTTCATGATGCCACAAAAGCAAATGAAGGCATGTGCCTCATTGTCCATTACCGCAAGTATAGGGGAGGCAATATCACTCATGCCTTGACAGTATGATATCTGAAAAACAACACATCCACACAGAGTTACAGAAGTCTCCGGTGAGCAAAGAAAAACTGAATTCATGTAGATATACACATGCTTTTAGCTTGCAGACTTCAGGGAAATTTAAAGACATAAAGAACTAAACAAGAGAAATCTTTCAGTTCAAGATGTTTATCACGCACATAGAATCTGATTTATCAATTTCACAAACCAACTCTACTGCAGTGACGCTGACCTGTTAGGTTTCAGCACCATGAAAAGTATGTTTGTTATTAATACAAATAAAAACTAATCTGTAATCTATGAATTACCCAAAGTCTGTTTTGGTAATTTGATCATCATGTAGAGTGAGTCATCTTTCCTCACACTGTGTCCTTATTTCTATAACAGTTTGGCTCGATGGAACTTTACTTCTTGTTGTGGTGATCTCAGGTTCTCTGCTCCGAGACGTCAGTGGAGAGAATCATGATTGGGAGCTATATAATTGAAATTGAATTGAAATTAAACTTATTATAATTAACTGTATGGCAACAAATCAAATGTGTGGAAACCACGTGGAACACAATAACAGGTGCGACTCCTCTCTTCTGTCTTTTTTATTTGTACATAACAATGTACAAACCTATTATTTAACCCACTTCTCATAGCTTCAGCTACGTCAGTTTCACATTTGTCTACATCAATAAGGGTTCCATGAAAAACTGTGGTGATTCCAGGAAACCCTATCAGTCTTTGGGTTTTGATTATTTTTAACTTCATTTTCTTCTAAAGTTAACGCTTAGAATGTATAATGTTTCTATAGATTCAGTGCACGAAGCTTTAGCTGCAGCCTGAACCCCATTATTTTAGCCAATATTTGTTCACAGGAAGTCAAACTGTCCCTGTTAACAGCAGCTGTGTTAGATGTTAGCAGCTCCTGTTAGCCGTGTACTCATGGACGTACAGACAGCTATCACTTAGTTTGATGCGGATACTCTTATTTTTAAGTGGATTTATGGAGGTTGGATATCCTCAGAAGGTTGCGCTGAATCTAAAAATACGTGTCTGTGTGTTCAGTTTGACCGAGTGAAGACTCAGAGGAGGAATATGATGCCAGTTGTTTCCATCGAGCACAAACTGTTGTGAGGAACCTAAATGAGCTCCATGTCACTGCTGACAGTGTTGGTTTTCAGAACACCTGCCTGCACCGGTTCACGGCTAACCCACGTCTTCTAAAGGATGCTTTGTTGAGCAGATTCAGACTGAACACATGTACCAGGGTTTCTGCAGGTTTCATCTAGTCAAATTTAAGACCTTTTTAAGACCACTATGAATGAAATGTAAGACCTATGACATGACATCACGACATCAAAAAAAGAAGTCACAAAATTACTTGCAGAGTAAATAAATGTATTCAAAGCAGGGTTGATTGATGTCTACAAAAATTCACGGTATGATGAAAAAATTAAGATGGTATTTTTGTGTTGGGTGTTTGGTGGTTGTCCCCCAAGAATCTTTTTATGTTTTCCAATAAAGAAATATGCAATTCCACATAATTTTGGAACACTGTTATTACCACATCTGTGAATATTAAATAGGAAAATCTAGGGCAGATTTTGAATAAACTACACCCAAAAGCTAAACTTGCTAAATAAGTCTACTGGGTTTGAATTATAACATTAGATCTAGGAAAAGTCATGTGGTTAGTTTTCTCCACAATGATTTTACATTCATGAAGCAGCACCGAGCACTTTTGAGCCTCACCACCTTATAATGGCAGGAAAACCCTGTTAATATGACCTCAGGATCATTACAGAGAGGATTATTCATGTTTGCCTTTTGTGTTTACTGATTTATACATTTGTAGAAATTAACATAAATAATAGGCAACATGAGAACCACCTCCCTTCTGTATAATTACAAGCATTTCATATGTACATGAAAATCCAAAAGAATAATCTCCTCATTAGCTTAAAAGGACTAGTTTGCGTCCCTAATTTGATTTAACGTTATAACCTCAGCTCCTCTGCAGTCAACACCGTCCTTTAAGCTATCAAGATGTACCGTACAGGACAGAGCTGTAACCTGATAATTTAATGCTGATCTATTCTCCGCTAACTTTCTTCCGCTCTCTCTCTCTCTCTCCCATTAGCTTGTCCTTTGAAGAATGAGGGGAGGGAGACGGCCATGATGCCACGCTGAAAATCATTAATGATCGTGTGAAATTTTAGTAGCAGCGCTCATTCATTAAGCAGTGACAGTAGGCTTCAAATACGTTGCTAGCAATTGGTTTGAACCAAGTTTCTTTCGGGCAAGAGTCGCTAAGGTTGCACTTCCCCACAGCTGAAGAATAAATCCGTTTTATATCTGTGGTACAATCTGAAAGAAACATGCCGCAATAACACGACTGCATGTTGGTATTTGTGAATTATATGTGGACTAGCGAAAGAAAAACTACAACACCACGGGAGGAAAAAACATTCTAAAGCGCTGTGGGAGTGTTTCAATGAATATTAGAGGTAGTGTTACATGGATGTTGGAAAATTAAGACCTGTTTAAAATTATTTAAGACGTAGAAAACGAACTTCAGCGAATTTAAGACTTCTGAAGGCCTTAAATTTGTGTACACACCTGTGGATGTGTGATGGCGAAGGTGGTAAGCAGGTCTGTGAGGGCGGTCAGATGTGGACTGTCTTCTGAGCCTGCGTAGTACGGATGAGCCCGGTCCGTCCTCAGGACGTCTTTAAGAACATTTCCACGGATAAATTCGAGGTCCTCGTGGCTGACCCTGGCCGTCCACTCGCTCTTCAGCTGATCATACTCCCTCGTCTTCCTCTTCATGTAGTCCATCCTTTCCTGTCCACTCAGTCCATCGGGGTAGACGTTCAGGAGGTACCGCCACACGACCTAACAACAGCAGAAGTTCCTCACACTCAGGAAGAACCAGAATCAGAAATACTGAACAAACACTGTTTGGCAGAACACGGGGTTTGTATGTCATGCTAATAAAACACAGGTGCGACACCTTGCGCAGTGAAGGCTCCACACCACCATGGTAGATCCGCAGTCTGAGTTCCTCGGGTCGTGTCAGCTGACCCTGTCCGTTGAGGTAACTGTGAAACTCGGCGTCACTCAGAGGGGGCTTGAAAGGCTTGATCTCCTCCCCGTACGACCAACTGAAGGCCTGCTGGACTTTGGACAGGGTCCGGCCCACCTGAACACAAGTGAAACAAGAATATGAGCCAAGAGCCTGAATCTCAGAGAAGATATGGCTGCATGAGGAAGGTTAAAGAAGCTGCAGGAACCTGGGACAGCAGAGACTGGGTGAAGGGAAGAGCTGCAGAAGCCAAAGACCTGGTCCTGTCTGCGAGAAGCTGCTCAGAGCCAATCACGTCTTTGGGGCTTATGATATCCCAGTCCTCCATAACGGGACCTGCAGTGGAACAAACAGTAGTAGACTCAACAACATTTTAGGTCTCTGTCTATTTTATTTAACCTGCCTCTCTAAACCTGCTAGAGATGTAAACCTGCAGAGGGTTCACACATGTTCTCTACTGACATTAAGTCAACAATCTAAATGTCTCTCTGTGCTGTTCAGAACCCCTTAGCGGTTCCTTTTCTTCCTTTATGTCACTATGTTCATCTCTCACTGACAAGCCACTACTTCTGGGGCTGCACAATTAATCGAATATTGATCTTGATAACGATTCTGGCTTCCCACAATTAAATGAACACGATGGACTGCGTGCTCCGCTCATAGAAAACCCTGCTGCATATCAAATCAAGCGCTTCCAAAACTTACAGCCACAAGGAGGCGAGCACGTACCCTCCAGACTGTCCAGAGTAGAAGAGTAACCTGTCTACTGAGTCTACTGCGTTTGCCTGTGTCGTGTAATGGCTGCGTCGCGGCTGCTGCAGCTGATCCTGGCCATTCTAGTCAATGCTGCAGAGTCCACCAGTCACAGATCTTCACTCCGCAGAGAATACGCAGCTAGTTTATTTTTGACAGAAGCCCCATCAAGCTGCACAGAGCAGATTGAACCCGGGCGGGAAGTCAGACGCAGAATGGCAATGAGAATATGGTCAATTTTCAAAATAAAACACCTTGTGCAGACCCGATCAAAAAGCAACAATAAACAGTCAAACAGACAAAAAGAGAAATCATTTAACTACATAGCCTACATAATCATAGTAGAAGCACAAAAAGGACAAATTAACAACAAGCCAACAACATGCTCCTGAAACACGTCTGGGACGCTTGCAGTGAAAGTTAAAGCCGGGCAGGAGATGGAACAAAACCGCGGCGCAGCAGCAGCAGCCGGACTCAGTGGACTCCAGGTAAAACCTTTTGTTTATAATTTGCTTGTAGGAGATGATGCACTTTAAAGGACCAGTTTTATTTTGATGCAAAGACAACATGGATGTCAATACAGTGGTCTTATTTAAATTTGAAGGTGCAATAAAAATATGATGTCTCTAAAATCAATGACTAATCATGATCTCAATATAGAATAATAGCGATTATCATTTTGGCCTAATCGTGAATCCCTAACTGCTTTCCTCCTCTCTTGGTGTCACTTTGAACAACACTATCAGCTCTCAGCAGTTGGAGTTTCAGTCCAGTGTAGAAGACTACCTACTGACCCCTGCTCTGTCTGACTGGCATTGCACACTATGATGGAAAGTGGTCTGACATGCAGTCTGATTCCTGTTACCACTTACCAAACGTCCTACTAAAGCATGTTCTTTAAATGTGACAGGAAGGCCTGATTTCACCCATATATAAAAATCCTTCCAATGGGTACCTGTCCCAGCTTTATGTTCTCTGTCATCTATTCAGACCATGTTTTCCCCCTTAAGCTTTCATGTGTTGTTGCTTTCTGGATGTGTTCTTACTGTCCTCTGAAGGTTTTATGTCCATCTTCAGCTGCAGATACGGTTTGGCTGCACTGACAAATGCAGCATCCAGTTCCCAGTCAGACACCAAAGACATGTACATTTCAGCGCCACCCCGATCTCGAGACAGGTAGCTGATCCCAAAATTTCGCCTCCTAGAGTGAGAGACGAAACCACAGACTGCAGTTTGGACAGACTCTGTACGCCTTCACGTCTATGCAGGCGTTCTGATCAGCTCTTACCCGTTCAGATCGAAGGCTCTGATCAGTATGTGCTGTAGGACCTCCAGAGATGTTATCTGAGGATCAACTGCGAAGGAGCGAAACTCTGCAGGAAGCACGCCGTCACATTTCTGAAAGGCATCACAACAATCTCTGAAATATCATCACTGACAAACAAACGAAACTGGATGCTGAGGGACAAACAACAACAGAGTCTCTGCTGCACACTACAGTACAATAATAATATAATGACAGTTTTACGGCATTTTTTATAATAGGGCTGGTAACAATATAACAAGTGTTCAATAAATGTTTGATTTAATTCACTTGAATCATGAATGAATCAGCACTTAATGTTTCTATTAAGATTTTTATTTTGTTGAGGAAAAGGGACTGAAAACAGATTTTACTTAATTTTACTGCACATTTGTTGAAATGAAAAGTTCTGAATGTTCTGCCTCAGATTTGTGATGTGATCCACTGTTTGGCATCAAGTGTTTGTTCTGACCAGAGAGAAAAGTTTAAACCACAATTAACTTTCACTCAAGAGCAAAAATCAGCCTTTAAACCCGAAAGAAATGATTTGACATTTATCCTGATAATGATCAATATTGATATGAAGTTTTTTATGGTGATTAAATTTTTTTCCATATCACCAGCCCTACTTTATGATACACATGTGCTGTTGTATTTAATAAACTGTTTTAATGGCTATTATACTGCACTGTACAAAATGTGCAGTACAGAAGGCGTGTACTCAAATGCTAACATTGGAAAAGTAATGCATAGATGTACTAGTACTGTGTTTTTCCCTGAGTGAGTAGTTTCTCCACTTCCACTGTGGGACAACACTGTCCATCAACACCCGGTCAAAACATGCTCACAGCAGGGCGGCCTGGTGCGGCTGAAATAATTATCATGCTATTAAAGATCAGATATGAGGATATATATTATATTAAAATAACTGAGCTGAGAGAAATTCCACGTGTTTCCATTACAGGAGACTTCATTTGGACGACAGAAACATGTTTCTGAAAATATTAGCGCACTGACCGCTGCAGTACACAGTACACATTATGCAGTCCATACATTAGAAACATTGTGTAAAAAATAGTTTATCCCAGTTTCACCATTTCCAACATGCAGTAAAGTAAAAAAATAAGCTGCGAGTTTCCTCGAAGCCCCAAAACACCTCTTCTACGTCAGGTAACATATGACGTCACGCAGTGCTGCCACGCGCGCACACGCACGAAATGTACTGAGCAGGCAGGTGACGTCAACTCAGTCCTGCGAGGCTTCGCCGGGTATTGATAACAGCTTCTGATAGATTAATGTCCAGTTAATGTCAGTTATGGGCAGCTGTTATAGAGGAGTTATTGATCAGCAGACGAAGCCTCGCGCTCTGACTACCTGTCCAGTTCATCGTGTCGACGTGTAGCGCAGTGTGTGTGTGTGTGTGTGTGTGTGTGTGTCTGTCTCTAACAGTACAATAAACAGCGGGATGCTAGTCCGCTAGCAGACCGAGTCTCCGCTACCTGCCCCCCGTCCTACCTTGACCCGGACTCGAACCACCGCCCTCTCTTCCTCGCCCGCCATCTTAGAGACTCCGTGTCCGGACGGGTCGGCTGCTCTGGGCTTTGTTTTCCTGCTACGCTGACATGCTGATCGATAACATGATCGGGTAGCAGTTGCCGAGCTCCTCTCGGTCTGTGTTCTTCTTCTGCGGTGGCTGTATGGAATATGTGGCGTTACGGCGGCGCTACCGCCACCCAGCGGACACACCTGCACCCTGCGGCGCCAACAGGTGGAGCGGGTACTCCGTTCATGTACAAATCAGTCTGTGGTACAAATACTACAACGGAGTCTAAAATTGTGACAGCATGCTTTATTGCCATTAACTTCTATGTTTCTCTATCATCGGGGATCCATGCGAAACATCAAGAGCGTCAGACTTCATCCAGCCAGAGTGAAGGATCACCGAGCGTCTGCAGCGGCACTCCCTCTCCGCACGGGTTGTGTTGCTAAAGTTTTCCCAGGGAGGACAGCCGCAGCTGGCAGCATTAACAACTCATTCATTACAGAATATTATGAAGTTAACAGTGAGGACACAAAAAAAAGGTTCACATCTTCTCAAGCACACTTACATTCCAAAACCATGGTAAGTGTATCCAGAAATCCTTGACCTGTCCCGGTGGGTATAGGCTACGGCGTGTCCCTGCGTATCACGTAGACCACTGCATTTAAGTGTAATTTACAGGTTGTATGTACTTTAATCTAGCCATCTGAAACCTTCATATAAAATGTCTATCTGACTAAAAGTAAAAAAACATTTCGATCTGACATGTGGTGAAGTAGGAGTACCAAGTACAGTAGGCTACTTAGTTACTTTCCACTAAACAAATTGGGCGAGCTGTACCCATGTAAACCTGATCCACGTCAGGAGGGCTGTCTGCAAACCTGATCCATGTCAGGAGGACTGTCTTTAAACTCTCTAGCTGCAGAAACAACAGCAGGTGCGTTTGACTTCATGCAGCGCTGCTGAAAAAAAAGGATATGTTGGAAGAGAAACCAATTGTTCTAAAATAAAGTTCAGTTTCCTTCTTAAAGACTATAAATAGGGTTTTTTGTCTGTAATTTTGCATTTATGTATGAAATTTTGCCAGAAACAAAACTAAATTATTATAAAATAATGGTTGCAGTGCTGCTTTTCATTACTGAAAACAACATTCTGCCAGAACAAGCTGAAACCTGGATATATATAATCATTAATAAATGTACATCCATCCTTCCAAATTTTTTTTACAAAAGTACAGTGCCAGAACAGAGGTAATATAGTTTCTATATGAGTCTCACAAAAAGTACATTTAGGATCAATGTCCTTTTTAAACCTCTTTATGTAATACTTAGTGGGGTACACCATGAATAATCTTAAAGGATACTTCCTTAGCCTTGTAAAGAAGTAAATATTTATGAGGCAACATCCAAATGTTTCTCCAGCACAGATCATTGACAAACTGATTCCAATAATGCATGACATATGGAATAGAGACTATATCTTGTTGGACAAGGCACGAATAGCTCTGTTGTTACATGGACGGGAAGAGAAGCAGACTTTTCCTACTGGATAGTCACCAGGATCAAATACAGATACAACCTGAAGGTCAGGTCTATGAACATTGCTGAACAATACAAGTATACCTGAAGGAATGGCATCCAGAACCAGAGCAAAGTCTCTGGGTGTTCCAGGGATCCCATATAGATGTAAAAATTCCTGATAAGTAAGAAGAAAACCCTGCTCATTTAGAAGCTGACTTACTGGTAAAATGTTAAAATGCCGCTGAAAAGCAGATAACTTAACAGGTACTTTGTCAATATCATGATTACAAACCAGCATAAAGTTAAGGCCACCAAACATAGAGAATACCTGATTGGGAATCAAGTTCCACATCGAGTCCGGATTCTTTACAAATTGTTTAATCCAGTTAATCTTAAAGGTCTTATTTAACATGGAAAAGTCCAGAACATTTAGCCCACCATACTCATTCATAATAATACTCCTCTTAATATAATGAATACGGTTTTTCCACAAAAAATTAAACAGCATCTGGTCTATTTTCCGGCACACTTTGTCTTCAAGATACAGGGACACTGGTTGGAAATTGTGTCCGACTTTCACCGGCGCTGCAAAACGTCACCATGACATTAAAACCTCGCGGGAGCAAGGCAACTCAATTTTTGGTCGAAATCTGCTGTCCAAATCTGAGGGTATGTCAAAATTGGTTTATCCATGCCAAGCTCTATATATGTATCTCTCCCCAAAACATCAAAAAGGCGAATTCTGTAATATATAATTTTATCTGGCGAAACAAAACACACTATATAAAAAAATCACAACTGGTCAGAGAAAATAACAAAGGAGGTGTGAAAACACTAGACTTTGAATCCATGGTAGGAGTGTTTAAGGAGTGAATAAATTGGATCAAAGCCTTTATGTCACTGACTGACTCAATTTGGTTTCATATACCCAGAAACATATTTAAGAAAATGGGAGGGTTAGAATGTTTGCTAAAATATGACTTTGAAATTAATCAACTACCTATGAAGGTGTCAGAATTCCATAAACAAGTTCTACTCTACTGGAGGGTGATATTTTCCTACAATTTTACTCCACATGGCTCCACCTTATGGAACAACAGAACAATCACAATTAATAGGAAAACCTTATTTAACCCAATTTGGTGTAGCATGACTTTTGATCTAATAAATTTATGAGAATTAATACAAAATTATGAATTAATATTCAGAGAATATTAATTCATAAAGCTCTCGTTTCGCGGGCACCACCGGAGATTTAATTCACCCAGAGTCTCCGGACCCCTGGGTAGTGTTTTAATAATTCTACAATTATTCACTAGTGATTAGTTAGTTAATAATCGCTCAATTATCCAGTCAGTCTCATATCGAAGTGGTAAATTCTCGTGGCAGGGACTTGGAGTTAAGCAATACACACACACACACACACACACACACACACACACACTTCCTGTGATTATGGTGAAATTTATTAACTAACTAAGATGACTATAAATGCAGTTACATACACATCAAAGAAATAAACAATGGCTAAACAATGAGAATGTGGAGTTCTATTGTGGGGAGAATTTGACTCACACAGGCAGCTAATGAACGCAAGCTATGAGTTTTAAGAGTTAAAGATAATCTATTAACTAACTATTGGACATCACTGATCACAGAATGCCTTGGTTTGGTTTTACTGCTTGTCGTTTCCCCCAGCCGGGTTGCTGGTCGGCAGCCTCACGCTGGCAGAGTTCCGTGCGTTCTCGGTTAGGACAGCTTAAAGTCTTCGGCCAGTGGCTTTCTCTGCCAGGGAATTGCTCCGGAGGTCCGTCTTTTGTCGGCTTATTGAAGAAACTCGCAGTGGGGGCCTTTACAACCCCGGCTCGGGTCAGAGGTTTGGGTCGTCCTTTGTTACTGCTGGCGGGCCCACGTGACAAGGTCTGACCTTGTAAACTTGGTCGTTCTCAAATTAAACTAGTGTAACTTAATGGTCTGATAACTTTTAACAAACAAAAGAAAATTAAAACGAAAACGAGGGAAAGCTGAGGTCGCGGTGCTTCGCGTGTGTGGTTTGAAACGAACAGAGACAACAAGAGCCTTCGCTGTGCCGGGTCGAACTTCTTAGGGCGTTGCCGGGAGACGGGGCGCGTGCCGAAGTGCAGTTGAAGAGAACAGGAAACAAGAGCGGACGTGTGTCGCTGTTTTTGGTTGTTGGGGCGTGGTTCCCAGAGGGCAACGACCATCGTTGGTATCTTCACCTGAGGTCAATAGGTTAAGTTTGTTGAGTTTCCTGGGAAGTGATGAAAGGACAGCATTGTAAGTGGGGGATAAGTGGTGGCGTAGACCCCCTCCCCTGTTCAGTGACGGCTTCTCAACCCTGGTGTAGATGCTTCCTTGACACCTCTTTCAAACCATCCATCTTCTCTGTCTAAAATGTGCACCTGGTGGTCCTCAAACGAGTGACCCTGCCAGTCAGTCAGAACTGAAGAAGTCCTTTGGATGAGGGACTGTGGTGTCCGAACGATAATGCTGCGATGATGTGTTGAGAAGAAATCCGCTTGACACTATTCTTGATTATAAAAGTTTATTACATCAAAGAATTCAGCATCAATTACAAGCTCTGCAGCAGCTTGGAGAGTGACCCAGCCCGATGACCACTCTGTCTCTCTGTACATCGAACACAGCTTATATAGGACATGTTTAGGTATCTGCTAAAGACCATATAAGGGCACAGTCCCTTCATACACACTAATCTCTACTCCCCCTAACACTGGGTCAGAGGTCAAATTCCATAGGAGGGTTCACTCTTTGCACACCCATCAATCATTACTCCCCCTTAAGAGTTCACTGTGCCTCTCTCCAGCTGCAGAGAATTATTTTAAACTGTAATGGTCAAATGCACATGTGTTATACACCACAGGACGAAACGTCTTCCAGTATCTTCAACCAAGTCCAGTTGCCCTTGATTTTAACCTTCGTTGGATAACTATGACCTGGATGACTGAGAATCTTCATAGACAATTGTTAGTTAAAACTTTGAGGTCAGCATTTCCTAGGAATCACATCAGATGAGAGGAACTTAACTAGCTTTCTGGATATATTGGCTGTTACACATTCTTAGAGAATATAAGCAAGATACACAAATGGCATCAGATTATGGACAAGATAAATAGGCTACAGAGTGACATTTATACATTAAACAGCATTTCAGACGATGGCATGCAATACTTATTTTGTCCACTTGGGGAGCTCGGGTTATGTGATGATAGCTTTGATTAATCCTAAAACAATCTTTGCTCAGGAGCTGAGGAATTTAGGTATTTAACCTTAAATTCGAGCTGGAAAATTGCTCAAGTAGTATAGGATGACATTTTTTATCATCATTTCTAACGGAAGTGTCAGAAACACTTCCGTTAGAAATGATTGGCTTAATGTCAGGATAAAGAACATAAATAATTTTGAAGCACAGCAGATTTTATTATACAATGATAACCTGTCCAAGGAAATATGTGAGATGGTCAACATTATCATAATTATGTGAAAATATCATATTCACGTATGCAAATGGAAGAAGCAAAAACCCATGTTGAATTGTTTCAGGAATGAATTAAAGATTTATTTATCTTCTTTACAAGTACTGTCGGATACACACCAGCCAATACAAAAACTGTGTTATGCTGCAATATTTAGTGTTTAATGTAGGATAAACAGATACCTATCACGTAATAACTGGTGTTCTCAGAACTCAATGTAACTTATCTGTAGTTATATACAATCACCAATATGTCTCCTCTCAGCTAAAACTTGAGATAGTTTTGTTTTGTTTTCTCTGGTTGTATGTAAAAATCTACGATCTTTCAGATTTGTAACAACACTCTCAAAACTACAATGTATGACATAGTAAAGATATGGTGACACAGAAGGAAGAGCTGAACAATAACTGTTGAATGAATGAATAGAAATTGATTATAATTTCATAATTATCTATTTAATTAAATTTTGTATTTTTTTGTGAATTGTAAATAAAGAGGGAAAAAAGGGAGCAAGGCGGCTGCGGCTGCAGGCGCCGAGTCCGGCGGCCACAGTTGCTTTTCTCCGACTGCACCAAGTTGGAACCACACTTGTATTTGCCTGGTCATTGATCTCAGCTCACAGTAAGCTCACGCAGGTAGAATGTGTCCGACTTGACGGCGCCGTTTCTATTCCACGCCCCTGCAGTCACCTGCAGCTTACCTTAGACTTTCAAGTCCACAGACAGTATATTACTGGACAAAGCCACCCTGCTGGTTTGAATGGAGAGCAGTGAAGCCAGTTTTGGACCAATAAATACAACTAGGCTACAGGGCTACGTCCTGTTGGCACCAATAAATGTAAGCAATACAGTTACATCTCATGGGCGACGGAATGTCACAGGGTTTTGACGTCATTTTTGGGCCTGCATGCAGGCTTTGGTCGGCTTCACTGTTTCAACGATGGCCTTACCCCATGATCAAGTCGGCGATAGTCAGTCGCCGTCATCAAGAACGCACCTCGCATTACATCCAGCACCTTTCCGGTCATGAGACTGTCTCTGTATTGCATGCTGGGAAGTGTATTTCTAAATAGCTCATCCCCCTCTGTTCTCTACGACAGTCAGCCGAGATTAAACTCCACCTCCCAGAAACCCCGCCGCTCCATTACCCCATCACTTCACTTCCACTCTGAAGCAGACTCACTAATGTCAGATTTGTAACGTTTGGAGCAGCTTGGCTTCAGTTTGTAGGAACAATCTTTCATCACATAGACATCTCGTTCGTAGCGACACGGAGAACTACAATGGCGTCAGTCAGCGTATGCGGAGCGGCAGCCTAGCTAATGAACGTTAGCTGAGTTAGCTATCAGAGGATGGAAGCGTTAGCCTGCTTTAACCCGGGAGAAACACACGACCTAACTGGATGTTAATCAATTACCCTGCTAGCACCAGGTGCTCTACTGTAACCCTGTCTGTCAGCTAGCAACGTTAGCATTTATCTCCAGAAAAACTTCACGATGGAAGAAGTTGACAAGATTCTGATTCACGCCCTCAAACAAGTCGGCACGTAAGTTACGTCCCTCCACTTTTTATTCACGGACAGGTGTGCGTGTGTCACCTGTGTGACTGAGTTTAACCTGTTCTGGCCACAGGGAGGTAAGCGAGGAGACCGACAGCATCAAGCTGTTCACCTGCGAGCTGATCGTGGAGGCGGTGGTCAGATGTATCAGAGTGATCGATCCGGGCCTGGGCGGCGGGCTGCCCACCTCCCTCCCTCCGGGCATGTCTGCCCGCTTCAGGGTGGGCATGAGCCTGGCACAGGCCTGTCAGGTAAGACACACCTGAGCTGTGGTCCTACCTTACTCAGGATGAGTGGAGTCAGTCCTTCCAGTCGCTGTTTGGATCAGAACATTACTATAAACACACTGTTTCAGGATGGACACCTGTGGTTCTCCGGGGAAGACCGTTTTTGTGATGTGAAGTAGGGATGTCAGGATACCTAAAACCAATCAGTCAATACAGATAAAAGTAAGATTCCACGAGTCTCGATACCAATTCGATACCAGGGTAATAAACAAAACCAAAACAATAAATCCCATCATATACTTCAACATACACTCCTTTAATAAAACATCTGAACATTACAAAGAACTTACAGCTGAGAAAGAGAGGGTGACAGAGGAGGGGTGGTTTGATCAGTATATTCAGAAATTAGCAATCTTGTACTGTGCATATTTAATTAAATTAATTATTTCATTTTCGTAACTTTTTCTCTCCAAACTCTCAGGTGTGAAATGTTTAAGGGTGGTCATTATCTGTACTGGCAGTTGGCTGAGATTTTTATATTGAAAAACAAAACAGTTATTGATTATTGAAATGGATCTTATTGACCTTTTCATACGGTCCCTAACTCCTCCTTCAGTAACAGGAGCATTGGACAAACGTTTAGTTCTTAGTGCTGCAAACTGCATCGTCATCTTTGGTGATTTTCAGGTGATCAAACTGTGAAACGGCTGCCTGAATTAGCTCTCCAACTGGGAGAAATCAAGGCTTTGATAGGAGCTGTTGAAGGAAACAGCTGCGAAACTAACTTCACCCGGTTTCCATACACGACTCATTTCTATTCTACGAGTTGAGGCGGAGATGTTGCTGCAGCAGCATTACCGCTCTACCTTCCGCATGTTGGATCTCTGGTACCTTCGGTACCCAGCAAAATGAGTACAGACATGTTTTCAGTATTCTGGTAGTGACTTGGTACCGAAGTATAATAACAATAATCGGTTCTCGTGACATCCCTAGTGTGAGAGAGACTCTAAAGACGATCATAAATCAAAGTCCCCTTATTAGTTGTCCTGGAGCTTTCAGTCGTAGTCTTTCTCCTTAGATGGGATTTGCTCAGGTGTAAATGTGAATTGACGAAAAACTACACACAAAGAGGAAGACCATGCGGCTGAAAGCTTGAAATATAGCGTGAGCTTGAAGGTATTGTCTTTTTCTGTTTTACGATGTGAATCCTTTTGAAGACACTTAATCAGAATTAGCAGTAGTTCCACAGTAGATTCCTAATATGTTTCACTGTTGGTTTGCAGGACGTTGGATATAAAGGAGAGATCGGCTACCAGACCTTTCTGTACAGCAACGAGCCGGAGATCCGCTCCCTGCTCATGTTCCTGGTGGAGAAGCTGCCCAGAGAGAGTGCAGAAGCCTCAGACCAGCCGACAGGTACAGGACACCTGTCTGTCTGTCATCATCACGCTTTAACATCACCAGCAGAAATACTGCAGACTTGTCGTTACGTCCTTACATTTTATTTGTGCCATAATGTAAAGTGATATAATCCTGCTTTCCTGTAGTCATTATTTTAGGTCTGAGGCTTGAAACGTCTCTTTGGTGAACAAACTCTGTCCCAGAAAACCGTCTGGAGGTTTAGAAGTAAACCTGACAGGAACAGGAAGTCTGTTGTCCACTCAGGCTCCTTCTCAGCTCTCCAGTTCCTTAAGCTGATGTTGGCATGACGAAGCACTTTGTTTGATGAGTCATCCTAAGCCGTCCTGTCTTCCTGCAGGTAAATCGGTGGTCCTCCAGAGAGCCATCGCTGCTGCAATCAGAGCCCAGCTGGCTGTTCCCTGGCTGCCTCCAAACTGCAGACTGCCACTGCACAGTGAAACACAAGTAAACTCTCTAACGTTGTATTTTCATGTCTGAAAAACAGCTTTCATTCAGGGGGATGTCTCGAGTCCAGGATCAGGAGAGGGGCCGTCCAGGCATGTTTAGAGTAGCTTTTATTTATTCTGTAGGACAAATATGTAACCAAAGAAAGAGAAGCGGAGATGCAGGTTATATTTTTTCATACTCCTCAGTTGTCAGACATGGTGTCTCTGAATGTAAGAACACCCAGAAAAAAATGTGGTTAAACTAAACTCCCTCAGTAGTAAATGACGTGAACAGGGATCAGGACGTTCCTACATGACTGACTTCCATCTCAGCCTCTGTTAACTTGTTCATGATGTAACGTGCTCAGAGAGTGTGTCTGTCGTTTCTGACATGTGAACTGTTTTCCCTGTTTAGACTTCAGGAGTTCTGCACAGCTTCCACGCCCAGCCGCTCAGTTTACCACACAGCTCCAGAGCGCCAGGAAAGAAGCAGCTCAGAGGTACAGGACGCCTCCCATTCACACGCTCCGTCCCCTGTTTCACCCTCGTCCATCATGAGTTTAAGTCAAATAGTATTCACATTGGCCTGATTGTGAAAGACGTGTTGAGGGAATAAAGTGTGCTCTGGTTTCAGAGGTGAAGGAGTACCAGCGGGACTTTCTCCTTCCTGTGACCGCCCAGCCTTCCCATCATGCCTCTGTGGTGGCGTCCATACTGGAGCAGCACACCGCTGAGCTGAGTGCTGCTCAGGAGTGGGACAGCGAGTGGAACAGTCAGGGACTCCTGTCCCGCCTCACGCCACAGGCAACTCACCACACTCACTACACTCAGACCTATGTTCCACAGTGTTGTTCCGTCTGTTCTACTGACCTCGCTGAAAGGGCTGTAAAAAGGACGCACTGATCCAATACTGATATCAGATATCCAGTCTAATAAATTTACTTACATGCATAGTGCTCGATGCGTCAGCAGTGCACCGGTAGGCCCGAATATTTTGCTAGAAGAGCTAACATAGCATGGAGGGAGCAGGGAGCAGACAAGGGGTCAGCAGTTTGGAGGTACTTTACGCTTGATACGCCAGCAAGTTTTACAGCCACTTTACCATATCTGTAAAGCCAGTGTTTGGAGGGGCGGCGGTAGCTCTGCAAAATGACAACAAGCAACTCAATCAAGAAGCAAAGTTAGGAAGCCATGTTTAAAGGTTCAGTGTGTAAGGTTTAGTGACCTCTAGTGGTGAGGATTACGAATTGTACCCCCCCCCTCCCCTATCCAAGCGAGTAGTATAGCTACCTGAGACGGGACAAAGATGTCATCTATGAGATAGCAGAGAGTTGTCAGTCAGGAAATCAGGTTTCTTTAGATAGATATATTAAGAAATTATATTCACTTAATTATTCAGTAAAACCAAACCTTTTTTTTGAATATTATTATTTCTTGTTCATTAATAAACAACAGCCACCTGAAGAAATTAAGTGCTACATGATGTCTCATACTCCTGTAATACAGTATTTTACATCTTGGGAGGGTTGGCTCATCTGGACTGACATACCACAATAAATAAAGAACATCTCAAAAACTATCAGTATGACCACTGACAGATACCAGGACAATGTAAGCCTCACTGTTTCTGCACCATCTGCAGTCCATTATAAACCACATAATACATGAAGTTTACAAAGGCATTGTTAGGTGAGGATCAAGGCTCCTCTTACTTTGCTTAATTAGATAAGCATGCAAATATTACCAAAATGTCTTTTTTAATTTTTGAAATACAACAGAAACACAGTAGTAACAGTAGTAGAAACGCAGTACTGACAGCCATAATTTCAGCTTGTGGTAAAACAGTGCAACGTTTTAATGGACATTTATTATGTGAAAGCACAAATTACACATTTGTGTGCACAGTGGTCGAAGCAATATCCAATAATGTTTTTAAATGCAAATTATATAATTATTACAATACATGTTTTCCACCAGGGCAGTAAAATGTGAAGTTTAGCTGCTGATCTGAGCTTCCCTGCTGTTACCGTCTCATTACCAATAATATTCATCAGCTGTTTGTCTCAGGAAGGTAAGGGCACATTACAGACAGACAGACAGAGAAATTAATCCAACTAACATAACACCACAAGCCAAAGCACAGCGCTAGAGAATAAACCAATCCAACTAACAATACATTTTATTCTACCAGTCAGAAAAGTTTAGCTGGCTGATGCTTCCATGCTCTAAGCTAACCTTACGGTTTTATTGCCGTATTGTTACTGATCAGCTGATTGTCGGCAAAGCCAAACCACAGGCTGGAGAATAAGTAGGTGACATGAAATTAATCCATATTTCATCATGTCATGTCTCGGTGATTATGGCCAGCTAATACCTAAAGCTATCAAACAACAGTTTTCATTTGCATCGCTAAAGTCTGACAAACTTAAGTTAATTACCTGTCCAGCAGAAAACAGACAACTTCAGCACCGCTTTGAAAACATCTGTCCCACATTATAGCCTTCCATCTGGGAAAATCCACAAAATGCCTGAATTCTGCTGTCAGCTGTCTGCATCTGTCCGACTCCTCTGGCTTCATGGTATAAAGATCCACAGGCTGTCAGCTCTCCTGCTAAATAACACGTGTGTGCTCATTCAGTTGTCCAAATCCACTTCTCTTCTAACAAACCAGAAGACTACTCAGAGACTGTAGATTATTATTATCATTAGTATTATTATTATTATTAGTCCTTCTTCTTCTTCTGTGTACGTATTTAATGTAATAATGGCCGTCTACATTGCCGGAATTACACAAGCAGAAGAAGAACGCCGTGATGACGAAACGTGCTCTGTAGCGCTGTTTGTTTGTTGTCGGCTACAGTAGAAACATGACGACAAAATACGGCGACCTCCATAGAAGAGGGTCCCCGCGATTATGTAGAAAAAAAAAAGGCTCGTTCTAAGGTAATAAAAACATAATCGTTCATTATGTAAGGTTTTTATACACCACTGAAAACATAGTTCTGTCTGAACAGGAGTACCGCTCCAGGAAGCTGACCCGGCTGAGGAAACGCATCGAGGAGCAGCTGCGTTCTGCTGCTCTGCCCTCTCCTGAAAGTGCCTTTGGCGGGCCTCGCTCCGCCTCAGACCTGTCGGAGCTCCTGCAGGCCTTCAGAGGTTTCGCCCCCTCTGACAAAGTCATGTCCAAGGGTACCCACTTCACCCACACCCAGAAATTCACCTTCACACAGGTGAGGTCTGCTCCATGAGCACAACACTAACATGCACAGCAAATGTCTCTGCAGTAAGAGTTTAAAGTGTGTCCCTGCCCCCTCCAGGAGGCGGCACCAGTACCCAGCTCCGTCCCCACTGGGCACCAGTCAGAGATCGATATCCAGCTCCGTCAGCAGGAGGAGCTGGCTTCGTTCCAGCAGCAGTTCCAGCAGCTCTGCAGTGACGTGGACCAGCTGGCAGCAGACATGAAGCACATGAGCATCACTAAATCTCAGGTAACACACACCTCAGCTGAACCTGATAGACTCACGACAGAACCAGGACATGATCTTAGATTGTGATGGTAAATGTAAGACCGGCTGTTCACCTACACAGTGCATCTGTACGTCATCTATACTGTACGTGGTTGACTGACATGACGCCGTTTTAAATATCTTTTACCTGCATTCTGGTTTCCACCTGTGAATCTGCACATGCACTCACACACCTGCTGTTTTTTGCACGTGTTGGTGGAGGCGTGTTGTTTAAGGACACACAATCACACTCCACAGAAGTTCTAACAGTCTGAGACAGGATTTTACCATGAGCGAAACAACATCACTGTCTCTAAAGTCCCAGTGCATATAATGATAATGTGATTGGAGGCTGAAATCATGAGGCTTTCCTCATTGCTAAATTGGATTGAGAAGTAGGCTATAATATAATTTTCCACTGCAGGCATAATACACGGCAGAGGTGTGTGTGTGTGTGTGTGTGTGTGTGTGTGAGAAATGTTGCAGCCTTACAAAGTGAAGTGATCTGGTTGCTTGACAAAAAAAACGCTATTTTCTCTAATAAATGTCTGACTACGATTTCAGAGGTTATTCAAGTTTATTACTTTACCAGTGAGTTTTTTTTCTCAGATTATTACCTCACTCCCCTGGCTGGTTTTATTACAGTGGACCTAATATACAGTTGTACCTTTATGTCTTTATCATATTGGACATAAAAGAAAAGTACATAAAATACTAAATAGAGAATTACAACAAGAATACTGTGAAGATAATTACAAAGTTACTCGATGCACTGCCAACAAGCTCAACCTGGATTTGTTGGAGGCCACAGTGTTAGATTTTGCCGTTAACGTCTTTAAACTCCTCCTATCCTGACCCGGTCCTGACACAAGTGATGGCGAGATGAAGCTTCATGAAGCATTGAAGCTTTCCATCCATTTGGTTCACTCATGGGCCGAAGCTTCACGGTGCTTGATTTGCTCTAGTGTGCCATCCAGTGGACAATAAATGTAAAACAGGCAGAGTGATTATAACGGGAACACGGCTTTGGTGTGTGAAGCTTTGAATTAATGAATGATGTGTGTGATGCCAATACATGACTGATTAGCTTTTTAATAAGGTGTGTCTTTATGATACGATGAAAGGGTCAAAAGGAAAGTGGAAACAAGGGAGAGGGTTATGATAACTTGGTTTGTGACTTTAGATAATAGAGACAACATTTTATTCATCTTTATTTAAAAATAACACTTCGACAGTGCTGGGCTTCAGGCGGTTTCATTTTTGGAGATGATTTTACCTGCTTTAGAAAATAATTATTACTGTAATATGGGGTAAGAGTTTAATTCTAACCAAAGCCACAAAATGTAAAAAAACATGTCAACACTTTCTTTTCCTCTGTTTATCACAATTTTTGATCTTATTTGATCAAAGTTGATAAACTTTTTTAGTCATTTAAAATGAGCTGTTGATAAAATCTAATTGTGTTCAATTTCAAGTTCAAAAGTCCACAAAATGTTGAGGAGGGTCCACTGCATTTTGCTGCTCCTTTCGAATCGCACGCCAAACCCGCGAACCACCTCCTGAATCGGTCAGTACGGCCGGTTCGCGAGGCTTCGAACGTCACCACATACTAATCAACACAAGCCTCGATACGCGCTTCACAAAAAGCTTCCTGCGTTACTCGACACACACTTTGAAGCCTCGATACGGACGGACACATCACTACCTGACAATATCATCATGCGTTCTTCTGGGGAAAATATGGAGCATGCGCCATTGTGAAAAAACTCTGCCCGCATGGCCGAATGAGCCCCTTTTAATGAATGTGCACCAACTCCAATTAAGTTAACACAGACTCAACTAACCAACATCTTATTCGCTGTCATAATTTAACACCACAGTAGGTAGGCAGTCAAAGTCTGTCAACCCTAATTCTGAGTAGGTTGAACTCCCTTTGTAGTACAGGCCACTTCTCTTATGTTCTCCATCTCTCCTATGTTTTTCCACTTTCCTCTCATTAGGTCCAACCATTATTGAGCAGGCCGACCCTTTAAAAGATGTCTTTTGAGTCTCACCCGTCTTTCATTAAAGACAGGTACCTGAGATGTGAGGGACAGGTGCATGCTGGGTCTCTGAGCCATTACTCAGTCAAAGAGAGCATAGCATTATCTCCAATGTCCATATCGAATAAACATCCAATAAAAATCCACTTTGATATCAGAGAAGAGAGTTGCTGCAGAACCTGCCTGAGAATCTACATGTTTTTAAGTTTCCTTCAGTATCACAGTGATCCAGTGATAGCTCTGTAAATCCAAGTGGCAAGTGCGACTATGTTTTGAACAGATAGCAGTGGGGCAGGGTGAGTGGTGGGGGAAGGGGATTACGGTAGTAATCTTTATTCAATACCTTTGACGGGAACATTGCCCAGCACCATTGCTCTAAAAGTTGCTCCGTATATCATCAGCTTAACAACATGCTAATGTTATACTTTCTGTTTACGTCCCCCAAATTATGGAGCTTTAGTTCCAAACACTTGATTAGTGAACAACCCTCTGTAGTCCATCAGGAGTTAACTTGTTTGGCGTTGCTGTAGGTGATGGATGAGTTGAAGCAGAGAGAGCTGGGAAACGCTGACAGAGAGGAGAAGATGCAGGTGAAGAAGAAAACCATCGACCTGCTGCCAGATGCTGAAAACAACATGCTGAAGCTTCAGGTAGGAGGGCTAAGTTAGAGTCTGGACCTGCTGGCATCAAACCCAACAGAGCACTGAGTGGACACCTGCATTTGTTCCTCCAGGCTCAGGTGGAGGCGAGCGCCAAGAGGGTGGTGCACCTGGCCTCTCAGTGGGAGAAGCACCGCGCCCCGCTCATCGACGAGCACCGCAGACTCAAAGAGATCTGCAGCAGCCAGGAGGTGAGTGCTGCTGTGTTCACAGACATGTGGCTGTATCTGCTTCAGTGAACACACACTCTGATTGTGTTAGTGTGTTTCCTCAGATGGAGTCGTCCAGAAAGCTGTCAGAGATCAAGTCTCTGCATGACAAAATCCGTGTGTCCACAGAGGAGGCCAGAAAGAAGGAAGAGATGTACAAACAGCTGGTACTGGACTGAGTTTACATTTCTTTCTTTATTAGCTCAGGTGTGTTCACAGGCTACTGTAGGTGCTGGACGTCATGCTGACACAGCTTTGTCTGTCCAACATAGGCGACAGAGTTAGAAAACCTTCCTCAGGACGCGTCCCGCTCAGCATACACGCAGAGGATCCTGGAGATTGTCAGCAACATCAAGAAACAGAAGGAGGAAATTACAAAGGTACAATTTTAGAGCAAATTAACAGGACATGGCAGATACATGAAGATAGATCCAGTTTGTATTGAGACACGAGGCGACATATGTCAGACCCAAGCAGGAATCTCCGGGTCTGTAAAGTGCTGAAGTGCCTTAAACAGCCGGTAGGGGGCGACTCCTCTGGCTGCAGAAAGAAGTGTGATTGTATAGACGTCTATGAGAAAATGAGTCTTGTCCAAAAAACCAAGATGGTGACGGCCTAAATTCCAAATCAAGGCTTCAGAACAGTAGTCCACAAACCAACAGGAGACGTTGTGACATCTAGGTCCACTTCTTTTACACACACTGTGTTCTGGTCTCATGATGTCTGTGCCGTCCATCAATAGCCCACTCAGTTAATGTCAGTGAGTGTTCAGTGGACTGGAGCTCTCACTGGAGCTGCTTTCCGCCGTAACATCTTCTCTGTGTCCACGCAGATTCTATCAGACACTAAGGAGCTCCAGAAAGAGATCAACAACCTGACAGGAAAGCTGGACCGGACCTTCGCTGTGACCGATGAGCTGGTCTTCAAGGTGAGCAGAGGGTTCTTCTATCGGTTCTGTTTGTTGTCTGGCTGTGAAAGAATTTAAGTAAAGAAAATTAGAAACATGACTGGTGTGAGTCCTCTCAGGACACTGGGTTCATGTTCATTTCAGCACGGTGTCAGAACCAGCAGCGACCGAAGGCACACGGGTTCACACGGCTGTTTCTTTGAAGGACAGTGCTGCAGAATCTAGAACCAGAATCTTTACTTTTTAATCTTGTGCATTCTCTAAACCAGTTTCTCATGTATGGATCATTTCATTTTATTTGCAGGACGCCAAAAAAGACGAATCCGTCCGTAAATCCTACAAGTACCTGGCCGCCCTGCATGAAGTACGTCATCATGTTGTCTGACTGTCTTACATGTCATCATGTCTGCATCACACCTATCAGAGAGCGTCTCTCACTCCTGCGTTCTTCTGCAGAACTGTAACCAGCTGATCCAAACCATCGAGGACACAGGAACCATCCTGAGGGAGATTCGGGATCTGGAGGAGCAGGTAGGATTCAGAGTCACATGAGAAGATCTGTTACTTCCAGTACAGAGAGAGCTGCAGGGTGTGGTTAGCCTAGCTTATGTTTTTATAAGCAGTATCGCCTCTTCATTGTTCAGCCGGGGCCTCAGAGCAGGGCGAGGTCCTCCTGATTTCCATCCTGGTCACTGCTAACAGACCTTTTAATAAGAGGTCAGTCCTCATGTTGTAGTTTCCTGTCAGGTTACATAAATATAGTACAACTCATGCCTCCAACAGGACTGTGCTGCAGAGGAAAGAACAGTCTGACTGGATTTTCCCATCACATCTTCTTCCACAGCCCGGAGCTGCTGGTCGGATGGTGAATCGTACATTTATTTATTCCACAGTGTAGAGACTCCTGCACTGCTGGATGTATGCATGATCTGTTTTATGTTTTTCAGAATAAACTCTGAGCTGCAGATACCTAAAAACACGCTGGTTCTATAAATCACATGTCCTTTACTTAATAAAAGCATTTGTTTATGCCCTGTCAGTTAAAATGCTCTATGAGCTGAGAGCTCATCTACAAAGTGAATGTAGTGGTTCAGTTAAAAGATTTTCTCATTTTCATTGAACATATCACACTTTGGACACAGCGTCCCTCCATACTTCATTCACTGACTTTCCATATTTCAGCTGTCAGCGCTCCAGACTAACTTTGTGCACTGGTTGCACTGGTGCACCTAAACCTTTCATTTAGCTGCACCCAACTTTTTCATAGCACCTTTAGCACCGTAACAGTATATTCTAACCTTCTGTCATTTCCCATACACACTGATAGTTCTGTAAGTGACTGTGAACAGGAACAAAACTTTATTATTGTAAAACAAAACTTACGAAGTACTGACAAGGAAAAAAAACTCAAAAGTGTGTGCTGCTCTCTGCATCTCTCGAAAATGTAACTACACATCGCAGCAATGCAAGAACTGTGATAGGTCGGCTTGGTAGCGTTGCAATTCCTCCGAGCTCCCAGGAAGTGCTCCGTGCTCTGAGGCTAGCGGCCAAACCAGCTGCTGTTGAACGCTGCACCCCATGACTTGTTTCACTATCAGAGTTTGATCCATTTGGTCAATAACATTTGGAAAGTCTATCAGAGCTGCACGATTATTATTTCACCCCCATTCAAGTTAGAGGAGGGCTGACAGGAAGTTAGCCAGCTCACCGCCAGAAGACACTACAGTGCAACATAGAAACTCAAAGACACAGATTTCCACTCTGCTCACTGAGCCAAAAAGAAATCCTGCTCCATCTTTAGCTTGACCCCTCTGGGTCACAGTCTCCCTGCAGGTCGCAGGATCTCTGTACTGGACACGCATGAATGAAACTGTTGTCCGTATGTTTCTGTGTCTTGAAATGTTAAGTCTTTTTAAATGCAGCAGCAGGTTTGGAAGTTTACACTTGATCACATTTTGTCCACAGATTGAGACTGAAAACGGAAACAAAACGGTGGCGAACCTGGAGAGGATCCTGGAGGACTACAGGGCCATCCGACAGGAGAACTCTGCACTCGCCGCCAAAGTCCGAGAGGGCTGAAGGCTCCGAGTGCTGCGCTCTGCCTGCTGAGGCTGACGTGGTGTAAAGACCCGGACCCGGACACAGCGCTGCAGAGACAGGCGGTCCCTAACACCCACCTCTGTTGCAGACCTGCTTTTCTTCAGCAACTATTTGTACCGTGGGACTAACCAGGCAGGGTAATGCACAGCCTGCAGGGACGGATGGATCAGGTTCCTCCGGCTGGTCCCTGGTCCGATCACCTGGACAGCAGAGGGCGCTGTCAGTCCTCCTCACAGGGACAGCCATTCATATTGATGTATGAAATGTTTTCATAAGATATCTTGATTAATATCTTTTTAATACAGGAATCATTTTCAGACATTAGCAGTTAATTCACGTCATGATTCTGTTTGAACGCAGTGAATGAATCTGAATGTCCATTAAAAATGTTGTCAGCAGAAGATTGTTGTACATACGGTGCCAGCTTCAATAAAGATGCCTTACTAGTTGTTGTGCAGTGGTTCTCAAGCTGGGGGTGGATAGAGCACCACAAAAAGGCCACGCTGCTACCAAGGTTATTTAGCTAACCTGAATCTTGTTTTTCTCAGTCGCCTGGATTGTTAATGATTTTTGGCTCCTGAAGGGGGCGTGACAGAAAAAGTTTTCGAATACCACTGCTTTCGTGCGTGATTTGGTTCGTTCGAGATGACTGCAGCTGACTTTTACCGACTTGATAGTCTTGACATGAGCTGCAGGTGACTGCAGGGGGATCTAAAACGACTGAAGTCAAGCCAGCCTCCACTTGGAAAACGACAGTCAAGCCAGCACTCGCGCTGTTTTTCACAGAAAGCTTACTACATTCAGCCAAGAAAACCTTCTGTTTCCACTGACTCATTTCACTTCACAGTGACAGCAGACCACCTCAGGGTGACCCTGACCACCAGAGAATAACAGTCAGCCAATATCAAAGCAGTCTCATGTCCATTTTCTAAATGTATACACATATAAACATAGACACTGCACATTATTTTCCAGATATATATACACATGTATGTGTATAGACAAAATATTAGCCTACTTTTATTTTATAAAGATGTTTATGTGTATATATTACAAAAAATATTTAATTGTTCAGAATGTGCATATGTGTGTATCTTGGATCATTTTTTTATTCCCATTACTTCCTTGTCCATACAAGCTTTATTGGTGGGATGCGATGTATTACAGGCGCACAGAGCAATTCCACTTTGATTTTCTCGCGTTCTTCAGGTCTCTGGTGTCCATAGCAAGGCACTGCCCATTGGAACCACTTTTCACACATTTCACATTGGACGAAGGACAAGGTTAAAATTTCAAAGATGATTGTCAGGGTACTCTCACAACATAAGACCTTTTTCAACAAATGAAAAAAACAACATAGTCCCAGTCTCTGTTTACTGTTACACACACACACCTCTGCTCATACTAGATTTCCATTTCTACAATAAACAAGTCCCAAGAACAAAGACTATGACAGTGTCATTCATTGTTCTAACTGGACAAACTGTGGAGGTGGACAGCCACAAAAGAATCATCCTGATAATTCATTCATTTTAATAGAGGTCTGAAGTTTGAGGATCAGAAGCCAACACCTCTTTTATAGGCCTACTAGTAGTCGACTGTGTCGGCCTTATATGGTTTTTACCCCTTTCTGTCTTTCATCTTGGTCAGCTGGTTGTTCTGTTGTTCGTTTCTAAGCTTCTGTAGGCATAGCCTACAGGTTCCCTGCTCTTACTACCGTGTTACATTATAGGTCTACTGTTTTTTAATTAAAAGTTATTTCATCTGTATACCTCCAAGGATGCCAACATATACGACAATAATATATCAACGTTACAAACACTGAATTACATTTTGACTGAGACACTTTCATAGGTAAAATATTACACACTTTCAAGGGCTGTAACTTTAAAAACCTACATCAGATTGCTCTGATATTGACAGAGGGTCACCCCGAGGTGGTCTGCTGTCACTGTGAAGTGAAATGAGTCAGTGGAAACAGAAGGTTTTCTTTTTACATGAGTTCGAATCTTGGCTGAATGTATAAGCTTTCTGTGAAAAACTTGCTGGCTTGCTTGACTTCAGTTTAAAACTGAAGCCGTCAAGTCGGACACATTCTACCTGCGTGAGCTTACTGTGAGCTGAGAGCCATGACTTATCTCGCGGCATTTGTCTTTGCAAAAGACCAGGCAAAAGTGTGGTTCCAACTTTGTGCAGTCGGAGAAAAGCAACTGCGGCCGCCTAATTCCTAATTTAAGTCCAGCATGCATCACGTTAAGTCAGCGCTGTGCAGCGCCGTATGAAGTCAAATGCACCTAATGCCTTCAGTAGTTTCCAAAACAAACATAGTCTAAACATATGCTGCATTCAAGTGGTGTCGGAATTATCGGACATTGGAAATTATTAGCTATAAATGCTGTGATTCATTGCATTGGAAAATTGTTGCACAATTATCTATCTTTAAAGCATCTGTCCCTATCAAATTAACTTATCGTTAAGGCAAACAGCTGCTCTCTGCCACATTCAGCAAAGCAACATGAGCTGTAAGGGCGTCTGGCTCGGCCTCGGCCTGCAGGGCTGTGTCCCCCTTCAGGTCCTGGCAGGTGGACTTTATATTAGTGCAACTGGATACACCTGGGCAGTCCATCCAGAAGCTATTAAGGATCTGCCCACCCTATCTTTGCTGTCTCACTCGATCACTGGCCCTCCCGCCTAAACCACAAGGTTCAGTTGTACTTTCTTAGACCAGTCAGTACTGCACTTTAACACTACAAGCTGTAACTACATGTTTGTTCTTCAGTCCTGAGCCGGAGTCCTGACATGGAGCTGTGTTTCCATCCTCTTGATGATGAAATATCTTACGTTGAAACAAAATGAAACATAGCTTCCATCATATGTGAATTTTTATTTAACAATATCTACGTGCTGTCCAGAATAAATTCACAGATTGATTTTACCAAATGAGTTTGTTCACACTCACATAAGCTTCATGTGAGACTTTGGCTGGTGGAAGCAAACATTAGTTTTCCAGTTTGCCAAAAGCTGCTCTGCAGAGTTACACTTCACAAAGCACCATCTGAAGTGAATCACGTGAACATGTGTTTGGTTCCCTTGTGCAGTTCGGCTAAAGATGCACCGATCGATTGGCGGTGATCAGTCTTGCATATGGCATATCAGATCCTGTGCCAGCTATATAAAATATACTGCTGACACAGAAACAGGTGGAGGTGTGTCTGAAGGGAAAGCCAGGTGAGCAGATTAAAGCAGTTTGGGAGGAAACACTAAAATCAGGTGGAGAATAAAAATGGTGAGGTAACCTGCTGGAAATGAGGTCATGTGTTCAGATATTTTCAGATTAAAGATACAAATAAACCTTCACCACAGGTACTCTGTCACTTTGGAATTTATGTAAAAATTAGGCTATAGGATAATTTATTATTACCAATTAATTTGATTTAGCTATGAGAGACATCTAGGTCAACCTCAAACCGAGAGAGAGAGAGAGAGAGACACACACACACTGGGCTTTAAGAGGTTTTGAATCATCGAGAGAACTTCTGTTAAAACCAGACGAGGCTTCTAATTGAGACCAGGGCCCATATTTATCAAGCTTCTTAGAATTACTCATAAGAACACTGCTAAGAATTGACTTAAGAGTAAAAAGAATCTTGGCTCAAAGCTGTGGTTAAAAGTAAGTTATCAAGCATCGTAATCCTAATAATCTTAAGTTTCAGTCTTAGAGCTGATTCATGACACTTTGTTGTGCCGCAAACTTGATTTTGGATGAGGGTGTAGGCAAGGACCAATCACTGAATAGATTTCCTTATTTAAGAATTTTCTCAGATAAATTCACATTGAATGGTGAAATTCCTAAGAGGACTTTTCATTCAACAGACATTTGACAATTAAGAATTTTTAAGAGAATACATTATGTACATAGGCTACAGACACATTGGAAATGAAAGGTAAAAAAATTGATCTTTATACGAGCGCCATCAATTGCACCTACTGCTCCTGGGAAGCCGGCTATTTGCATGAATTGTGTTTGCTTCTGTCGGATTACAGGAGGTGGTGTTGAAACGCGTGACAATGTGTGGAGCTGTAAGTGCCATAGGCTAATTGTTTCCATGACAATTCGGCTTATTGATGATTGTGACGGGCCAAAATCATCACTCAGCTTATAATTATAGATTTACAGGTAATAGTGTTTTATTATGAACATAGAGCTGATTGGAGCCCAGGAGCAGGTGCTGAAGGGACCCTAATAAATAATTTTCCATTAAAGAAAAGTAAGAGAAATGTCAGTCAATGCTGTCAGTTAAAGCTCTCAGAAAGAATTGGTGCATCTCTAATTTGTGACGTTTGTCCAATTAGTTTTAATATTGCTGTTATTGTGCAGCACGTTTAGCCTCTGTGGAGGCTGAGGGTCAGCAGAGGAACGCCTCCTGTGATGGATCCTATTGGTGGATATATCAACTAGAGCCCGACCGATATATCGGCCGGCCGATGTTATCGGCCGATATGAGCTAATTGCATTTAATGGGCACTGGCTGTTTATAACAGCAGATATGGCTATTAAAAAAGAAACCTAGAGTCAGATCCTTCACTCATGTCATGGGTGATGCATAGTTTGCCCACCGGAGGGCGACCAGCTGCAGCTCCCCTGTTAACAGCACTGCCTCACCACAAAAACCACAGAAGAATCAGCTGACCGGAGTTTACACAGCATTTCGAAACATGCGGAGGGCTGTGTGAACGGAGAGTCGATCTTTTGTCAAGTTGATTGCATGACTTAAATAATCATGATAAAAACAGACCCAGTCACTTCTCCTCTCCTGAAAACATTCATGACTTGCTAACCCTCCCGTTTTTCACTGCCATCTCCCGGCTTCCTACCAGCTCACAGCAGTTTAATATTACGGTAGTTGGGTGTTGAAAGCTACGCTGCTGGACAGACGGAACTGTACATTTATTTCAAACAGTGTGGCAGTGCTAGCGATTGGTCCACATTTGTCCCTAGTTCATCCCTTCTAAATATTCTCTAAAATCACGTAACGTTAACGTTACAGCAGCTCATGCTGCCCGTTGCTAAATTAGCCACAAAGCTAATGCTGTGTTTATTAGTGGAGGAGCGCTAACGTTGAAGAGCCGCTAAACTATAGTTTCTGACTTATTCTAAATATATCTGCGAGCCGCCAGTCTGCAGTTAGTCGGCGTGTCTGTAGCTCGTCTTTGTGGGACGTTATAGATGTGAAACGCTGTAGTCAGAGCCGTAACGGCTCTGTTTATAGTTACAACGTTAGTTAAATGAAATCTCAAAGTTGCAGGTCCTTGTTGTTGTAGACATTCCTGTAGTATTAGATGCATTCAACAGCGGTTCACTGTATCCTACACAGCATGATTTATAACGATGGTGGTTAAATGGTTTCACATAGCTTTGGTTAGAATAGTGCTGGTAAAGGGATAAACTAGATGTCATTGTGCTACATTGAAATTATGTGTAAAGTGAAATACACATGGTTATTCTCTCTCACTAGCCGTGTTTCCATCAATGTTTTTTAATACGCATTTTGAAGTATCGCATTAGAAAAGGTTGATGGAAATGGCAAAATTCTAAACAAAATCCTTAATTTCGCAAAAAAGTTTTTACGTTCGCTTGAGGTGGTTTTTGCCTTTTGCAAATCTGGGCAGCCAGCCTTCATCATCTGTTCTGCCAAATATGCATTCACCTCTTAAAGGTCCTTTTCAGACACTTTGCTCTGCACACTGATCAAACGGGGTTATCACCACATATTTTACTGAATCTCACTGAATGCTGGTTCTACTGAGTGTAATAAAATATTAACGACTCTAATCGTTCTTAAAATATATACTTTGAATCATTTATCCCCATTGATGAACCCCACAAAGGATATTATAGCGTTTAAAAGCATTATTTGTAGGTGCATGTAATTCTCGGCAGGCATGCAAAACTCAGAATAACACATGGCTACTCTCTCTGTTTACAGAGGGCTGAAAGTTGCACCTTCCAGTAGCAAATATTTATTGATGTGCAATTGTTTACATGTTCACTTTTTGAGACTGTAATCGATTTTATTAACATAATCCATTTAGGAAAAGGTTTTATAGCCCACATACATACCAGCTTTCAATATCGGCCTGTAGTGTAGTGTAGTTTAAACAGTAAAAGAGGTCTACTATCCAAATCATAAAATCAAAATGTCAGCTCATGAATCGGATCTTTTTCACTTTAATATCGGCATTGGCCCCCAAAAACCCATATCGGTCGGGCACTAATATCAACCTGGGTGGGCTCCTCTCATCACACTGGAGGAACAGATTGTCTTTATGATGAACAGAAAACCAACAAGACCACCGAGCCTTCCCTGAGGGCCGGAGGAGGGCCACATTAGGGGGCCGCTGTTGCTGTTGGGCTTTGGGATGCACTTTAGTGGCCACCGTGACTTCGCTTTTCTCCACTCATCCAGTCGAGTCCCATGAACGTCAGGCTCATGGTCATGAATATGAAGCCCAGTGCTGTGAAACACGCAGCCTGAAACCCAAAGAGATCATGTTACTTCCTTTAACTCTGGGGGTCTCAGCTCTGCCCCCTCAGTCAGAGAACTCACCTGGATCTTTGGTCTGGACTTCAGGGGCTCCTGGTCGGTGGGGATAATGCGGATGTAGAACAGACCAGGAAGGATGAAGATCAGACTGGGAGCAGTGGTCGCCCCTGGGCACACAGAGGAGGCAGGTCACATGACTGTCAGAGGAGCTGGCTGTAATCAGTACACTTCTGAAACTCTGAACACGGTCAGACTACCTGAGAGGTCCCAGACTACCTGAGAGGTCCCAGACTATCTGAGAGGTCCCAGACTACCTGAGAGGTCCCAGACTAAGTGAGAGGTCCCAGACCAGTGGAGAGATCCCAGACTACCTCAGAAATCCCAGACCACCTGAGACGTCCCCCTGAGCAAGGCCCTGAACCCCGAACTGTATACAATGGCAGCCCACTGCTCCTAAATAGGATGGGTTCAAGGCAGAGAACAAATATTCCCTTCCCCCTGCAGGGTGACAGTAGCTCAGTCGGTAAGGACTTGGTTGGAAACCAGAAGGTCATTGGTTCATTGGAGTCCAGCTCGCCCCCTCCCTTGGAGGTCCCAGACTATCTGAGAGGTTCTTTGTAAACCAAACCTCTTCATTTTAGTTTTTTATTCTGGATTTATTCTTCAGACAATAGATGACTGATTTAAAAAATCATCATGAAGTGGATGTTAAAATATAGCTCTGTGAGTCCATAACTACACCGAGCTGTCTAGATTGGTTTGTGGTCTTAAAATCAGCGACTCAAGCTGAGCGTTGAGGAAACTTTGGAACTGACGTATTACTGACATGTTCATCACCCACTTAAAAGGAAGTTTTTCCTTGCCTCTGTCTCCTAGTGCTGCTCTTGGTGGGAACTGTTGGGCTTCTGTAAATATCATCACAGAGTACGGTCTAGACCTGCTCTTTTATGAAAAGCGCTGTGAGATAACTGTTGTTGTGATTTGGCGCTATATAAATAAAATTGAATTGAACTGAATCACTCAGTGCTTGTACGTATGGGACCGCAGTCACCAGGTGATGTAATTATGTAAATCTGTCGCCTGCAAAATTATGGTAAAATGTTCATCTGAGAACTCCACATGTCTGCTTCGTTTGCTCAGGAATCCACCATCTTTCTTCTGCTAGCCCAGACTGTAATATGCTGTGGTTAGTTGATCATGTCGAATGATCTTCCAGTACACAAGCAGAATTCTCACCACGTCTGGAACAAACATCCACTAAACTCTATACAGCAGAAAATGGCTGATATTAAATAAACTAAGTACACTGAACAAAATTATAAACGCAACACTTTTGGTTTTTCCCCCCCATTCATCATGAGCTGAACTCAAAGATCTAAGACTTTCTCTATGTACACAAAAGGACTTTTTCTCTCAAATGTTCACGAATCTGTCAAAATCTGTGTCAGTGAGCACTTCTCCTTTGCCGAGATCATCCATCCACCTCACAGGTGTGGCATATCAAGATGCTGATCAGACAGCATGGGGATTGCACAGGTGTGCCTTAGGCTGGCCACAATAAAAGGCCACTCCAAAATGTTATGGAAGATTTTATTAGACTTTAATATTTGTAACCCACAGAAAACAATCCACTGTGGGTTACAAATATTAAAGGCCAATAAAATCTTCCATAAAATGTGCAGTTCCATCACACAGCACAATGCCACAGATGTTGCAAGTTTTGAGGGACTGTGCAATTGCATGCTGACTGCAGGAATGTCCACCAGAGCTGTTGCTGTGAATTGAATGTTCATTTCTCTGCCATAAGCCGTCTCGAAGGCATTTCAGAGAATTTGGCAGTACATCCAACAGATTTTAACAGAGTTGTGAACAATATTTGCAAGAAATGGGCATTTTGTGTACATAGAGAAAGACTTTGAGTTCAGCTCATGATGAATGGGGGCAAAAACAAAAGGGTTGCCTTTATAATTTTGTTCAGTGTATTATGGGCAAACAAATCTAATAAGAAAAAAACAGAAAACTATACATAAACCAATCAATTCAAATCCCCCAAATCCCTCTTTTCACAGTGCCTTTAAGTGTCATATCCCACCAGTGATGCCAAAGATGTCTCGGATGTTGGGAACCAGGATGACCAGCAGGTTGACAGCGAACAGCAGACACACGGCGATGGCGATGTGACGGACCCAGTGGAAGGGTCGCCCTGGAAAGAGCAGCTGCAGGAGGGCACGCCGGATCTGATGGAAACACAGACGTGAGGATGCTGCTTGGGTATCAGACAACACTAAATCACAGCAGAGCAACAGTATGTATGTATGTATATACATAATTTGTTCAAATCAGAATTCTCACTGTTAATTAATAACCCCATGTACCTGTGGATCCAAATCCAATTATTTAATTTTTCCAAACCTCAACCTCTAGCTTCAACCCACCGTTAGTCACATGTACACAGAATGTAAAAACCTCTGATTGGATGTTTCTTTCTGGGAATCGTAGTTTGTATTAATGATTCATCAGAACTGAAACATGTCGCTGCACTAATAAAGTTAGAAATGGCAGCCATGTTTGTTGACTTATGACACAAATGACGTATTATCTCATAATTACAAGAAAAGATTTAAAAATAATCTCATAATCCCGGATTCTGTGACATGACAGTGAAACATGTTTATATTACTTTATTGCATGCTTTATTTTGACAGTGATTATTATTAAGATCTGGATCTTATAATTAGAAGATTTTTTTCTTGGGTCAATGTAGAAATGAACCAGATGGACATGAAGCTAATGAGTTACAGAGGGCAGATTTATTAAACCTTCCTGTCCAGGTGTTTCATGTTGAAAGCTCTTAATGGGCTTACTCTGGTAGGCTTTTATTCACGCTGAAAGTGAACGAAAACCATGGCTGACTGTGACAAAGTGGACACACAGTTGCACCCTCAGCAGTGTTTTAGGTGTTAATTAAAAGGATGGCAGTTTAACTGCAACAACGGACATAAATAGCCTATACGTTAATAGTTCTGTGTACCCCTCTAGCTACATCAGTTAGTAACCCTCAAGACAGTCAATGTTGTAGGTTACCCTTCCTAATGTTTTTAACAAAACTTTTATGCAGAGAAGATGACTATATGAGATTCTTTACTGTAGCCAGCTACCTAATAGGCCTAACATATTTCTACATCAATGTATGCAGAACAGGTTTTACTATATGATTGTATGGATTATTTTAATAGAAATACATTTAAATATACTTTTTGTTGCCTTTTAGTTTATGGTTTACCATTTACAATGTGGGCTTCCATGGGCGCCGACATTGTTTTGTGACGTAATTCCGCTGCTACTCGTGAAGTCGGGGTACAGATTTTTTCTCCGAGTTCACAAGTAGGAAATCCGACTTCACGTGGCGTTCCAGGATAAATTTCCCAGCTCCGAGTTGCCTGGAACGCAGCAATAGTACTGTGGAAATGTACCTGAAATTACCACGCGAAGTACTGTAGGAAAGGTACTTCCACCTCCTCCTGACTGGCCGTTACATGTTTGTGCTTTTATTTGAGAATCTACAGAACCCCAGTTTCCCTCTGGGTTTGATTCGGTACAGAAACACACAGGTGGGGTAGTGAGTGTCAGGTGTGTGTGTGAAGGTATGTTCTTACAGGAAACAGGACCACAGGTACAGTCAGAGTGACGGCCACCAGGACGGCCAGCCGGACACACAGGATCAGCGTGTCCAGAGGGTCCACCTTACTGTAGGTGTGCAGGAGCTCGGCTTCTGTGTTCCCTGCACACACACACACACACACACACACACACACACACACACACACACACACACACACACACAGATATATCACCTGTAACATCACTGTCTTTAATCTGAGCTGTGTTTGCAGCTGATTAAAGAGATGCTGCCTCACCGTAGAACGTCAGGTAGCCAAATATGGCGGTGAAGAAGTACATGATGAACATGCCCAGGATGGAAACGTTGCCAATGTTCTGCATTCTTCTCTTGGTTGGACTTCAGGGGAACAAGATGGCAGCAAAACAGTTCATGAATTCAAGAAAGAGAGATTTCTACAGTTTACTTTCAGCAAACCCCCCCCCCCCCCTCCGAGACTGCTTCAGTGCCCAAACATGAAACTATCTGGCCACTTGGACAGGCTGTTGACTTCCAAATACAGTATCTGGATATATAATATAATCTGGATTTACTGGTCTTCTGACTGCTTGTGTTTCTGGACCCGTCTGACTTTTTATATCCCAGAAATCCCAGATTTCATTATAACTGGCCAAGAATAACACCCACATTGTGATAAGCCTGAATGATCCTTTAACTGTGAACAGTGCTGATTTTCTTAACAGACATTTGAGAAAACATTGTCTGGATTTGGGCGCCATCACAAAATCAGGAGTCCAGCTTTAAAAAGCATAAAGGCCAGTGAATGCAGTGTTCCCTGAAATTGTGTACTGTGAGAACAACATGCAGTCTTACTTGCTCAGTTCAGTGTAGATGGGGAGTACTTCAGGGTGACATACAAACGCAAATGCCAGGATGGGGATGGTATATGCAGTCTGCAAATCAAGTCACAGAGGAATTTCACTTGGTTTATTTCCAGTGAGCACATGAACTCTGCAGCACCCTGTTCTACATGATGGACCCACAGTCCAGACCAGATACCACACCTGTGTTCAGCCCTCTGAACAGAGCGCTTTGTAAATGAACAGCTCAAATGGGAACTTTTGTGTGTGAGCTGGTCTCTAACCTCTTGGTTGACGGTGAAGAATTTGGCGCTGCATGTGTCCTCTGGGACGTCTGCGCTCACAGAGAAGTTGCCAAACACTTCCAGAGGACAGGCAATGTTGAATTTCTTGTAGATGACCTGATGAGATGGAGAGAGAAAGTTTAACAGATGCTGCCTCTGGTAACTAAACACACATTTATTAATAATTAGTCATTTTGTATGGAAATCCAGGAATATGAAATAGTTAAAAAACAAATGAACTTTAATTCAGGATCCTAATGTTTAAATATACTGCAAAGATGAGTATGTATCACTAAGTTGTTTATAAAGAAGTATTTCAAGTTGATAGAATTGTCAGGGAAATGTGTTTAAATCTAAATGTGCTTCACTCTGAAAGAGAAATCATCTGATGATCACTCTTCATTTTGTATTTTTCTTTCTTTTTACCTCTTAAGGAATCATAAGATAATATTGCTGAATACATTGTTAAAGTAATCTTACAAACTTACGTTGCTCTGTATTTGCTAAAATGCATTAATTACCATTATAAAAATGTTGCGTAATCATGCTGTTTAAACACCTCTGTGACTGGGATGTTCATTAATTAAAATAAGAACAAGTTAAGGCAGCACTCAGGGAGCTGAGTGCGTTTGGTGACATGGATATTTGCTCAGCACCATATGAAGTTTGGGGAACAGATTATTCACAAGATTTGACCCCATAATTAAATGTACTAATGATATGAAGAAAGAGACATTTATTCAGATCGATGAACAAAAGAGTTCTTGACTGCCCTGACAAACGCAGAGACGTCGTATCTCATGGGCAATGTGTGCTGGTCAAGAGTTGAACTAGCTGCAAAATTAGGAACTAAAACTGGCCTTAAAGGTAAAGAGCGGGGTCAGATTGGAAAACAAGACGATAGATCCGTTTAGCTGAGTAGTTAGGAGAAAACGAGAAGTGAAAAGCACATGCCTTACGAATCGCTCACTATCACATCTGAGGTGATGGCATCTCAGACAGCAGCAGCACTTTTAAGAATATAATAAGGGTGATAAATAAGTGAAAGCAATTGAGGATGCTAAATTACTGATGGCTTTAATAACAAATATGGGTTTTACATAAAGAGGATCAGTATATATAAAGTGTATTACTATTTGGTTCATTTAGTTTGATTTGATAAGCATTTGTTTTAATGTTGAGAAGTGGAATGATATTTCAGTTCAACAAAAACACCTTTTACTTTGACAAAATTTCAATCAATGATAGTGTGGTTTTTTATAGACGTATTCATTGATTTGTTTGCTTTAACACCTGATTAAATAATTTGATTGAGGGAAGTACTTCAACCATTAATTTACTCTTTAATATTTGTTCATTTCTCTCATTTAACTTTGACTACACAACCATCATTTTTATCTATTATGTTACCCAACTGCTTTATTTTTTATTATAATATACTGTTTAATGGACTAATAAAGTTCACATCAGGAGTGCATTTGCAGAAGTAGACAGGCAACTGTCTGCATGTGTACCATATTTGGTGTGATGTGAATAAGAAGAGATCTCATAGTTGTTTCCCTCATTTCTCCAAGACACAAATGAGCTGCTTTTAATACCAAGGTGTGACCAAAGGCCTTTTCTCCCACTTCTCAAATTCATCTCAGGAGAAACAACCATATAAAATCTTATTTATGTCTGACTCTGATCAAGACAAGAGATCTCTAACTGATCTTAAATAAGTCTAATTTATGTTTCCTGAACATTGGACCATGAGATCAGAGAAAGAGCTCAAAGAAAACTCAGCTATGACTCCAGGGATCTCACGATTCTTCTCACATATGTCTCATAGTGACTTCAGGAGCAAATAACTCATCTGTGTATTACTCTGATCAAAAGATGAGATCTCGAAATGATCTTAAATAAGTGTAATTTAAGTCTCTAGAATGTGGATCAGAAAAAAGCTCCAAGAAATGTCTCTTGGTTGAAATACTTGCACTTCTTTTTAGGGGTCTTTATACTTAGTAGTTACAGAGAAGAGGAATAAAATATATTTCCTCTTTGAAAATAATGCACTTTCAAATTACATGTTTTCCAGTTTGTTAAGGTCACAGTGTAACTGGAACACCCACCACTTGGACATTTAGGGATTAACAATTAAGGACTGAATGCACACAGGAAGTGAGATCAACATGTCATCCAGAATGAGCACTTTTACTTTTGATACTTAAGTACTTTCACTGTGGAATACTTTTATACCTTTACTTATAAACTCAGTAACATCTCCGCAGTCCTCCTAACTGCTTTTTAAGAGCAAAACATGAATGACCTAAAAAGATTTTTGTGTACATAGAGAAAGTCTTAGATCTTTGAGTTCAGCTCATGATGAATGGTGGCAAAAACAAAAGGGTTGCCTTTATAATTTTGTTCAGTTTATGTTAGAGGTCTCACGCCTCTGGAGCATCTAGCGGTTAAGTGTCTTGTTCAGGGACACATTGGTGGATTTGTCAGAGTGGGACTCGAACCCAGGTCTCCCACACCAAAGGCATGTGCCATTGCCACCCCACACTTTTTATTTCTACTGGACTCTTCCCAAAACATATTGGTAAACATATCTACACGAATCCTTCTGTAGGTTGTCTCTGTATCTAGGTCACTGATTTACTGAGAGTTTGCAGCTAGCAGCTACTGCATAGCTTCCCAAAGGAGCAAACGGCTCCCTGCAGCAGCTGTTACTGTAACTCATCACAGCCCAACCAGCTGCAGCTGAAGGATTCAACCAGGAGACGCTGGGAGCGACACAGAGGCTCGCCTTCGTCAGGAAATAAAAATAAGAATTCATTTCAATTAGACCTTTGAGTTAAAGCTGTAAACACAAAAATGACATTTTATCCTGTTTAACAAACTGATCCGCCAACCCAGTGAAGTTGTGAGGGTGGAGCTGGACTTTCTGTCACTGGTGTCAGAGAGGAGGATGCTGTCCAAGCTTACATGCTCCACCCACTCCATGAAGTGCTGGTCAAATACAGGAGGACTTATAGTGACAGACTCGTCCCCCCAACATGCACCTCAGAGCGCAACAGGAAGTCATTCCTGCCTGTGGCGCTCAGACTCTTTAACTCCTCCCTCAGAGTCAGACACACAGACTCTTAGTCAGTCACAAGTGCAATACCTGACATATTGTGCAATATGATCAATACTTAATGTGCTATTTTCTCTGCTATTCTGTTCTAATACTGTTGTTTTTAAGATTGTATCCATCCACATCAACTATACCTGTACTCATTATTATAATTAATATCTATTTCACTGCTACTATTTATCATGACACTTCTGTTTATACTGTACAATATATATGTAAAATACTGTACATGGCAGCACTCCTTTATATTTAGACTTTATATTTTTAGATTTGTATATTTTGTTATAACTTTCTATTATTATTTCTATTCCTTTATGTCTCCACATGCAAAGTGAGCAACTGTAACAAAAGAATTTCCCCTCTGTGATCAGCTTAGCTTCAAATGAACCAGTAGCACAATGTAGTAGCAAGGGGTAAGGTTACTGGTAAATGCTGTAAATGCTACATTATAATACACAGAAACACACATTATTTACACTTTATTCCTAAATATTGTTGCTGTTGATATCCTGCAGTTTCTGGATATTTTAACACCAGTTAAATAACTAGATGATCAGTGATAACAAGAAGCATGTTATTAATTTCCTTTTGTTTATAATAACTCTCACTATAAACTATAAAACTATAGAGTCATGGTGGGTAGTCAGCGACCACATGCTGTGGGCTGTTAGTCGCTGCTGTAGCTTAGTGCTCATTGACTTGCTTTGACGTAACAACAAATGATTCCTGTAGCACTAACTGTGCCGTGACAGTAATTGTAAAGTTATGCATTGTGTCCTGCAGACTCACCGCAGACAGAAAAAAGACCATGCAGGAGAGAGAGAAGCCGCTGGTGTAACCAAGATACCCTGCAGAGAGCAAGAAGACAACCTCAGACACCTCGGAGAAAACATCAGGCTCTGTTTCTATGTCAGATTACATACACACATTGTAGAGCAGAGCACATGGTTTGTTTCCTGCATGGCTGCAATGAATCCAGACACACAATAAGAAAATGCTGAGCTCCTTCAAAACCCTGAAATAATGAACCAACTGTGAGGAGCTTTCCTCTGAGGAGCTGCTGAGTGGGATCGAGTGGACGTACCCAGGTGTTTCATCAGGGTCAGTGGGAGGATGGTGCAGACAGTGACGATGATGATGAGGTAGTTTCCATTCATGAACCAGTCGCTAGGTGCACAACACAAGATGTTACACACACACACACACAGTAAAGCACTCACTTAAATACTGTAAATCTGCATTCAGAGGCGAGGTCTGTTTTCGTACCAGAGGCAGAAAGTCAAATGTGATGTATTTGCTTTTTAGACAGGTGGCTGCTATGTGAAAGTCATTGTTCTCATTCTTTCCTGTGTCCGTTCCCTTTACTTGGTAAAAACAGATTTAAGCAGTCCTTTCTTTTGTACAGTGTAAACATGACCACATGGCGACGCACCATGTTGTTCATGTTTAGACAACAGCAGAAAAGCTGCAGCTTAAACCACTTGCAGTTTCTCATTGCATTGTTGTTGAGGTTTGTTCACTGTGCTGCTTACTGACTTTACATCCTGACAGACTGCCTCTATGTTCAGCTTCAGCTTAATCACGTTTAGAGTCAGATCAGAATGACACATGCTTATTCTCTTTATGTGCTGCAGTGGTTAGCACTGTCACCTCACAGCAAGAAGGTCGTGGGTTCAAACCCCGGTTGCCCCGGCCTTTCTGTGTGGAGTTTGCATGTTCTCCCCGTGTCCGCATGCTCCGGCTGCTCCGGCTTCCTCCCACCATCCAAAGACATGCAGGCTAGGTGTGGATGTGAGTGTGAGTTGTTGTCCGTCTATGTGCGGTCCTGCCATGGACTGGCTATGTGTGGTCCTGCCATGGACTGGCGACCTATCCAGGGTGTTCCCTACCCCCCCACCCCCCCCACCCCGCGACCCTGTACGCAGGATAAGCGGTTGACGATGGATGGATGGACTAGGGTACCACATGTGTGCATTACTAAATCTTTTAAACATGAAACTATATATCTGTGAGGAGTTTTTAAAGATTTACGCATTCAGGAGGAACCAATGGGCTCGAAGCTGAGAGCTACAGACATGAAGTGAGACAGGAGTGACAGGTTGGTGGTTTGAATCTCTGTAATGGACACACAACAGATGAAAGTGACACACACTTCAGAGTTATTCTCATTACTCACTCAGAGCCGTATGTCTGGCCGAGGAAGGCTTGGATGACGAGCGGTAACTCAGATTTGACTATGAACAGGTAGCTGGACATGGCTGAAGAAAGAGTGTGTGTTAGTGCACGTGGACACAGTGATGCTCTAGCACCTGCTCATGTGACGTTTCTACACCTGTCTGCAGGGTCTCACCTCCAATGTTATGCAGCGTTATGATGACAGCTGCTAGAATCTTCCCTGTATGACCAAAAGCTCTGAGGCCAAGCTGCTCGTAGGCACGAATACCTGAAGAACCCAGAGACAAAGGACCCTGTTAGCAAACAGACTGTGGACACTCAGACACCTGTTCAAGACTACCAGCTGAAGAGACAGAGAGGATGGAGCTCTGAGACAATATTTATAACCAAACAAAAACTTACCCACAACTCCAGCACTGCGCAGCAGCAGATGGACGGAATAAGAGGACAGACAAGCGATACACGTCAGCAGGATCCTGTAAAACACACACAGGTACAGGAGGTCAGCAGTGTCTCAGTAGTTTGTGTATTGCACAGCTTTTGGGAATAATTGAGAAAATCTGCTTTGAAGTCTTGCATCACTGGAAAGGAGCAACCCCCTTGATGTAAATACATCAGTGTCTCCTGCACATTTTAAAGCCCATATTTTTAGACTGACCAAACCACAAAGGGTCAACATGGTGCCGTTTCAAGAAAACACAGGCTTCTTTCTTTGCAGAGTTTGGAGGACATATGTGGAGTAGCCTTGCCCTCCTTTGGTACACCAGACATTACTGGCCTCTTAAAGGAAAGGTTCACAGTTTTCAAGCATCTTCAGTAAGGATGCATAAACTATCTTTCTAGAGCACTTTTCTGTTTCTGTTCTGTTCTGTTCAGGACACAGAAACACAAACACATTAAATAAAGTTTGTTAATATCACTTATGCTGAGTCTCCACTTGAGTGCTGGAGCTGAACACGGCGATGGAAGTTCTCCCGAGGGGAAGTGAATGAGGATTGAGGGCTTGTTAAACCTCTGCTGAACTCAAACATCTGTACAGTCCCGCTTCACAGAAACATCTGTCAGCTAGCATTAACATCTTTCAGCTTCTGGTCACACCAGACAAAGAGAGAACGTAGCAGGAACCTTTAATTTGAAACAGGGAGGACGTCTTATTTCTTCTCTCACATGTTTCATACTTTTACTTTAAGCTGCTTTTGGAAAGGGGCTCCATTCAGGAGGTCAGCAGTCATAAATCCATCACATGCAGGATGTAAATATTGAACAGATCAATGGGAGTGATACAACTGGAAGTGGCAGCGCCCTCTAGCGGCTGCTGTGATTCTGCCGGGAGCTCAGGAGGAACTTGTTGCTTGTCTGTCATGTTTTGAAGGTAAATGTCTCAACCTGGACTGTAAACCCTGTTTGGTTGTCAGGAGCACACCTTCTGCTCTGTAAGGTGGATTTATTCTGATTACTGGGACGAGTGGATGTATTTCAGGTTTGTGTCAGGTTTTGGTCTATGTGTCTGCCTATTTCCTGTTTTATTTTGAAATTGTCCGTGTCAGTTGTTTGTCCTCTTCTTTGCTCAGTCCTTGTTGTCTTGTGCTTCCTGTCTATTTATTCACCATCGATGTGGTTTCGGATTGTTATTTCTCATCTGCCTGGCACCCTGGATCTGTCTGTTCCCTTTGACTGTGGATCTTGGACTTAACGTTCCCCTTTTGGATTTATCATTCTTTAGTTGGACATTTTGTTGTTTGGATTATTTTGGGACATGGCCTGCACTTACTGTAAGTTTGCACACGTTATTGGTGTTAAATCCATTTTGAAACTCAGCCTGCTGTGTTCACGTCTGCAGCTGGGCCATATAACATATAATGTTTCTGCCAGTGCACAGGGCCATCTCTGACACTTTGACATCTCTTTTGAGTGTACAAATGATTGATTCATTGCGGATTCCTGCTGGAATTATGGATTATGAATCGAAGAGATTCATAAAAAGAGAAATATGAAAACAAACACTGAACAATGCTTATTAAATATTCAGTAATTGTGAATCATAAATCAGATGTGTTTTTTTTAATCTTTGATGGGATGTTTGTGTTGTTATCATTTCTGTGGAATTATAATCAGAACATGTGGACATTTCTAATAACAGCTGTGTGACGCTGCTGACTGGATAATGATCTACTGTTTCTGCTACTCACAGGAAAAGTACGACGCCGGTGTTGGACATGGCGTACGACAGACCCAGAATGCCGCTGCCCATGATGGCGTTGCTCAGGTTGAAGACTGACATCCCAAAGGAGGTTTTACCCTCAAACTGGAAAAAAGGCAAGACTGGAATATTAACTTCAAAGACACAATAATAATGATTTTATGGTGTTCTCCAAGGAAATGCAACACCTTTCAGCTCTCTAATCAAGCATCTTCTTCCACAGACGGTGACATGCATCTCTTTTGCATTTATGTTTAGGGGTTAAATCAGCTGCTTGCTTCGGGTTCATCTTTCAGTTGAGTTATCCTGTCGTAGGTGTTAGAAAACTAGAACAACACTTTATGTTGTAAAACATGAGGAGAACATAAGAACCGTCGACCCTGCATGGGTTCTGCCTCTCTCACACTCACGTCGGTGAACTGAGGCCTCTTCCGTCCATCACTCTTATGCTGCAGGAACTTTTCCTCCTCTGGTGGGACTCTGTAAAATCCATCACAGACAAACAGAAACGCTGCACTTCTTCTTGTTCTTCTTCTTCAGCTTTAAATAATAACAGAACATGAATTCACAGCGATAGGAAACATACCCTGCCTCCACAGCAGCATCGCCGTTCGGTAAGAGCTCCATACTTAGGACGGGAACATTGGATGAACGTGTTGAAAGGTGAAATCTGAAGAAGAAGAAACAGTTTTAAACCACCTCATGTACAGTATCGGCATATTTAATCATTTCTTTTGTCATATATTGAAAAATATTCTGGGTTTTTTTTTAGCCACGCTTGCTAGCAGCTTGGCCCTGGGGTTTGGTCAGAATGAAACAATATTTAGTACAGAAGCCCTAAGAGGCCATTCATTCATACATTTTATTTACTCTCTTTTTACTAGGGGTGGGGGAAAAAATCGATACAGCATAGTATCGTAATATTTGCCATGGCAATACTGTGTCGATACATGGACGCTGAAGTATCGATATTTTATTATATAAATTGCAGATGGGAGTTTTAACTTTTTGGTACTAGAATAATAAAATCTATTGCTTTTTTAGTCCACTAGAAAACTTAACAGGACCATATAGAGGACTGAAAAAGTGATATGAACAAACAGAGAAATGTATCTTTTTAGATAAACAGATGTTGACAAAGTTTGACTTTAGGGACCTAATCGGAAGTTGGAAATAGGTAATAAATTGCAATATATCTTAAAATATTTGAATAAACGACCACAGTTTGAAATGAAAGGGACTTGCGGTTATGGAAACCGATTGACACCAAATTTCACACAGCCCCTTGGGAGGGCGTGCCACATAAGGTCCCCCGGTTTGATGTAGTTCGGACGTTGCAAACGTAAGGTATGACATCACATCCAGTTTTTTTAGCTTAGAATTCGGACATTTTTTGGCGGATCAAAATTTACGGGAAAACAGAGTAAATAAAATATATGAACATATGGCCTCTTAGGGCTTCTGTAATTTAGCACCAGTCAGCTCACCTTTATTTATACAACCCAAAATCATAAATGGACCTCAGTGGGCTTCACAGTGTGTAGAACATATGACAGCAGATGTCTATACAACCTTCATTTGGATGAGGAAAAACTCAGCAAACAAATACTTAAGATGAGAAAAGACTTACAAAAGGAAATCACAATAAAGAAGATGAAAACCTAAAGTAAATAGATCATGTTAAAGCTGCACTAATCAATATTTTAGATTCAAAGGATCAAATGATGTGTGTGGATGTGTTGCAGTGACAAACACAAATTTATAAGGATTTTAGCTCTGTGGAGATTTTTAGCCTCTTTCAGCTGTTTGTTTTGGTTTCACAGCGAGGTAGGAGATGGATGAAGACAGACTATGAGGGTGGATGTGTGTGAGCTCTGTGACACATTGGAGAGCTGCACAGAGTGGGTGTAAAAGAAAGTTTCCTCTGTCCTCATCCATCTTGAAGATGTCCGATAGTAAAAGTATCGATGCTTGCTTACAACAAGATGCCAAAGCTACAGTAGACAGGAGTTTGTTACTGTGATACAAGCCAGAGCTGCTGGACAGAAGACAGTAAGTGGACAGAGAAGACGGACAGAGACAGAAAGTGAATTACACAAGCTGGGTTCAGCAGCTACGATCAGCCCCACGTCATCAGCATTAAAGTACATATCCACCCACCGAGCCACAAACACACCTCTCCATGCGTCTGTGTTTGGTCTGAAAGCACTGCAGCCTCCAGGTCAAACACTATCACAATACTCTGCTGACATGCAGTTACAACAGATCATCCGTCATTTTTTAACATAGAAAGCTCAGCAATTCCAGCTTCTCAGATGTAAATAGGTGCTGATTTCTTTTCTTGTGGACTATTTGTCAGACAAAAGAAGACATCAGAGTTAGAGTGTGACAGGGTGAACCTGGCCCTAGTGTTTCACAGAGTATTAAAAAATCTGGATCCAGTGTGGACTCTGCTTATGGAAACTTTCATTCAAATTCAAAATCTATTTAAATTCCAAGTTTTTACTAAAGTTCTAAAAAAGTTTGTTCGCTGCTCTTTGCTAATATAAACAGTTGGCTAACAGAGCCATAGCCACAGTGGTTTAAACATTAGGTAACATCAGCTTTTGCATTGGGCCACAATATTTCCCAAAGGCCTGTGAAAAGCAACGTGGCTCTGCAGATAAGAAGCTGGAGGGAAGCCAATCTGGACGACCCCAGTTGTGGATCTCCTCCCTTTCGGCCCCAGTAATGGCAGACAGAGTGATAACAGCTGAGAATGACCTCCCTGCTCAAACATGACTGAACTGGTTCCTCAGACATTGACATTTTGTATAACAGTCCTCGCATGTACTCTATTTGTAAATACTGCCCCCCCGCAGAGAGACACTTTATGTCCATGTGTCAGGCGCTGAATATGTTCATGTTTCCAGAGAGAAGTCAAACAAGTAGGTTTTAATTAAAGGAAACTTTAACGTCCTGTGAGAGGACGAAACATAAAGACACATAAAACAACACATCTGTTGCAGCCAGGATAAACATGTGAGTGTTCTGCACATCCCCTGGTCCCAGTACTTCCCCAGACTCTCCCAGACTCTGCATGACTACCGGGTCTGGTTTAACAGAGTCATTGCAGGGGTAGGGAGTGTTTTGCTCAGTTGGTTCTAATCTTGGGGTGTCTCAACCTCCAACCAGCCTGGTCAGCATAGGGGGTAATCGTCACGGTCAGGTCCAGGTGGTACACGTCATGGGTCAGCTACATGGGGTAAACGTCAGGCGTCAGCTACAGGGGGTAATCGTCACGGTCAGGTCCAGGTGGTACACGTCATGGGTCAGCTACATGGGGTAAACGTCAGGCGTCAGCTACAGGGGGTAAACGTCGGATGTCAGCTACATGGGGTAAACGTCAGGTGTCAGCTACAGGGGGTAAACGTCAGGTGTCAGCTACAGGGGGTACACGTCAGGTGTCAGCTACATGGGGTAAACGTCAGGTGTCAGCTACATGGGGTAAACGTCAGGTGTCAGCATAGGGGGTAAACGTCAGGTGTCAGCTACATGGGGTAAACGTCAGGTGTCAGCTACAGGGGGTAAACGTCAGGTGTCAGCTACATGGGGTAAACGTCAGGTGTCAGCTACATGAGGTAAACGTCAGGTGTCAGCTATAGGGGGTACACGTCAGGTGTCAGCTACATGGGGTAAACGTCAGGTGTCAGCTACAGGGGGTAATCGTCACGGTCAGGTCCAGGTGGTACACGTCATGGGTCAGCTACATGGGGTAAACTTCAGGCGTCACCTACAGGGGGTAAACGTCAGGTGTCAGCTACAGGGGGTAAACGTCAGGTGTCAGCTACATGGGGTAAACGTCAGGTGTCAGCTACAGGGGGTAAACGTCAGGCGTCAGCTACAGGGGGTAAACGTCAGGTGTCACCTACAGGGGGTAAACTTCAGGCGTCACCTACAGGGGGTAAACGTCAGGTGTCACCTACAGGGGGTAAACGTCAGGTGTCAGCTACAGGGGGTAAACGTCAGGTGTCAGCTACAGGGGGTAAACGTCAGGTGTCAGCTACAGGGGGTAAACGTCAGGCGTCAGCTACAGGGGGTAAACGTCAGGCGTCAGCTACAGGGGGTAAACGTCATGGGTCAGCTACAGGGGGTAAACGTCAGGTGTCAGCTACATGGGGTAAACGTCAGGTGTCAGCTACATGAGGTAAACGTCAGGTGTCAGCGACATGGGGAAACGTCAGGTGTCAGCTACAGGGGGTAAACGTCAGGCGTCAGCTACATGGGGTAAACATCAGGCGTCAGCTACAGGGGGTAAACGTCAGGTGTCAGCTACATGGGGTAAACATCAGGCGTCAGCTACAGGGGGTAAACGTCAGGTGTCAGCTACAGGGGGTAAACGTCAGGTGTCAGCTACATGGGGTAAACGTCAGGCGTCAGCTACAGGGGGTAAACGTCAGGCGTCAGCTACAGGGGGGAAAACGTCATGGGTCAGCTACAGGGGGTAAACGTCAGGTGTCAGCTACATGAGGTAAACGTCAGGTGTCAGCGACATGGGGAAACGTCAGGTGTCAGCTACATGGGGTAAACATCAGGCGTCAGCTACAGGGGGTAAACGTCAGGTGTCAGCTACAGGGGGTAAACGTCAGGTGTCAGCTACATGGGGTAAACGTCAGGTGTCAGCAACATGAGGTAAACGTCAGGTGTCAGCTACATGGGGTAAACGTCAGGTGTCAGCTACAGGGGGTAAACGTCAGGTGTCAGCTACATGGGGTAAACGTCAGGTGTCAGCTACATGAGGTAAACGTCAGGTGTCAGCTACATGGGGTAAACGTCAGGTGTCAGCTACAGGGGGTAAACGTCAGGTGTCAGCTACATGAGGTAAACGTCAGGTGTCAGCTACATGGGGTAAACGTCAGGTGTCAGCTACATGAGGTAAACGTCAGGTGTCAGCTACATGGGGTAAACGTCAGGTGTCAGCTACATGGGGTAAACGTCAGGTGTCAGCTACAGGGGGTAAACGTCAGGTGTCAGCTACAGGGGGTAAACGTCAGGTGTCAGCTACAGGGGGTAAACGTCAGGTGTCAGCTACAGGGGGTAAACGTCAGGTGTCAGCTACATGGGGTAAACGTCAGGTGTCAGCTACAGGGGGTAAACGTCAGGTGTCAGCTACAGGGGGTAAACGTCAGGTGTCAGCTACATGAGGTAAACGTCAGGTGTCAGCTACATGGGGTAAACGTCAGGTGTCAGCTATAGGGGGTAAACGTCAGGTGTCAGCTACAGGGGGTAAACGTCAGGTGTCAGCTACATGGGTAAACGTCAGGTGTCAGCTACATGGGGTAAACGTCAGGTGTCAGCTATAGGGGGTAAACGTCAGGTGTCAGCTACAGGGGGTAAACGTCAGGTGTCAGCTACAGGGGGTACACGTCAGGTGTCAGCTACAGGGGGTACACGTCAGGTGTCAGCTACAGGGGGTACACGTTATGGGTCAGGTCCAGGTTGTACACGTCACGGTCAGCTACAGGTGGTACACGTCACAGTCAGGTACAAGTGGCATAAGTCAGCCTGCTGGTCCCCAGGATTTTTCCATAGCTCAGCTGTTCTTCAGCTCCTGTGAGTGATTTCAGGGTCCAGACCTTAGACTGTATATAAAAAGGTCCAGACCAGCTTTGACACAATAACTCAGAACACTTGATAAAAGATAAAATAAAGTCAGAATTTAGTTATCAACGTTAAAAAAGTTCTGCTTTCTAAGAAAGTAAGTGAGCTGTTGGCCCTTCTAAAAATAGCACATTGGTCCCCGGAGAGTTTGTGATCTATAATAAGACAGAGATCCTTATAGTCTGTCAGCACATCTGATTCTAAATAGAGTGTGTGGTGGAGCATCATGTCTAACATTTAAAGAAACTTCTTTGGCCCTGGATTTAAATGTGAGGCCTCACACCAGTCGGACAGAGTCATTTAGAGCTGGACCGTGTTCGGCTTCGTCCTGCTCCGAGACGGCATCCACAAACTTAATTATATGGTGTCCAGGGGATCTGCTACGCCAACACTGCGGGCCGCCCCTCGGACAACGCTTGGAAAAAGGCGGCCCCTCAAGTTTACTTGGTTAGTTTTGCTCAATTCCTGGATACCTAAGGGATCATGATCATGTTATTTGATCGCACAGAAACTCAACAGTTGAGCCAAGACAGCCTCATATTGCTGTTTGAAAGAACTTCAGACTGCACCGAATACTTGAAGAGTTCTGTCCTCAGGGTTTATTGTTTCTGACTCTGGGAAAGTTGGAAAAACTGTAGAATTCCCCCAAACTACTATAACTCTGAACTTTAACCAGATCACACACATTTAAGCTACTCTGTGGGATCCACTGTAATATGTACCACTCTGAAAAGCTCTGGCAGCAAACATAACGGTGACAGCACACTGTCCTGTGCTAGGGAAAAATAAAGAAAACTACATTTATTATGGCGTCATCATAACAATCAGAGCACACATACCGTTACAGACTAGTCTCAGAGGTGTGTGTGCTCGAAAGCTTCACATTTATGAAACTGTAGATTGATAATTGACCCTGTAAGATAAGATAGTCCAGATCTGGATCAGGTTCTGTCCGTTCAGAGGTTATTCGTCACACAGCTGTGGTCTGAATTAATGATTAGAAGGATGTTTGCAGCACCGGGGCTCTGTGATCTGAAGTGATTAGATTCCAGTTTTGATTTAGTTGAACTTGGTTTGAATGACACATTTCTGTTGCTATGATTTATTTCACACATGATGGTTGAACATGTGATCACATCGTTGTTTGATGATGCTTTTTATCTATATATTTATTATTGCACTCATGAATATGAAAAAGTCAGTGACAGTGACTGCTCACCTGGCACCATCTGACTTACTGTGATGCAGGTACACCCACCCATCCTGTGCACCAATCAGGTTCAAGAGTTTCTTGCCAAGGCCTTTTGGCCAAAGACGCATTTACAAATGTAAACAGAAACATCTATTTCTGACAGACTCTGTAGCGTCTGCTGTCACCCGGTTCAACATTATTTATGGAACAAAACCCCAAAAGGCTAAATAGTGCAGGAAAATGATTTTAAATGTTCAAAGACAACCAGATGTGGGGTCAGTGTAAGCATGGAGACAAGCTGGTGTTAAACACTAAACATACAAAGTGAAGTGATCACACTCAGCTGAATAGAAGCTAAACAGGCTGAGTAGAAACCAGTTAGAGGAATCCTAAAGCTCACTGATGGATCTGATGTCTGATTTCTGTTTATAGAAAGTGAATAACTGCACTTTTATGATTCCCCATGTTCCTCCACATTTCTGATAACAACTTGTATGACAGAAAAACATCTCTGTACCTCACAGATGGTGTCTGCAGCCTCACAGTGAGGAAACATATAGTGTACAATGTGTGCCAGAATGAAGCCCTGCCCTGTTTTCCACCCACAGGATGTGTAGATACACAGCTTACGTAACCGTTTTTCATGCCTGTTTTCAGATGTGCTGCACATTAACGTATATATCTTAGATCAACTGTGTGACCACAGTTCACATCAACACCAGCAGAACTGTTGCTGCACGGATGTGCAGTAGTTGACAAATAAGCGCATTAAAGCATTCAAACAGAATCTTTTTTTAATTATTTCTTACTCCACAAATATGTAAAACATATTTATACCATTTTATTATTTATATCAAGAGACACCATTTATAATTTAAATGCTCATTATTTTAAAGAAACATATCAGAATATAGATTAAAATGTAGATACACTGGGGAAAATACATATTTAAACACAAATGAAACCAGCTAACCTCACTGAGTGCTGCTGCAGCCACCCCCTGGCTGTTAACAGCGCTAACAAAACATTTATCAAAACTATTACTATACTATAATCTCAAGAAGATTCATGCTTAAGCTCCTTTTAGTAACTTTTAGTATGTTTATAGTAATTAAATGAGGTGTCACATCTGGACCACAGCTGCACAGCCAGGTTAATGAGCTGGATAAACCCTTCAGAGTCTCTGCCTGTAACAACGCTGCACTCTTCTCCCACAGTTCCTCACTCTTCCTGAGCAGAAACCCCCTCAAGCAGCCAGACCACGTGGCAGCACAGCAGATCCAGCTCAGCCAGGAGAACACAGACACTTACCTCCAGAGGAGGGGGACCCTCTGTGGTGAAGTCCAGGGAGCCGAGCTGCAGTTTGGGCCGGGTGGTGGATGGTACCGCTGGCCCTGGTTTGTGGAGCCCAGTGGAGAAGCGGGGCGTCTCGGGGAGAGGTTGGGGAGAGGGGGGAGCAGGCAGGGAGCAGGGAGGGCGGCTGAGTGACGGTTTCAAGTTTCTTGTGATGTCACATGCAGATAGGCACTCCTCTTCCTCTCCCAAAGAAAAAATGTAAAGAAGTGAAGTGAAGTGTGGCTTTCTCTGGGGGCACTGGTGATGGATTGCTCTGTGGGAATTCACTGGGCTCCTCCTATGGCCCGGTCACACTGCGCCCATTGAATTGTTTCAGCTCCCACTCCCACTCTGACAGTGAAAATATGGTGAGGTGATCAGCGTAGGGTTGCATAAGAGTCTGGCTCTGCATCAGAACTGGAAAAAGCTAGCTGCATTAGATCAACGAGAAAAGCAAATACATAAACCAGCCTTCCTGAGAGAGTCCGAGCTGACCTGCAGCCGAGCTGTTTGAGACAACACATGTGCCAGGATACACTCATTCCCAGGGTTATTCTGGTCTATTGTTTCCACACAGGAACACACTTTCAGCCCAGTGTGTGTCTGGCTGCTGTAATGTTCCTCAAGACGTTAAACCCATCATGGTTTGATTTATAGTGTTCAAAGCATCCAGAGCTCCACTTTCTTTTTTGTGGGACTGTGTTTGTGTGAAAGTTCAGGTAACTGAATAAAGAGTCTAAACTGAAACTGTAAGTAGTTAATAGTAGTTAAAAGTAAGCAGCAGGTACTTCTGTACTTTAGTAAAGTGTTCTGTGCAGGAATTTAATGGACTAGTATTCTGTTTGAGTTCTGGTGACAGACGAACCTGCAGGGAATCCAGATGTTACATATGTCTCCTCCATTACAGATTTAAGAACAGTCAAAGAAGCAAAACCCTGACTTTGTTTAACGAGTCAGTCTCCAAAAACCCTGGGTCCTACATTTCCATAATGCAAGGCACTAGTGTCTTTGATTAAACGCTCTCTGTATGCCGTGTTTCTAACTCTGTAACTCAGGTTTTCTGCTATGAATTTGTACATTTTGACGTCTCCGAGCACAAACTCAGATAACCCCTGATGACATCACTATGACATCACCCACCAGCCTCAGACTTTAGAAATCCAATAACCAACCAAACCAGTAACCAAACACCCAAACCTGTAGTAGTTCACTTGTGTGATGTGTTTCAGGTAACCACAGTGTGTGTGGAGATTCATCAGAACACAGCAGGACTTCACTGATTAATAAGGACGTCCTGTGGTTCACACATGGGCTGTACATGGCTCAGATGGTTTTAAATCATTTCCACATAATAAACATATACACAGGATCAACAGTGTTACAGCTACAGTCAGATGACAGTATTCACACACATTCAGGAGCTGAAAAATACAACTAATAAAGACATTAGATTAAATTATGAAGATACACACAGGCCTGCTGTACTTTATTTTGTTTGTTTGGATTCTGTCTGTTTGTAAGGATAGAACATTATTATGTAAAATAATTTATAAAAAGACAGAAACATCTTTGGCAAACTTTACAGTGTCTGAATCCAACAACACAAACTTAAACTGATTCATACTGTCAGTCTAGAAACCAACCTGTCTGTGCTTTACCGCCATCAGCTGGATGATGTGGGGGATTGTGGGATACATGAGGAGAAGTGTGCATCCAGTTTTGGGCCCAATCCCAATGTCCACACTCACAGACTTTGAGTACCCAGTAAGTCCGTGAGGGTTTAGGACTGTCCCACTTTCAAATCGTCAAGTGCATGAGGGCTCTCTCTGCGACACTTTGAGCAGTTACACTGTTTCTCAACCTGGTGCCTGTGGACCCCTAGTGGTCCATGCCAGTATTTCAGAGGGTCCATGGAAGATTTCTGAAATAAATAAGTCAATGTGTTTTGCTAATCTAAATCTTTCCCTTAATAAAATGATAATTATTAGAATACAAAAGGAACTCTCTGTATGTTTAACATTTAATTCTCAAGACACAAACCGACAATGTTTAGACAATCCTGGTTCTGAACCTACACCAGCTACGTCAGTCCTCAGTTCTCCCCCTAAGTTTGGGGTTCAGTATCAGCCCAAGGACACTTTGACATGCAGACTGGAGGAGCGTTCTGATTAATGGGCACCGTGCTATATCTCCTGAGCCACAGCCGCCCGTGAATCCTGTGCTGACCCTCTTATTGTCCCCTCAGCACCAACACCAGGCCAACCTTCCCACTACATCTAAATCTTCCCTGTATGACTCTCTGTGAGCTGGATTAGTCGATCCTCCACTTTGGTTCAGACTACAGATGGTATAATAGCAGTGGGCTTAGCCGCCGTGACATCCCCCTTTGGTTTGTGGACTACCGTTTTGAAGCCTCGGGTTTGGCATTTCAGCCGTCGTCATCTTGGTTTTTTGGAACCAGCCATATTTGGATGAGAGGGTGGCGCTAGCTAGCTTGGTAAGACAAACACGCTTAAAAAAATGTACTTGAACAGCCGAATTCTGATAAGCTTTTTTCTCGTTAAATGTACACAGAGCAGCGGATATGAGTTGCCTCTATCCTGATTGACAGGTTGCCATGGTAGAGACTTGTCAATCACAAGGTAACCGCGCCATTAAGTCTCTTCATCTTAATGGGACCATAATTTACTAAATGAACTTCATACTGTGCTGAAGACTTGAAACTAGCTGAGACCGACTGAGACCATAAACTCATCAGGAAAGTGTTTACTGAGGGAATAAATCAGCTGAAAAGTAGCCTAATTTCCTCATAGACTTCTATACAATCACACTTCTTTCTGCAGCCAGTGGAGTTGCCCCCTGCTGGTCGTTAGAGAGAACGCCGGTTTAAGGCTCTTCAGCACTGGCTTTGCTTTACAGACACGGAGGTTCCTGCTTGGTTCAGACTGAAACATCTCATCAGCTGTTGGACGGATGGTGACATGTTAATGTGTCCAACACTTTGTTTTATGACCTAATACCTGCAGAACTGATGACATTCCCATCAGCCTCAGTTGTGTTTACTGCTAACTAGCTAATGCTAGCATGCTAACATGCTAGATGGTGAGCATGGCTACCATGACCTGCTGCTGGAGACATGAAGACACCCTGCTTGTATAAGTCGTGTTAATGAGAGGCCACAACATCAGGTCATGTCGAGCATGTTTGCACGACTCCTCTGAGTGGACGCAGAAATAGATGCTGTGATCAGAGGATTAGTGCAGCAGCCTCACCTGGACCAACACGGGACACACACACACCTACACACATACACACATACACACCTACACACACACACACACACACACACACACACACACACACACACACCTACACCCCCCACATTTGTGTGTAGTGCTGCTGATGTGTAAACAAAGCTCTGCAGTGGATTAATGATGTGTAGTAATTGAGGAAAGGTGTGTTCACAATGTTTAAAATGAGACAGGTTCAAATCCCTGACTGACTGAAACCAGAACTTCCATCAAATATAGACTTGCTACGAAGCTTTTCAGCCTCTTTCAGCTCGTTGTTTTGGTTTTTAGCCATCAGACTATGCTCACACGACCCTGGTTTCCAGCAGCGTTCGGTTTTTACCTGCTGAGCATCAGACTCACTCAGCTGGACGGAGGTGAAACTAACATGCAAATGTTGCTGTGTGTAGCTGCTGGAGGTGGAAATAAGCTTCAGTCTGATCACAGTTTACACAGTTTAAAGTAACTAATAAGCGAGCCACAACAACGTCTGACACATGAGAGACAGCTTCACACAACATGCTGGAAACTCAGGTTAACTCCCTCTTCAACCTAACTGTAACATTTTTATCAGCTTGATGTTGAACTAATCCATGCTCGTAACATGATAACATTAGTTTATCGGCGTTGTGTATGTTTCACTAGAGGCTCAGAAAATCCAACCCAATGTCTTCATATAGGAAGTAGCATCTAGGCTGTGAGGTTACAACCTGTTTGCACACAGGCAATAAAAAAGTGATTAATTTAATTAAAAAATGACATATTAAACACAAGCTTAATAATAATAATTATAGACATTATTGTACAGCAATTGTTTACAGCTTGTTCCACTGGTACAAGTGGCATAAAAGCCCCAACAGATTAATAACATTCCAAGATAATATACCTAATAAATGAGTTTGAACTGAAAAATGACGTGTTGTTATTGTCGATTACAGAGCTACATACAGTTACTTCAGTCATCATAGTGTTCATTTGTGGTGTAACAGTTTCTTCTGTTGTTCTATGTTCTGGCTGCTAATGAGCAGTTAGCTTGTTATTTTACAGATACGGTGCAGCTGGCAGAGGACAGCCTCTTTAGAATTTGAACCATTCCATTAATTGCAAATATGTTAGAGAAAGTGGGTCCTGCATTAAGGTAAAACACAGCTTCATTCATCCAGAGGGAAACCTGTTGCAGCAGCAGGACCGAGCACAAATATAATCAACACACAGATACCCTAACACAAAGCCACAAATATCAACAGGGTAACAGGGGGTGATCCTACATTCAGTGGCCTGCATCCTGAAGCCAGGATGTTAATCTGTCCGTGTGTTAGCTTTCTGATAATGCACTGGGTTGTTTTCCTCTCAGCCAGTCAGCGCAGGGCTGCTCCTGCTCGTTCGGATCCACTTAGTGCTGACGTGGTTAAGCTGCTTACCTCAGCAGGTGAGATGAAGACATGTTCCCAGTCATGAGCCTGCAGACAGCAGCATGCCGACATGCCTCTGTAGGAAGCAGAACATACTGACGGGTTACTTCACAGTGTGGAAGCGAAGTCTGCAGTTTGGGATTGATCCGAGCAGCCAGGATGGAGTGCAGTGGCCAGGTAACAGATCAATACATGATGGTATTATTAACTAATCAGCTGTGGGGGACTGGCGTGAGCCAGACAGTGATGCTGGCAGGTAACAGCAGCACCTTCTGACTAAAGGACACAGTGAGTGTAGTGATAACCTTAACCTGGTTCGGACCTGAACCCTAAAGTCTTAACCGTCAAACAGACCTTTAAACTTGTGGGGCCAGCATTTTGGTCCCCACAAATTTAGTAAATCCTGTTCTTTGGACTCAACCAACATAGTAAAACACACACACACACACACACACACACACACACACACACACACACACACACACACACACACACACACACACAAACACACACACCTAATTATCTGTTTACTCACATCAGCGTCATTATCCGACATTCTACTCTCTGTGTCGCAGTTCTACACTGTGTTATAACTACATTATATTTCATTCTTATTGCGTGCAGCTGTTTTTCATGATGTTTTGCTGTTCTACAAGGAATCAGCATACTTTGGTGCTTTAAAGAAACATGAAACAAAGAGGAACAAAGCTAACCTTTTGTTCGCTGTAGTGAGAAACTCAGGCCCTTTACTTGCAAGAAAGTAGCTTCTTAGTCTAATAGTACTGCGTTGCAACAAGTAAAATGCAGCAGAATGTCGCCTGTCAGTGTTTTATTTTTGCAGATGTATTAACACCAGAACCTTCCTCTTGTAGTTGGTTGAGGTTGAAGTAGAAGAGAAGAAGAAGACATACTTTATTAATTCTGCAAGAGGAAATTGTTTTCAATGTTAATGTTTGGTTCTTTATTGGTGCCATTTAATCTAATTATTCTTAATAATTATATGCTCATCATTATATTTTGTATGTAAAACAACATCCGCAAAGCAACTGGTGAATGTATATCTGAAATATATGTAGAAAAGTTGTACAAAAAGTACAATATTCACAAATATATTATATATACAGAACAGAGTGGCTGTATGAGGTTTCCTGTTGAATTAGTGCTGGATGTCTTTGACACTACAGACTGTTAGGACACAGAAGATTTAAACCTTTTAGACTTTTACAACATGTATGTGTGTGTAAGTAGTCTTTGCCTGTGTTCCTCTGTGATAATAACAGGTGACACCCCAGCTGATGCTGGCTGTGGGGACAGCTGTGATTGGCTCTCTGCAGTTTGGCTACAACACAGGCGTCATCAATGCTCCTCAGAAGGTGAGTATTTAGTTGTGTGAGATTATGTGTGTAAAGAGAGAAGTGATTTTGTTTACCATCACCATCACCATCATCTCAAACTGTTAAGATTTAAACATGATGTGATACACATAAACCACGAGGGTGAAGATTTGGGTTCAGCTGTAATTACCTGATATTGATCGAGACTTTTGACTAATACTGCTGTTTTATGAAAAATGGTTAACAAAAAGTTCAAGCAGTCATTTCCAAAGTCAACATTCAAATTTCCCTTTGCACCTAAAGGGTTACTGCTGACTATGAGGCTCCCATTTCAAATGTTTGAGTACTTTCGGACGAACAAATAGATTGGCTGTTTTGTTTTGTCCCATGTCTCACTTATGTTTGCTTGTTTTCTGTTGCCCTACTGGAAATTGAATTTCCCCTCAAGGGATGATAAAGACTGAACTGAATTGAACAATAAATTAACTCAATAAATAACATTATATTATACTTTACAGATAACACTGTCTTTACTGTCTTTACTGTATTATCTTTGACTGATCCATTAGAATTTGATTAATTATCAAATTCAAATAGAGTAGTGACTGCAGACATCCCCACTAACCTCCAGAAAACAGGCCAGCTTGTAAGTTGCCTGAGAGGCAGAATCTGGGGCAAAAAGTGCCTGTAAGGTTAAAGGGCTGTGAGCACATAGTGACGAGTGAAGGAGACTCAGAGAATCATTTGAACTTTTTGACACTTTTTAGTCGACATGCCCCCCTTGGCTGCTAACTGGACTGAACTGTTCAGTTCTGTACTCAGAAAAGTGATGTTCAAACTTTACCAATAGTTTATATTTTCTTACTCCATACTCCGCAGTGTCCCTCACTTTCAATATGTTTTCTACACAAATACAGAGATGTTCTCTTTGCCGTTAGCAACAGCTGTAATTACTGAACTTGAATTTCCATTTCATATGCAGGCTTCCTACAGCACAGAGTGTTATTATTGTAAAGGCCACAGAAAAAATGTTTAAAAGAAGTGAGAGATACATCCTTTCCTGAGCTTCTGGGGCTCTAACAATGTCACCTGTTAAAGACTTTTATTTTGCATGTTAAACAACAGTAAGTCTCTGAGACACCTGACAAGCCTCTGAGCCTGTCAGCTGCCTCTGAAGGTGGTCTGACAGAAACCTGAAATGACAGGGAGCAGGTTAATCAGATAATGCACTAAGGAGCTCAGTTACCAGGCAAGTTAAAGATGTGGTACGTGCAGGTGGACTAATGCCTGAGCTCATGTGACCCCTTCAGTGTGTATCAGTAATATGTGATGACCCAACGTGGGCACTGATCCTGCTGTGGTTGTTTTGTGTTTTAGACCATCGAGAGCTTCTACAATGAGACATGGACAGGCAGGCACTCAGAGTCCATCTCTCAGACCACTGTAACAGCTCTGTGGTCGCTCTCTGTGGCCATCTTCTCTGTGGGAGGAATGTTCGGCTCCTTCTCCGTCGGCCTCTTTGTCAACCGCTTCGGCAGGTACGACTCTTCCTACGGCCAACAACGTTAATATTGACACCTTCCGTTAAAACTGACCCATTAATGAATGCTCTTCCTGTCTCTGAAGGAGGAACTCCATGCTGATGGCCAATGTGCTCGCCGTTATCGCTGCTGTGTTGATGGGCTTCTCCAAGCTGGCTGCTTCCTTTGAGATGCTCATCATTGGACGTTTCATAGTGGGTCTCTACTCCGGCCTCTCCACCGGCTTTGTTACCATTTATGTTGAGGAGATCTCACCCACAACTCTCCGCGGAGCATTAGGCACTCTGCATCAGCTTGGTGTAGTGATTGGCATCCTTATGGCACAGGTGAGACCCTTAACCCCTGAACCATGATTTCCTTCTTCATTTCCCAACCTCTGTAGTTTCAGAGATAACCCATTACAACCAAGAATATGAATGAATTTTTAAACCTCAGCATCTCAAAGATTCCCCAACGATGTGGCTGACTAAGGCTAGCAAGAAAAAGGCCTTGGTCAGGCTTCGGGAGAACCACCAGCGAGCCCACATTCAGTTTCCTTGCCTCAGAGAGAAGAGCTCTGTCCATGCACGACACACGAGAAGTTAAGGCTTCAGTGGAGGACAAATTGGAAAGCTGGAACGCCAAGTTCCCGTGTGGACGAGGCTGAAGGTTGGGTTGCAGTACTGCTAATTATTTCCAGTACGAGCAGAGTATCAGGTCCTCTCTAGATAGCCTGGCCTCCAGTAGGGGCTGATAAAGTCCACTTTTTAACCTTATTACTCCCCAGATAATATGGTTACTAGGAGGCACTGTACTTGTTAACCTTAAGGTTAACTTCACCATGTTCTTAAAAAACAACATTGTGACATCATGATATGAAATCATCTAAAGTAGACATAGCTTTTGTTCAGGACACACTAACGTGTTTTTGTCGTAGATCAACTGGCTCCTCGGATGGTCCCATTCTCTGAGTTGGGAAGTTGTTCTTCCGACTTCGGTATGTTCATGAGCTTTTAAGTCGGGATGTGGAAACAACGTGGACGCTACAAAGAAGATGTGTTTTATTGTTCAGAGCATTTACACAACACGTTGATCACCACTAAAATACTGCTTTACGGTCAGAAACTCATTTTTAAATGTAAATGCTCTGTATAGCGCCTTTCTAGTCTTTTCAACCACTCAAAGCGCTTTTACACTACATCTGCATTCACACACACGTTTATTCACTGCTTGCACTATGTCTGGATATTATATACTCTCCTTAATTAGTGGACGTTATTTTCTAAAGATTGATAGAATAATATTCAACAGATTACTTTTGAAGTCTAAGTCTCTGTGTTTACATGTACACAATAATCCAGTCATAAGGTAATTAGGTATTAAAGAGAGTAAGGTAGAGGCACCACACTATCATCATGTGATCATGCTGATAAACTCATGTAAACACATCAAACCATTTTTTATCCAATTTTGCTAATGTTATTCATAATATGGACACAAGGGAGAAACAGATAAAAGAGACAACAAAAAGATGTCTCTTGAATGTAGTGGCGAGCCTGATGAGGACGGTCATTCAAACTCCCCAGAGATATTTTGAAGAAGCTGAAGTCAGCGATGTTGGCACTGGATATAATGTTGCTTAGATTCACTCCTGCTTTTTAAACACAGCCATTCAAACCACAATGAAGGGAATCTGCCCGGCAGCAACTTTTAGAGGATCGCAGACGATCAGGACCAACAGGATCCCTGGCGCGTCCCTGTTATCTCTGATATTCCTCTTCCGGTTACTGGTTACATGGACCTTCTGACCGGTCTGGAGCAGGTCCTATTTATAGGTCTTAACTGACATCAAGGCGTCTGCTCTTGTCTTGTTTATTTTCCTGGTAATGCAAAATAGTTGATTTTTCATCCTATCTAGCTGTTACAAACTACCGACCTTTTAAATCCTGTCTATCATTTCCTCCAACTATAAAAAGACTACTGTTGAAGGCAGTTTCCATGTTGACAGTTGAAAAGCTTTTTACAGTTTCATGTATAGATTTTAGATGTAAATAAATAAATATAAACATGGTCACACTGTATTGTAATATTTAGACTTTTGGATAAATTGTCTGCTCTTAACTTTTTATTTTGTTAGCTGTGTTTTGTGTATGAAAGGTGCTTTGTAAAGACTCTTTAGGCTACAAACGAATTTCTTGTTCCTAAAAGCAGACCAAGTAAACGTCGTAATTGGAGTAAAGCCTTAGTCTGAGTAATGACCGTAATTAGATTATTGTGTGCAGGTAAACCTCTCAGGTTCAGTGGGATAGAACAATGCTTGGCTGCATTACAAGGTAACGTAATGATGCATCCGTCAGGTCTGAAGGTAAAATGACCAACAGTGGAACCTCAAGTGACAACATCAGAACAGCCCTCGTTTCAATCCTTTTTCACATTTCTGCAAAAGAATTTGCAGGAAGCTTTATGCTTTAGTCAAGTAACTTGACATATGTTACCAGTTTAGAGGCCAGTATGAGCCTTTTTAGGGCCATGAGGGGGATTTGCCACCCCCCTCCCCACCTGCAAAAGTATCTGCACTGCCATAAACCTGCAAATGTAAGATTTTAGGCACTATTTGATGTTCGAACATGTCAACATCAAACACTGAGTAAAGACCAGAAAGCCAGCTGGTGTTAAAATCGTTCGTGTCTCCCCTGGCGTAGGGGCCCGCCCTTGACCTAGGGTTCTGGGGACTCGGGCTTGTGGCCTTTGCTCATTTCTGGGCAGGTGGTGTGTCCCTGGGCCTGGGGGCCCGTTGTCTCCTCTCCTCGCCTGGGCCCTCTTCGGCAGAGGTGAGGCTCCCGCTGCTTCCCCCTGCCAACTCTCTCACGGTGGGGGCATTTGGGAGTCTCTGGGGCGCATGGCCGGTGTTGTCGGGGTAGGTTTTGGTGCTCCTCCTTGGTGGTGCTTGACTGGGGGGGGGGGATGTCCAGGGATGAGATCGGCCTCGGGGGGCTGCTGTCATTGCCTCTGGCTGGGCTGGGGGACCGTTGGTCTGGTTCTCCCGCGTTATTGCTCCCTGGCGGCAGGGAGCTTCCCGGCACGGCTTTTTGCTGTTCCTTGGGGCGGGGTACAGCTTCCCCCGGGACATGCGGTCTGGGGTCCTTTGCACTTTGGGGGGTCGCAGGGTGTCCTGGCTTCTGGGGGTGGGGGTCTCTGCGCAGGTTGATCCGATTGCGGTTTGGTGGGCTACGGTGGGATTGTGGGGCGATTGTCTGAATGGCTGCTGGGCGTTTAGTTTGTGCATTGGAGTCCGGGGGAGGCATCTCCTCGTTGGCTGGGAGGGACCTGTTTGCGTCCCCGTATTGCTTCATTGGCCTCGGATCCGTGCTTCCCCATTTCTCTGTCGGCCAGTTGTTGGACCCCTCTGGATACTGAGGTATATAGTTAGTTTTCGGGATGTGCAGTGTGGGTGCGGGGCAGGGCTGTGCTCCGGTTTGTTCTGGATTTGTGCCTGGAGTTCTCGGCCCTTGACGGGTGGGTGGGTTGTTGGTGGCATGCAGCTGAGCTGGTTGATTTTGCCTCGTTGCTGGTTTGGCTGGTGTTGCACGGCGGCCGGGGGGCGCGCTGGGCATGGGGGATGTCAGCTGGCGCCGGCAGCCTTAGTTTTTTCCGGCGGTTGGGGGGACGGTGGACTTTTATTGGCGGGTGCACGGTGACATGTGCGGTGCGTTTGCTGCCGGGCTGGGACTTGCTGCTGGTGTTTCTCTCCGCTGGCTGGCTGTCGTGTTGTTCTGTTTGCTCTCTCTCGTTTGCCCGACCTCGCACGCGGGATTTGCGGGGGGCTGCTGGGCATGGGTGTCGCCGTGCTCGCGCAGTGTGCGCGTTGGGCTCGTCACTTGTGCATTGGTGTTGATGATTGCGTGACATTTGGGCATTTTGGTTGTTCACTGCGCGGAGGTGGGGTGCTGGGTGGGGGGGAGCACTGGTCTATGTTGTGTGCGCGCCGCGGTCGGTCCGGGTGCTGCTCTTCCGCGGGTTACGCTTTTTGCGTTCCGTCGGCATTACGTTGTCAACTGGCATTTGGGTCGGGGTCTTCTGCGTTTGCATCGCGGTGCATCTGGGAGTCTTTTTTTTTTTTGATTGATTTATTCTTTTTCTTTCTCCCACCCCTATTGGCTACTGGGGTTCTTGCCTGCCTGTTGCTGGGGTAGGTGTGGCACAGTCGTGGCGTCCCACTCTCACTAACAACTACATTCTTTAACAGGCTTATGCGCACACACATGTACACACACACACACACACACAGACACAAACAAATGTAGGTTGTCCCTGGTAGAACTATTCCTGATGCTTTTCTTTCAGTTACTTATTTAAATTAATTATTATTCCAGCTCTCGTGGCTGTGTTGTGTTGCTTATTTAGTGTGTGTGGCTGTTTCTTGTTTTCATTGTTCTCTTAGTTGTCTTAATATGTCATTAATATGTCAGCTGTTTATTGCTGCTGTTCAGCTGGTTGTCTTTTACTATTATTATTATTTTTATTGTTTTTTTTGTTTGTGTTTGTTTGTTGTTGTTTTTCTCCTCCCCAAGCCCCCCTCTCTGTTCTATTGCAGGTTTCGTTGCTTTCTGCAATTGGTGTTTCCCACAGCTTTTCCCTGTTGTCCCCACCTTCCATCCCCCTTTCCCCCTTCTCTTACAGGGGTTGTCCTTTCTCTGTGCTGTCTGTTTGTGCCCCCCCATCCCCGTGTCTGCCCCCCTGAAAAATCGTTCGTGTCAGTGGTAACAGATCCAATGCTCCCGTGCGGTGTTGTTTTGTTGCTGTTTATTTGAAAAGGGACAATGTACAATGATCAACAAAGAAAGCAAATGTAAATGTACCGGAGTTAGCCACAGGCTAGTTTTCATCGGCAGTCTCTTTGCCAGATGTTATTGGCCATCCTAAAATAGAAAACTAATATACTAAAGTCAAATACATTATACTTTTATTGTTAAAGCAGGGTGTTGTGTGTGTTGTGTAGATCTTGGGGATTGAATCCCTCTTGGGGAACGCCTCCCTGTGGCCCCTCCTGCTGGGCTTCACTCTACTGCCGGCTGTGCTGCAGTGTGCCCTGCTGCCCTTCTGCCCCGAGAGCCCCCGATACCTCCTCATCAACCAAAACGAGGAGAGCAAAGCCCGCAGCAGTGAGACACACATGTACACACACACACACACACACACACACACACAAATATATACACATAGAGAAACTACAGTGTGTGTGTGCATAAGTTACTGCAGTTTCTCTACAAGTCACTGCAGTTTCTCTACAAGTTACTGTAGTTTCTCTACAGGTCACTGCAGTTTCTCTACAAGTTACTGTAATTCCTCTACAAGTTACTGTAGTTTCTCTACAAGTTACTGTAATTCCTCTACAAGTCACTGCAGTTTCTCTACAAGTTACTGCAGTTTCTCTACAAGTTACTGCAGTTTCTCTACAAGTTACTGCAGTTTCTCTACAAGTTACTGCAGTTTCTCTACAAGTCACTGCAGTTTCTCTACAAGTTACTGCAGTTCCTCTACAAGTTACTGCAGTTTCTCTACAAGTTACTGCAGTTCCTCTACAAGTTACTGCAGTTTCTCTACAAGTTACTGCAGTTTCTCTACAAGTCACTGCAGTTTCTCTACAAGTTACTGCAGTTCCTCTACAAGTCACTGCAGTTTCTCTACAAGTCACTGCAGTTCCTCTACAAGTTACTGCAGTTTCTCTACAAGTTACTGCAGTTTCTCTACAAGTCACTGCAGTTTCTCTACAAGTTACTGCAGTTTCTCTACAAGTTACTGCAGTTTCTCGACAAGTCACTGCAGTTTCTCTACAAGTTACTGTAATTCCTCTACAAGTTACTGCAGTTTCTCTACAAGTCACTGCAGTTTCTCTACAAGTTACTGCAGTTTCTCTACAAGTCACCGCAGTTTCTCTACAAGTTACTGTAATTCCTCTACAAGTTACTGCAGTTTCTCTACAAGTTACTGTAGTTTCTCTACAAGTCACTGCAGTTTCTCTACAAGTTACTGTAATTCCTCTACAAGTCACTGCAGTTTCTCTACAAGTTACTGTAATTCCTCTACAAGTTACTGCAGTTTCTCTACAAGTCACCGCAGTTTCTCTACAAGTTACTGTAATTCCTCTACAAGTTACTGCAGTTTCTCTACAAGTTACTGTAGTTTCTCTACAAGTCACTGCAGTTTCTCTACAAGTTACTGTAATTCCTCTACAAGTTACTGCAGTTTCTCTACAAGTTATTGTAGTTTCTCTACAAGTTCATGTAGTGGGATTCTCTGGCACCAAAGGCTTCCAGAAAGGTTGACGACAGTTGGCTACTATTGTTGTTTGACTGCATATATCCTGCCAAGCGTATCAGGCAGCTGTGTGGCAGCTTTGTAAGTCCTTTTCCAGGCCGACGTGGATGTGGTATGACGTGAACTTCTGATTTGCAGTTCTGGTGAAGCTGCGGGGCACTGATGAGGTGAGCGAGGACATGCAAGAGATGAAGGAGGAGAGCCAGCAGATGATGAGGGAGAAGACGGTGACCATCCCTGAGCTGTTCCGCTCCCCCAACTACCGCCAGCCTATCTTTGTTGCTGTCATGCTGCAACTCTCACAGCAGCTGTCTGGAATCAACGCTGTAAGTCAAAAATTCTCAAGTATCAAGTAAATCAATTTTCAAAGTCCAAGTCAAGAAGCAGTTCTAGCAGTCTAAAGTCTGATGTCTAACCCACACTAACAGCAGAAACAGTAAAGTAACTGTCGACCTCTTCAGGTGATTTACTACTCGACTGGGATCTTTGAGCGAGCAGGTGTGTCCCAGCCCGTCTATGCAACCATTGGTACAGGAGTGGTCAACACTGTCTTCACTGTGGTTTCTGTAAGTCACATTTTAAAAACCAGAAAGCCTCAGATGTTCACCTGCAGGATGTTTGGTTAATACTCTCCCTCCTCCTCTGCAGCTGTTTGTAGTGGAGCGTGCGGGCAGGAGACCTCTTCACCTGGTTGGTTTGATGGGCATGGCAGTCTCAGCTGTTTTTCTAACCGCTGCCTTGGCACTGTTGGTAAGTCTTAGCACTCACCGTCACGTCATCCACTCTTCACATGAAGTGACTGAACGCCTCTGTGCTGTGCTCCTCAGGACCATTTCCACTGGATGTCCTTTGTCAGCATAGCGGCAATCTTCAGTTTTGTGGCCTTTTTTGAAATCGGCCCCGGCCCTATTCCCTGGTTTATCGTGGCCGAGCTCTTCAGCCAGGGGCCCCGGCCCGCTGCCATTGCAGTTGCTGGTTTCTCTAATTGGTCAGCCAACTTCTTAGTGGGGATGTGCTTTCAGTATGTTGAGGTGAGACAGCTTCATTTCCAGTGTACATCTGCAGTCCAGAAACATCCTGACAGTTGACTCTTTATAGCATTATATATGTACAGGCTTTATTACTGCAGCTGTGCCTATAATTAAAAAGTAATCACGTTTTGCTTTTGATGTCCCTGCAGCTACTCTGTGGCCCCTACGTCTTTGTCATCTTCACTGTCCTGCTACTCGGCTTCTTCGTCTTTACCTACTTCAAGGTGCCAGAGACCAAGGGCCGCAGCTTCGACGAGATCGCAGCGGGCTTCCGACAGTCAGGTGGTCAGGGTGCCGACAGGTACTCGGCCCCTGAAGAGTTCAACACCCTCCGGGGGGATGACCCCGACCTTTGAAAGCTGCAAAGTGACTTGTTACACTTGGGATCTTGCATCTCGTAAACTAATGTTAGTGTCAGTATCACACGAGGTTTAGTCTTCACACAGATGACCGGACTGAGCAGATCACCGTCGGTCCTCCTGTCGGTCCTCCTGACTGGTCCTGTTGGCTTTTAAACTGAAGTGAGTGAGAGGCCGATGCAGAAGATAGAGTTATATTGTGTTGTAATGTTCTTACTCAGAATAGAAAGCTGAACCTTCTGTATATAATTTGAAACTCAGTTTCCTTTTTCATGGGTGTTTTACAGCTGCATTTTCTATTTTTGAAAAGTTTAAAGGATCCGGTTCAAAGTGTTAGATAGAAATATGAACCTTTTCTGATTGTTAAAAAGTGGACCACAGTATCCCAGTGTGCCAGTAAACACCATTAAAAACTGGTGCACCGCTCTCTGTGGCAGTATCGGCAGCATGTTCCCTCTCTGATGGAAAATCTCTGCTGTGTAATTTTTACTTTCAAGGTCATAGATTCTGCTCAATATTTAGAGTTAAGTCTGAACTATAATGTTTACATCTACCTGTTTTATGTACATATTCAATTAAACAGCCCTGAGTGGAAACACTGGAAATGTTTTTCCTCTCAGCCGAGGTGGGAAGGTAGTTTGTGGATAAACAGAAACAGTCTTGGTGAATAAACGCTGCAGTAACATGAAGCAGTGACTGAAAGCATCAGCTGTGTGAGGAGCGATGAGGAGAACAAAAAGGTCTCCACATTTTCCATCGTTTGAACTCTGACTGCAGCTCTTTTAATGACGTGGCCTCGGTGTGTCGTCTTCTTCTGTGGTGGTTGAACGGCAGCTGACTGGAGAATCAGCTCCACCAGCTGTTTGTCTTCATCAGCCAATGAGCTCACTGCATTCAGGGCATCCATTCACGTTTTCTTTTGCTAACTTTCTGAAAATGTTGTTAAATTACTTTATGCACATTTTGAATGGAAACTTCAACATCTCAAAATTTTAACTTGCTAAGATGCAGAGTAAAAAGTTTGACTCTGTTCAGTTTGTTCAGACTGAATTTGAAGAGGTTTTTATGCATTTAACTGCTGAAGGAGTGCATGTGTGTTTGTGTATTCCTCATAACAGAAGTCCCTATAATGTAAATCATTCAAATTTATGGTGAAGACTTAAAGGTTAGAGTGAGTCTCCAGGGAGTGATGGAAAGACGATGTGTGTAGATGTGCCCAGACCAAACCATTCTGTTCCTATAAATTGATCGACTGTTTTTTCATTTCTCCTTAACAGCCAAAGTCTCGACTTTACAGACGCTGATTAGTTAAAGCTAACTAGCAACATGCGCGCCCGCTGTCTGTGTGCTGACCTACAACTTTCTGCAACATGATGGGACTTTGTGCTGAGCTGCACTTTGTTTTGAATCTGAAATCTTGCAGTCAAACAGGGAGAGACATTTGTCCTCACCTGGTAGATAAAACTCTTGTCCAACTCGTGTCTTAAATCCAGTAAATCACAGCTCGCAGACGGATTTCAGACTCATTTATAGAGAGTTAAATTAAAGATCAAGATTTTGGGAAATTGCTTTCCTGAAGAGAGTTTGACAAGACCACTGATACCAGTTCACATCTGTCCTTTTAATATAAGTGGTTAGCTTAGCTTAGCACAGAGATTTTCAGAGTCTGAGTCTGAGGGCCACCCCTCACACAAGCCTAGAGCCTCCCCTGAAACAGTCTGGAGCCCCCTAGCCTGGCCTGGAGATACCAAAGGTAACTAAATCACCTCTAAAGTTTAGATTAACATGTTGTATCATTTTAACTGTACAAAAACACAAGTATAAAAACTTTAGCTCAGACTTATTACTATTTTCAACCAATTTTATGTATTTTTTCTGGCCTAAATGTGCTTCATAATAACTGGAAGTGTTTTTATTCTGATGGTTTTTATATTTGGGTCACATCTGGCTTTATATTAATAATCATTAAAGAAGTTCAATCAATCAATCATAGAGTGTCATGCCTGGAGAGTAAATATGTATATATTGTAGTCTACATGTGTATGTACTGTGTAATTAAATAACTAACTGAATTCATTTACATATTCACAGTTCTATATTTACTGTTTACCTACAACCCATTTACTTAAGCCCAATATTTAGTTTTGTGTATTTTTCTGAGCTGTTTACAAAAAGTTTGACAGATCATAAATATATTTTAATCCATAGAAAGACTTTTATACAGGAAATGCAAACACATAAACATGAAACAGAGGCAGGTCTGTCTGTGATCTGTATTTTGTGTGTCTACAGATAAACTGTACAGTGTTTTAGAAAATAAACGATGTAATAAACCCGAGGTTCACTGGGTTCATCTTAATGATAGCTAATGATTAGCTAACCTCCTGTGATGAAACATTAGTGCTTCAATTAAAATTAAGAGCCACAAGGAGAAAAGAAACCTTAGAAAAAAAAGTCAAACAGCTGAAATATGAGAATAACATAATTATTTCAAAATAAAAAGATATTTTATTACAACAAAAAGTCATTATTTTGAGTATGTTTGTAATATGAGTTGCATTTTAGAAGAAAAACTTGTTATATTAGTCATAAAACTGTGTTTTTAAAATGCTGTTCTCATGACATAAAAACACATTCACTTTATTCTTATAACTTTAGATATTTTTCCTAATTGAAGTATTTGAGAATAAAAAGTAAAAAATAAAGTCAGATTAGAAGAATAAAGCTGTAATATTAGGACCTAAATCATAGTTTATGAGGAAAAGGTTATATTAATATTAGTAATATTATGAGAATAAAATATTAGTCTTTATTCTCATATTATTTAGAGTTTGGAGTGTCCCTCAGACTCTGTCCTCATGAACGGAGAGTGCAGTGCAGTTACATTAGAGGGCGCTCACAGCTCATCTTCATGAGAGATCACACACGTGTTTCAGGACACCAGCTTTGCTTCTGCAGGTGTTCTTACCTGTGACAAAGGAGGAGTCTGACCGGGAGAACTGGTCTGACCAGTCCACAGTCTGCTCGATGAATTCTTAAAAAATATAAAATGTCTTTTTTCTCTGCACACATGTTGCCATGGACAGCAGGACAGGATTGAAGAGTTTCTTTAACAAAAATACACATTTAAACACACATTCAGATTAAAGTCAATGAAGCACAGGTGGTGGCTGGATTCCATTTAGCTGCTGTACTTTCAGGGTCCTGGTTTAGTTCATTGCTGGGACGCCTTTCCTGCTGCAATGAGCCAAATGTGTGAAGTCAGCCTCACACGTGGCAGTGAGCTGCATGTTGTAACCTGACCCCCCCCCCCTCTGGGCTGTGGTTGTGTAACTCCGACTGCAGCGAACACAAACTAAATAAAACTTCATCTACAACAGCAGAGAATCTGAGGCCACAGGGTTTATTGTAACGGAGAATAAACACCGTGTCTCTGGCTGCTTACAGACATCAGTCCAGGAACTGCAGCTGTCTCTCCGTAGATGGCTGCTCACAGCTGCAGGATTCCCACAGTCCTATGAAACGGGGTCAGAGGTCACAGCTTCAGCCTGTACATTCCTCCTCACAGTTCAACTCCACAGTGTTTAATGGCCCTGCTGAACTTTCACCTGACTCAAACACTCTCAGTGGTGCTACAGGTCCGTAATGATCTGGGTTTGATGTTATGATGACATGATCAGGCCGAACAAATCACCTCGAATGAAGAAAACAAACACTTGTTTTTACTCGTGAGTCGATAATCTGCATGCAGAACAAGCCGGCTGATGAAATACTGCTGGAGGAAGAGTGACGCTGAGGAGCTGCACTTAAAGGCTTCATGTGGTTCACCGTTCAGGTTTCCCTCGGGATGAACTGTAATCAGCAGGTCAACGTGTTAAAGTCAAGAAACCCAGACATGAACTTTGATTCATTCTGTCATAATTGAGGAGCAGAGGGGAAGCTGGATACTTTATTAACTCAGGTATCATATTTTACAATTTCACAAACATCTGGATAAAAAAGTTTGAAAAAAGTTTAAGCCGCCATGCACCTGCTGCTGCTGATCTTCATGTTGTGATGGCGTCAGCTGCAGCTCTGTCTGAGTTTGGTGATCCTCAGGTCACGCTGCTCACACTTATCTACGCCACCTCGCACCATCTCGCTCGCTCTGATGATTTGTGTGTTCAGTTGTTGGCAGGTGGAGTTACTCACTGTGTGGAAACCCCCCTGCCAAGTCATGTGTCTGCTGCAGCGTCCTGTCCTCTGGCCTTTGTACTCAGACTTCACAGTATGTACATGAAGTTATGTATGTACTTCGAGTTACGTAGCCGCGATGCTTCACTTTGTACTTCATAAAGTGCTGGGGGGAAAGTTCTGCATTAAAGTGCTCCTTCAGTAAAAGTATGCGAGTATAATCAGGACTTAAAGTATTAAAGCAGTGAAATGTTGTACTACTAGATCTCCTCTCCTCAGATTCTTCTTCCTCCTCATTAATGAAAAGCAGGATGTTGCTGCTAGTTGGTAGGCTGCAGCTCATTCTGAACTGTTTAGTATCAGACTGCAGCTGATGATTCTTTTCATTCTGGATCAATCTGCTAATTATTTCCTTCATCAATACATTGATTGTTTGGTTTGCAAAGATACTGCCATCACAGTAACCCAGAGCCCAAAGTGACACCTTCACAACGAACAGTCCAAAGATCAACGTGACAACAAACATCACAGTTATTAAGATCATTCAGAGGAGAAGCAGCAGATCTTCATGAGAAGCTGAAAGATGACATGTTTGACAGGGGAAATTACTTAAACCGACTGATCGATCAGCTGTACTTGTATAAACTGTTGGAAGTTTAATTTATAACATTTCATAAACTCGTATTATGTGTAAAAATCTGAATTTTTAAAGTAGCTGTCAGATAAATGTAGTGAAGTAAAAAAGTAAAAAAATACTGAGATGTTGTGGGTGTACCTCAAATGTGTAACTAAGTACAATACGTGAGTACTACTCAGTAGTAACAAACACTCAGCAGGTCTCTTGTTGAAGTGAAAAATGATTTAATTAGTTTCAGATAGAACAAATAAATACGACGTCTGTTTAAAAGGTGTTCAGGCAGCAGGTGCAGCTGTCGGTCCTCTCCTCTAACTGCACACAGTATTTAAAATATTTTATTAAAATATAGCTTTTCATTTTTTTCTTCCATGAAAATAAAAAGTATAAATTCATCACAACTCATTCTGTGAGGTTTGTTTTCAGGTGTGAAAAGTTGAGCGGGTCACCTGTGTGAGCAGGAAGTGTAGTTTATCAGCTGGAAGTGCTGCGAGGATGAAGGACACTTTAAAAACATCCATAAAAACTCCTATAAAATACTGAAGGACACTTCTTACTCTGCTCTGTCTGTAAATAGCAGCTTTTTAGATAATGCATAAAATAGTTCTGTAGTGTTCTCTGGTCCTAAGATTTACTGAGCGAGCGCCGCGTCGCTCAGAGGCTCAGTAGGAGCGTCCAGCAGCTCGAACATGTCGTCGATGACCTGCCACAGACAGTTCTCCAGTGGGAAGTCGTTGTCCACCAGGTTGACCAGGAAGTAGTTGTCATGGATGTACTTGATGATCATCCGGGACGGGGACTCGTCTTCATACAGCTTGGCCCACTGCTCGATCCACAAGGCGAAGGCCTCGTCCTGAGAAAGACACAGGGACAGGTCGGAGGACGCTGACTTGTGCTGCTGATAGCGTTTTAGTTTTTATTCATCACATCGACTGCGGGATGAGGATTGTCTATGTGCTGGGGAGATTCATCGACGTCATGGATTAAGGAAATATGTCAGTTTTTGTGTCGTGTGTCGGCGCCTCACAGCACCCTACTGGCTGCAGCTTTTTTGTTTTAAATCGCTCTCTGTCCACACCAGTGTTTTATCTGCGTATCGGAACTGATCCCCGTCTGTTTTAAAACGACTGAAAACGCACATCATGACCGTTCAAATTCACTGGGCATGTGTGTGCCGGTGTAAACAGGAAGCAGATTGTCTGCTCTGCAGCTGCAGAAGATTCGGCTAAAGAAGAATGTTCCGTAGACTGTCATTGCAAATTAAATACTAGGGTTGAATTGATTCATCGATTACTATTAAAGAAGACTAAATGCATCGACACAAATTCTTTGCATCGATGCTTCGTTTAATCCATGTAACTTTACAGCACACTGTTTCGCAGGGACATTTATTACGGTCGCACATCGTGCTTACGCTGTGAACACGACGTGATTATAACGGCGCTGTTTGCAAAGTGGAGGAAGAGAGAGAAAATAGCGAGGGACGAAGAAGAAAGTGTCCAGAGTGTGGGATTATTTCAAGCTAAAGAAAACAACAACTGTAATGTTACCGTCCGTCAGCCGTAAAACTGCCAGCGGACCACAGGCAAGGGAACAGTAACAGCAACTTTAGCATTTAACTGAAACCGTGACTGACTGTTGAGTTGAAGCCAAAGTAAGCCGCAGTCCTCAGCTGAAAATGTGCACATCGTTCTCCTGGGTGGGCAGTGAGTTGTAGCCTCACAGTCAGGAGTTAACTGGGTGTCGGGAGCTGCACCTTTTAACTCCCCTGCAGCTCTCTCTGTAGCTCTGACAATCCCTGCTACCTGCGTGTGCTAATCCACCCTTTCACCCAGATTCTTTGTCTTTAGAATAACCAACAGCAGCTGTTTCGTGTGCAGGATCGCTCATTTCCCGTTTCACGTGTCTTCTTGACAAAACGTGGTTTGGAGACCAGCGTCGGGTGACACAGCAGCCGTCAGCTCCTGTAGTGTGCGTGTGTCCCTGTCACCGATCAGTCAAGTAGTGTGAACGGCCACAACAACTTCAAGACTGCCGTCATATGACGGCAAGTTGTGTGAACGGCACGGCCGACGCTGACGGTCGTGTAGTCTGCACGAGCCTTTAGTATAACTTGTAGCACTCAGCTGTCTGGTTGTTGGTCTGATGTTTGCTGTATGACACACTGAATTTCCGAAAGCACCAATAAATATTTATCACTTAGAAACGTTCACAGCTGATCCCGTTACCGGGAGGGGGGCGCTGCTTCTTAAACGACGCATCAATGAATTGTTGAAATAATCTATGGAAGCTTCGAATACTAAAATCATCGTTAGCTGCAGCCCTAGTAAATACAGAGACATGCACAGTACAAGTGTGCAAGTGTTATTTACATAGTACAACATATTTTAATAAAAACACTAAAACTAAAACTCTGTCAGTGTTTCTGTTTCTTTGCATGACTGATAAGAGCCAATCAGAAAGCCAAACGTGAGCGTCTGAGTCGTTTTCACCTGTCTGCACTACACGCTACTCTGGAGTTTAAAACCAAAAACGGGTTCAGCAGTGTTCTCAGACTTCTCTTTTAGGTGTTCAGATTCACCGTTTTAGTCTGAACGGGAGGCAGAAACGTAGCAGAAGTAACTAGAGACTTGTTTTAAAATATGCCACTATTATTAATCTAATGAGCTTTATTTGTCTCTTTCAGGATGACCGAATAACATACTGAATTATAAAGTTTATCAAGTTGTTGATATTTATTTTGGACACTGTTATTAATCGATTAATAAAAATGTATCTTTAGAATAATCAATAAATTAGTCATTTAAGATTAATCAATTTTAAAAATGTGAAGCACTGAAACTGACCAGAGTGCCACACATCTGCTCTACCTGCCAAGAGGAGCATTAAGCCCCTCCCCTCTGTGCTGACCCTTCAAAGACTTTCTGCAGTAACAAATCAAACTGTCTTAGAGCCTCTGATGCTGTGTATGACTCCAGAGTGGCGAGTGGACGCTGTCCCGTGTCCCCTAATGTTCACTGATAGATCAGGTCAAATCAAATATTACATGTTATTATAATAATGATGAGTTTCCCCAAAATGGGGAAAGTCAGTCTGTCAAACATCTCATTTCATATCGTCTGCACGTTGGATGACAGATAACACCCAGCTGAACACATCAGCACTCAGCCTCCGACTCACCTTCCAGTACATGAAGCTGACCGGGTCCACCACTGTGGGCTGAACGATCTCCCTGCCTGGAAAGATCCCCCACGTCACGGCGTTGGGCTGCATGTCGGGGGCGTTGGTCAGGTTCCGGCCCTGCACACAAACGTTCACGGTGACGTAGCATGACCTCACACACACAGACGGAGCGGCTGCTGCTTTCTGTTCAGACTCACGTGCACGTTAACGATGTGATAATTAACCCGGGGCTCGTACTTCTTCAGCACTTTCAGGAGAGCGGTCACGTTTTCGCTGGAGGTGAAGAACTCCAGGTAGGCCTGTGGGACAGAAAACCAGAGGATGAAGGCTCTGTGTCCCCTCAGAGCTGCACCCAGGGGCCCCGACGAGTGCTCCTACCTTCTGGAAGACGTAGCCCCCGGCTGGTCCCCAGCCCACGATGGGGTCTGTGGAGGGTTTGCCATTGATGTTGGGCTGAGAGTTGATGGTGAGGACTCCTCGTCTGTTCACCTTCTCCAGCTCGTCCTTCAGCAGGTTGGTCTCAGGGGCCAGAGGCTCGTCGTTCCAGGGCAGACACATCACCTAACAGAGGAGAAACCTGGTTTAAAGGATCTGCTTCTCTTTCCTTCTGAGAGTCAGGCGTTCAGATGCATCTCAGTCTGGAGTCAGGTTAGCTTAGCTTAGCACAAAGACTGGCTCTGTCTTAAGTCCTGAACACACAGACACGAGACTGAGACGAAAGAAAGAAAATTCATTTTCATAACAACGTCCTTGAAGTCAGACTGATGAGCTGTAGGGCATCGCGACAGGCTTAGAACGGTCTCAGAAATTACAATTCCAGTGAAATCTTTTGGAATATTTGGTACTGAATCTGATCATCGGTTCCAAATTTAACAAGTGCAGCTTTGGTTTCCCAAGCAGCCACCAGACTTCCAGGCGCTTGCTCCGCTGCAGCCATGGAGCACAGTAAGAATCAAAAGAAAGAATCAGAATTGTTAAAATCAAAATCGATAGTTTCTGACAGTTTAAAGCTGAGACCGGCGTTCCCGGTTCCTCCTGGTCTACCTTGTGTCCGCTGAAGTTTGACTGAGCGGTGATGTAGCAGGTGAAGACCTCGTAGACACTCTCTTCATTCTTCAGCTCGTGGCCCCACATCTGCAGCAGGGCGTCTTTGGAGGACTTGCTCTTCAGGTAGAACAGGTAGTAGTCATTCAACTCACCGAAGGCCGGAGAGGACGAGTTCCCCCTGAACACATCAGTCACCAGTTTATACCAAGTCACTCTCTGTTCTGACATTCATTCAGGTTCTGTCCTGTAAACTGTGCTGAGCTTATGTGGACTTGAGTTTACCATCTGCCGTTGGGGAAGTCGTCCCAGTCCTGGGTCCTGTAGATGTAGCTCTTTGGCCTGGAGGCCCAGAAGATGGGTCGAACATCTTCCACCTTGCGTTTGGGATGAGCGCTCACTGCCCACGGGAGAGGCCGCCTGGCAAACACAACAAGCCCTAAAGCTCTAAAACCAGGATCCAAAGTCTCTCTAACAACTGGGGATCCTGGACTTCTCACCAATCTAACAAACATTCAGCAGCCAGAGCAGCAGATTTAATGGGATGAAGTTATTGATTTGACTGCTGATCAATTCATTTATTTCAACAGTAAAAGTTACAAAAACTAACAAAGACACAAACACAGCTGTATGTTACACATCAGTGCAAATATATTCAGTAGCCTGGAGTGAAAAAGTAATCCAAGTACTAAAGTAAAGATGTGTGTTCTATGTGTACGCCACCAGTCAGAAGTTTTAGAACTCCTACCTTGTTTGTAGTTCTTCTGTAAATCTCAGTAGTTCAGGTCCAGTGAAAAACCTTAAATGGTACCAAAGTTAAAAACAACGTTTACGTCACCAAAACAGACATTTTCACATCTAAAACGAACAATGTTCATTATTTCACTGTAGGATCAACTGATGACCAGCTGCTCCATCTTCCTTCATTAATATTATATACAGTATATATAATATAGTCCAAATAAAGCTTCTGAGGGTGGATTAACAGGCGGTTCCAAGGTGTTTACTGTAGAAATGTTTCATTTTCTGCCACTGCTAAGAATAACCAAAGAAGGTAAAGACAAAGTTTAGGTCAGAAAAACTGGGAAATAATATAAATTTAGAGATAAACAGTTTTTAGGGATCAATAACGAGTTATCAACTTCAACTTACAGTGAAATAATGAACAAAACTTCATTTGATTGTTTATTTTAGATGTGAAAATGTCTGTTTTGGTGACATAAATATTTTTAACTTTGGCAGTTTGCTGCTGACTTTGGTACCATTTAAGATTTTTCACTGGACTTGAATTACTTGGATTACTACAAACATGGTGGAGTTCTATAAATGTGACACTGGTTTTGCACAGTGGCTCTCTGATAGATGTTATATTGGCAGTACAAACAGGATATTGTTGATTTGGCTCCACCTTCTGCTCAGTGTGCTGTAAACAGGCAGTGGAGGGACTCACCTGGGGTCCTCTATCCACAGGCCCAGCTGGCGCAGCACCTCCATGGTGGCCACCTCACGGTTCAGCGTGTAGAAGTGGAGGCCGGGCACCTTCCCGCTGTCCAGCAGCACGCGGCACATCTCCACCGCCTGCTGGATGCCGTAGCTCCTGATGGCGGCGTCGTTGTCTTTGATGGGCTCGATGACTCTGGTGATCTCCTCCGGGACCTCGAGCTTCGACAGCTTGACGAGTTGGCGCAGCGACTGATAGCCCTGGAGAGGAACAGGTCCCAGCTTTAGTCCAGACTGTCGTCTGATTGGATCATTTTAAAGGTAAGCAACTGGCTTCACTCCATCTCCATCGACGGAGCCTTTAAGCTTCGTGGCGATCACCACAAGGGACCGGGTCTGGTCTCTTGAGTACAACCTTCAGCTCTCCTCTGTACATGGGGAATTATCTGGCGCTCTGCTTATCAGTATTTGATTTATTTATTTATTTATCAGCCAACATGAAAATACTGGTATAAATGAGATAACCTGTAATACAGGCCAGCAGCAGATTATCAGCTGACCTTGACTCTGGATCAGGTCCAATAAAAAGGATCTGTAGAGGACGACTACAACAAAGCCCTGCAGCCAGAGGCCTGGGCTCCTGGGAGAAGGTTTCCCAGTATGACCCCTGTGACTTCTTCCTGTTCCTGGAAGCAGCTGCGAGTTACCTGAATGGGGAAGATTCCAGGTAGGATGGGGCACGTGATGCCAATCGCCCTGCAGTCATCCAGAAACTTGAAGAACGTGTCCGCTCTGAAGAACAGCTGGGTGATGATGAAGTCTGCTCCAGCGTCCACCTTCTCCTTCAGGTGTCTGAGATCCTGCTCGTAGCTCTCTGCCTCGGGGTGGCCCGTGGGGTAACCTGGATACACAGACACGTTTAAAAACCTGCAGACGGACGCTTGAACCTCCTGGTGCTGACGTGGAGGCTGAAAACCTGCACACCTGCCACACAGATGTCAAAGTAATCGTCAAACTCAGATCGGATGTGTTTGACGAGGTCGATGGCGTGGTTGAAGCCTCCCTCTTCCTCCTCCCAGTCGGCTCCCACCGGATCTGCAGGGACAGATCACAGATGTAACGAGGAGCTCTGAGATACTCTGTCCTGAGAGGAACCTGTAAACACAAACCTCCTCTGAGGGCCATGATGTTCTTGAGGCCCAGGTGCTTGGCCTTGGCCAGGTGGCCCGTGATCTTCTCTTTGGTCTGGTTGCAGCAGGTGAGGTGGAGGATGCTCTCCAGGCCGCAGTAGTTGACCGCTGTGCTGGCGATCATCAAGGACGAAGTCTCCTTGTCTGAGCCCGGGTCCCCCGCTGGGTGCCAGGTGATGTCGATGAACAGGGGCCCCCCGGAGCCCATGCGGTCAAATCTGAAGGAAAATGGTAAGAAGTTGATGGAAAGTGTGCAGAGAATGATTGAGGGGTTGGTGATAACGCTGTATTGATTAGCCATGACTCTGATCTCTGTCCTCTTCTGTAGAACTGCAGCTGGATCAGAAGAAAGCTGAATGAAGTGTTGCTGCAGCGTGACGAAGCAGCAGGTCTCACACTGTTGAACAAGTTATTTTACAAACAGCCTTACAGTTACAGCCGGGCAAGAAACGAATAATTACAGCAATATAAATTTCCTCAATAGAAATATTTCTTTCTTAAAGCTGCAACGATTAGTTGACAACTATTAAATAAAACTATTTTGATGATCGATTAAATCGCTTTGAGTCAGTCAATTTTTAAAGAAAAAAATGTGAATATTTTATGGTTTCTGTGACAGTAAACTAATATATTTGGGTTGTGGCCAAAAGAAGACGATTAAGGACGTCACCTCTGGCTGTGAGAAACACTGATGAACACTGAACATTTTCCAACCTGTTCTGGACCTAATCAATTAATTGAGGAAATAATCCACAGATAATTAGAGAATGAAAATAATCGTAAATTGCAGCCCTAATTTGGATTACGAATTAATCAGCACTTAATATTTCTATTAAGATATTTATTTTGATGAGGAGAAAGGATTGAAAAAAAGATTTCAATTAATTTTACTTCTGAAAAAAAGATTTTATTATTATAACTGTTTTCAATGACCTCAGTTTTGTGTTTGTTCTGACCATAAAGAAAAGTTTAAAACCACAATTAACCATCTGGTTTCTTCGACTTTCACTCAGGAGCAAAATTCAGCCTTTAAACGTGAATGAAATGACATTTTATCGTGAAAACATTTTTGCCAAGCCCTAGTTTGGCCCTTGTTGCAAGGGCGTCACTTTGTGTTGAAAAGTGGTGGGGACATAGGAGCTCAGATTAGGGGTTTGAAGAGACACACGAGAAATCACAATATGCAATATTAGGTTTGCGATAAGGAGATGAAAAGATCCTTAAACAGTGTATTAAAGATATCCTCAATGCAGAGATATATGAGCGGGGGTTCTGGGCGGACCTCCCCGAGGAAATATTGATAATCAAACACTTCATTTCCTGCATTCTGGTATCTGTACCAATTTATGGTGGAAATATTTTTACTTATGTAAAAGGAAACAAATCAGGTAGCACGTGGCATTTCAAAATATATTAATATAATATAATGCAGTGCAGCTCTCAGTCAGTTTCGCATGCAATATCATCCCTGCTGAGGCGACACATACTGTATGCAGGCATGATTTAGTCTCTTTTGTCATGTTCACAGGGAGAGAACAGAAAACTTGGCCAAAAACAAACTTAAGATGTTGTTAAAGTTACTGATCACTGCTGCATGTTTTTGGGTCATTTTATGATCAGTACCGTGGGTTTTTTAGCTTAAAAGGTTCAGTGTGTAATATTTCTGAGGATCTATCGACAGAAATGCAATACGAGTTCCATAACTATGCTGTCATTGGTGTGTAAAGACCTTACATAATAAACCGTTATGTTTTAATTACCTTAGAATGAGTCATTTCTATTTACATAACCGCGGGTCCCCCCTTCCATAGACGTCGCCACGTTGCGTCTTCATGTTTCTACAGTAGCTGAAAACGGACAAACAGCTCTGCAGAGCGCATTTCATCACTACGTTATTCTTGTTCTACTTCTGGTAGAATTCAGGCAGTGTAGACACTCATCACTATGTTGAACACGTACGTTAGAAAAAGAAGATGCAGTAATAATATACTGCAGGGCTCGGCAAATAAGTTTGCAACAGAGATATATCGACTTCCATTGACATATTGTTTCACTTGCTCAGTTAGTAAAATGCAGGATTTGCACCTGGAGGTTTATGAGTTCAATCACGCCTTTAGACAATTTGTTTTTCTCTCTTCAACGAATTGATTCTGCAGCGATCGTTTCTCACATTACAGCATGTGCTGCAGTGTTTGTGTTTCGGTGTTTGATCCACATCCATCAACCTACAGACGCTTTTTCATACCCCAGTATCTCCAGGCAGAGGACATTTAGGGGAATCACCTTCTATGACGGCTCTTCCAGAGGTGTGTCAAGCAGGCTACAGACTCTTTTAATGTCGTTCAGAAGTTTTCAAAGTAAAAGTTGCTGCCATGACTGAGATCTACAGTGGGTACGGAAAGTATTCAGACCCCTTTACATTTTTCACTCTTTGTTTCATTGCAGCCATTTTCCAAAAATCAAAAAAGTTCATTTTATTTCTCAGTAATGTACACTCAGCACCCCATCTTGACAGAAAAAAACAGAAATGTAGAAATTTTTGCTGAAATATCACATGGTCATAAGTATTCAGACCCTTTGCTCAGTATTTAGTAGAAGCACCCTTTTGATCTAATACAGCCATGAGTCGTTTTGGGAAAGATGCAACAAGTTTTTCACATCTGGATTTGGGTATCCTCTGCCATTCCTCCTTGCAGATCCTCTCCAGTTCTGTCAGGTTGGATGGTAAACGTTGGTGGACAGCCATTTTCAGGTCTCTCCAGAGATGCTCAATTGGGTTTAAGTCAGGGCTCTGGCTGGGCCATTCAAGAACAGCCACGGAGTTGTTGTGAAGCCACTCCTTCGTTATTTTAGCGGTGCGCTTAGGGTCATTGTCTTGTTGGAAGGTAAACCTTCGGCCCAGTCTGAGGTCCAGAGCACTCTGGAAAAGGTTTTCGTCCAGGATATCCCTGTACTTGGCTGCATTCATCCTCGATTGCAACCAGTCGTCCTGTCCCTGCAGCTGAAAAACACCCCCACAGCATGATGCTGCCACCACCATGCTTCACTGTTGAGACTGTATTGGACAGGTGATGAGCAGTGCCTGGTTTTCTCCACACATACCGCTTAGAATTAAGGCCAAAAAGTTCTATCTTGGTCTCATCAGACCAGAGGATCTTATTTATCACCATCTTGGAGTCCTTCAGGTGTTTTTTAGCAAACTCCATGCGGGCTTTCGTGTGTCTTGCACTGAGGAGAGGCTTCCGTCGGGCCACTCTGCCATAAAGCCCCGACTGGTGGATTGCTGCAGTGATGGTTGACTTACTACAACTTTCTCCCATCTCCCGACTGCATCTCTGGAGCTCAGCCACAGTGACCTTTGGGTTCTTCTTTACCTCTCTCACCAAGGCTCTTCTCCCCCGATAGCTCAGTTTGGCCGGACGGCCAGCTCTAGGAAGGGTTCTGGTCGTCCCAAACGTCTTCCATTTGAGGATTATGGAGGCCACTGTGCTCTTAGGAACCTTAAGTGCAGCAGAAATTTTTTTGTAACCTTGGCCAGATCTGTGCCTTGCCACAATTCTGTCGCTGAGCTCTTCAGGCAGTTCCTTTGACCTCATGATTCTCATTTGCTCTGACATGCACTGTGAGCTGTAAGGTCTTATATAGACAGGTGTGTGGCTTTCCTAATCAAGTCCAATCAGTATAATCAAACACAGCTGGACTCAAATGAAGGTGTAGAACCATCTCAAGGATGATCAGAAGAAATAGACAGCACCTGAGTTAAATATGAGTGTCACGGCAAAGGGTCTGAATACTTATGACCATGTGATATTTCAGTTTTTCTTATTTAATAAATTTGCAAAAATTTCTACATTTCTGTTTTTTCCTGTCAAGATGGGGTGCTGAGTGTACATTACTGAGAAATAAAATGAACTTTTTAGATTTTTGGAAAATGGCTGCAATGAAACAAAGAGTGAAAAATTTAAAGGGGTCCGAATACTTTCCGTACCCACTGTAGTTCAGCACCGCTATCAAAGTATTTATTTATATTTTTTGCCACTACCTGTGATGGACTGGCGACCTGTCCAGGATGTACCCCACCTTTCGCCCGATGTCAGCTGGGATTGGCTGCAGGCCCCCGCAACCCTGTACGCGGGATAAGCGGTTGACGATGGATAGATGGATGGATGGATGGATTTTTTGCCACTATCAAAGCACCATAATCTGACCGTGGGCTGCCGGTCAGCTTTGGCGAGGGTCCATAATCACAGAGAGAATAAACATGTTTCCTTTGTCAATGTTTGTATGTAACGTTTTCTCTTAAGTGGTTTATAATGGACTGTAGTGCAGAAACAGTGTTTCTCTTGGCTTACATTTTCCATGTTATCTGTCAGTGGCCAAGTCACAATAACATATAGTTTTACTAAATAATTAAGTAAATATAGTTTCTTAATAAATATACCTTATGAAACCTAATTTCTTGACTGGCCACTCTCTGCTGTCTCAGAAGAGAAACGCTTTGTGCTGTGTCAGCCACTGTAGCTGTCCTACGCTCTTTGAAAGGGTAGGGGGCAGTGGTAGACTGGAATGTTGGTTGCAATTCACAACCCTCACCACTAGATGCCACTAAATCTTACACACTGAACCTTTAAGTTACTTTTTTTTGGACAATGCACATTTGTTTCTTCTATATTTTAATTGCACTGCAGGTTTTCTTAGTTTGCAAATAAACCTTTCTAAAGGCATTTTTATTTGTTATTTAACTGCAAGCTGCATGTGTGTTTTTAAAAACAAATTATGATTTTAAAAGTGATGGGGACAAAATCAGTCATTTCAAAAAGTGGTGGGGAAATGTCCCCAGCGTAAATGACACCTATGCCTTATTGAAGCCCACTTGCCTTGAGATGAGGTTCACGGCCCCGCTGGCTGTGCGGGGAGGGAAGAACTCCAGCGAGAACCAGCGGTCTCCGGACTCCGTCCTCCTCCGCATCTTGTCCCGCAGCCTGTCCGAGCGGTCTGCGTCCAGCACCGGCGTGGAGCACCGGGAGCTCTCCTTGGAGCTCTCCCCGCAGCTGTTGCTGGCCCCGCTGGAGTCGCTCGACTGCCAGCTGCCTTCCCCCCGCGGAACCTGGTTCACCATGATGTCAGACTAACGGTATATTCTGAGAAGGAGAAGAACAATCTCTGTAGCCCGGCTCTGACAGCATAGGAACACACGCCACACCAAACCCCAGTCAAAATGTACTCATTTATAGCTCAGTGACAACATACAACAGTCCTCCCTGAACACACTGGGAGCCCATGGGCCTCGTGTCCTACCTGGTTTACAGCGAGGTGAACTCTAACCTGACTGACACGAGCCGCTCGCGTTGTACCCGGTTATATCGGTAGTGTGCGCGCACATGCACGCTACAGTGTGATAGTAGTAAACAGCTGACGTTATTTTGAGCCCGGCGGAGCGTAGCTCGCTAACGCGACGTTAGCCGGTTATTTCATTAAAGGAGAACTACAGAATACATCTAATATTTTGGTACCGCCCCGAACTCGCAGCTAAGCCCGGGTACGTTGTGTCCACACCGGGAAAGTTAAGCATCGCTTCTCCCGCACCAGGTTGTCTTTGTGCTGCCGCCGCGCTGCGTTCACTCATCACGGAAACCATGTGTATCACACAAAGGCTGAGGGGAGAAACAGGGAGCCCACTCCTCGTGAAGACGTTATAAACATTTATATATATGAACCGGACCCGGAATCTAAAACGTATAATAAGCCTTTCACACTTAACTTGTTCACATCATACATTAAGTCTCACTAAATAATAAGATTTTAAATAATACACACATGCTAATAAGGTTGTGTCCGGCTCTGTTGTGTGCGTGTTACATTTATTTTAAATAACTACATATTCTTGTAAACCCAAGCGATCAAATCATGTTAATATTAAACAAATGTTTAACAGTTGTGGGTTTCCCCACGGGCCACAAATGAAGCACGGCAGCTCCCGGTATTAAAGGGAATCACACTGGCGCGATGTTCTGTGGCTGCGCAGTGTGTATGACATTTTAAAATCAGCTGTTACCAAAATCAAATCGTTTTACAATCAATACAAAAATTAATAGTCACCGAATTCCACAGTAATGTGTCTTTATCATGTCTTTATGCGTATGTTTAAAGAGTTTTGGTAGTGCATAAATTACCCGCAGTTTTGAACGCCCTGTTTTGGCGTCACATGACACTGATGATGCGTTTATATGGCATGGGAAACATGAAAACTTTACAAACATGTTGACAACCTTACTGCACGTTTTAATATATACTTTTTTTGGACAGCGTTGACATTTTATTTGCAGTAAACATGCTGTAGGGTGTACCGCTTGTTACAAGTGTTTTTAAGGTTTTTCCAGCGGTTTTGATGTTTTTCAAACTAACAGTATTGACAGCTGTCCCACAGGCCGTGAACGCAGCATGACACAACAGTGAAGATGGCGTGTTGTGGAAACTGTTTTTGTTGCCAGTGTTGCTGCAGAGAAGGAGAGACGCGGACACCAGAGGAGCTGGTAAACACAGATATGATTAGTGGGCAAGTCGGGGGTCTCTGGGTTGTTTTCTAACATTAATAAGATGTTTATTTCCCACGGAATGGCTCATGAGCTCTCCTAAGTGCTCCATTCTGGCTCCACCCTGCTGCTCACTGTTCTGTTGTCATGTAGCGACACAATAACCCTCCATCTATTACCAGTGCATATACCACATGATAATTCTCCCTATAGCTTCACCTCAGTGGGGTGATGCTGGCTGTTTTTCCTCATGCGCATGGAGAGAAAGCTCTTCGACCAAACACCGTTTACAAATCTGGCTTCCTGGCTTCCTTCCTATTTAATAAAGCTAATTAACCCCGCTTTACACCATATAGTGGTTTAATTGGCTAATCAGAACCCCTTCTTTTATCGGGCACGCACCTGGGACATCTACATTTGAGTACATTCGGGTTTTCTTAAATTAAAGTGTTGTCTTGGAGCTGTGTTAGCTTACTCTCTGTCAGGCGTTTACGTTTGTGAAATACGAATTCTGAATGGAGTCTGGCGTGGTCTTCTTACTATTCATGAACGGCGATACACTGTCATAATGTGCTTGGTATTGAGGAAACTAAGTGCAGCCCCAGTGGGAGCAGAACTCCCCAAAGTCTCCATAATTAATCTGCATTCAGCTACAGACTTGTAGTTTGTATAGGGCTTCATTTACTGTCCCTGCTGTGCTGGAAGTGTCTGTATTTTAATTATACTGTGTTCGTCTTTCACCCCGAGACAATCCTTGGGGAAATCCGAGAAGAAGATGATGAAATTCTGCCCAGGAAGGACTATGAGGTGAGAGACGTGATTAGGAAAAAGATCTCCAGCCCGCGCTATCTGGTTCATGCTGGTCCAGGTGGATGCATGTCTGGCCCAGGTGATAGTTTTACAGTTTTTGTCTTTCACAGAGCTTGGATTATGACCGCTGCATCAACGAGCCCTACGTGGAAGTTCTGGAGGGGATGGACAACAAGGTAAGTGTCTTGTGTTGATGCTCAGATGTCCACAGAGCAGACAGATGATCTGTCTTCACCTTGTTTTACCTGTGCTATGTTTGATTGAGAATCTACTGACAATGAGGTGTGCTGCAATGTTTCTCAGTATAAAACCTGGAACCTCCCAGAGCTGCTTTTGTTCTTAAGTTACATCCATGATCTATTTAACTGGCCTCTGTTTGATGTGAGGACAACACTTAACTAGTTTCTTTTAGTCTTACAGAAAGAAACCGTAACAACCAGACTACTGAGCTAAAATCACATATTTAAATGTAAATAAACTTCCACTCAGGATAAAGAAAAGTCAACAAACCAAAAGTTTAAATGTTTAAATGATAATGTCAACAAGCCCCTTTATCATGAGGAGCAGTGAAAACTACTAATGTTTCAGAAATATGGAAGAATTTATGTCTCATAAATAAATAATATGATCAGTAACTGTGGGAGCTGATATCATACAGATGATGTTGAGATTCAACATAAAATGGGATGTTTGTATTTTTAATTTGTACTAATTTCCTACCAACAGAAAGCCAAAAAGTACGAAACAGTCCGGTGGATGATGATGTTTGCCATCGGAGTGGCGGTGGGTCTGGTAGGTGCATTTGAGACGTATTGGCTGGATTCCAACATGTTGCAGACGTTGAGCTGAGCGATGCCTTCATGTCTCTTTCAGGTGGGCCTGTTTGTGGATTTCTTCGTACGCCTCTTCACTAAAATCAAGTTCACTCTGGTTGGTGATTGTATCCTTTAACACGCAGACCTCTAATTCACTGTTCACACGTCAGCGTTCAGTGACCCACAGCGTGTGATTAGAGAGATAATATATACTGTATATTACAAACCTAAAACTGCAGTAACTCTGTGAGGACAATGTGATATAATTTCAAGAATGAGTTATAACAAGTACTCAATGGCTTATAGAGATGCACATGAGCAGGTCTATAAATACACTTCTTAAAGGACCACACAAGTTGTTTTTCTTGTCAACAAAAAAAAAAACAAAGCTGCTTTATTGTAAATAATAATTTTAGTGCAGTGAACTGAGCAGCCTGCAGGTCGCTCAGACTCAGGTTACCAGTCCTCAGAGTTATTGGAACTTATCTGAATGCCTCCAGCAGTGGAGAAGTGCAGCGACAAAGGCTGCCTCTCTCTGTCTCTGCTGGAGCTCCTGGCCTTCAACATGACCTTCGTCTTCATTGCCAGCGTGCTTGTCCTAATTGAGGTAAGACGCCACCGGTACAGGAGCGTTGTTCCAAATCCGATGCAGGTCATTTTCTTACACCACGATGTGTTCCTGTCACAGGAGCTCCATGTTTCTTCCTGCTGTCAGTAGATTGTTGTTTCATTCTGAATGCAAAGAAACTAGATGAAGAGAGAGAAGCTAGAGAAGACACTAATCTGCAGAGATGTGACGATGCTAACATGCTGTGGATGCTAACATGCTATGTCTTGGTGTCCCAGCCAGTAGCTGCAGGTTCGGGGATCCCAGAAATCAAAAGTTACTTGAACGGAGTGAAGATTCCCGGAATCGTCCGGCTGCGAACGTTCCTCTGCAAGGCTGCTGGAGTCCTGTTCAGCGTGGCTGGAGGTAAAGCACGGCACAGGTTGTGAATGTGTAAAAACAATTTGTGCACAAATGAGAATGACGATGAGGTTCCACAAATGCAGAACTAAGAACATGTGAGTGCAGCTGGGAAGCAGAAAGTTCTGACAGAGCAGTGTTGGGACGTGTCCCCTTGTCAGCTATGTTGAAAGATTCAGAGCTGTTGTTTAAGTGCAGTTCTGATGAGTCCTGGTCGGTGCCTCTGTTTGTCCTCTCAGGTCTGTTTGTGGGGAAGGAAGGTCCAATGATCCACAGCGGCGCCATTGTGGGAGCTGGCCTTCCTCAGGTACATCATCCTGAACACAGTATGTTATAGTGTTAAGATTCTAGGTTCGTACGTCTGATTATATTTATATATGCAGAATATAAAACCTTTATTTAACCACATCGATCCCACTGGAGAGATCATGGAGGCTCTGTCCACCTCACCTCTCTGTGTGCAGGTGTAAAAGATTTCTCCTTTATTTGTGGACAGATGACAAGTCACATGACCTGAACTGTGTGGACATTGTGTAAAATATGAGACAGAGCCAGTTCTCTAAAGCATAGAATGTTCCGGTGGTCCTGTTAAGGTCATCCAAGCAGTGTAACCAAACAATGTTTAAGTCGGTTTAGACTTCAGAACATATCCAAACCCAGAGACTGGGGCCTTAAAGATACTGGACTAAGATGGGCACAGCCCCATAATGGACTAGTTGATCACAGGGATGAGTCTCACATGTAAACCATGAACAGAATTTCTTTGAGATGTTCCTGTTTCATAAGAACAGCATTCACTTTGGTTAGTTAGCATTTAAAGACCCCCAGCGAAACTGCTGCTTCCTGTAAAACAGCGAGGACTGGTCCTGCAGCGGTGGAGGATTCTTCTGTCAGTCAGCTCGTTCTGCCAGATCATTTCTTCATTTCTGAAGGTAGAAAAGACGGTGCTGCATGACGTTATTCTGATCCTGCTACTCTCTTCTGACCTGAGAAAACAGTTTCAGCTCAGCTTTGTCTCGACACAACACAAATTTACTTGATCTGACTCTGCGACTGGACTTAGCTTTGACAGGTTAAGATGATTCTGCTGGATGACTGTGTCGATAAATGGTCCGTTCATCAGGTGTTTCTCCTTCTATCAGTTTCAGAGCATCACTTTCAAGAGGATCAACTTTGATTTTCCCTACTTCCGCAGTGACAGGTGCTCTCTCTCATCACAAACACACTGTTCACTGCTTGTGAATATGTAAAGAGCATATCTGATGGTGTCTCTGCTGTTCTTCAGGGACAAGAGAGACTTTGTGTCAGCCGGCGCTGCTGCAGGAGTAGCTGCTGCCTTCGGTGCTCCGATAGGTGGCACCCTCTTCAGTCTGGAGGAGGGCTCCTCTTTCTGGAACCAGGCCCTTACCTGGAAAGTGGTACGTCACCTTATACCTTATAACTTTAGGTTCTCTCTGCTCACTCTGGACTGGACAGATTATAGATTTATTCATGTTCCCCAGAAGATGAATCCTGCTGACAGCCTCAGTCTGTCAGAGCTGACGCATGCTGACCATCAAGTGTGATTAACCCTTTCCCTTCCTCAGCTCTTCTGTTCCATGTCGGCCACGTTCACCCTCAACTTCTTCCGTTCGGGGATCAACTTCAACAAGTGGGGCTCCTTCCAGCTTCCTGGGCTGCTCAACTTCGGAGAGTTCAAGGTAGTCACTCTGACCACATCGCTTCAGTTCAGTTCATTTATTATTAGTGGGAAACTTGACTTGCAGTCAGGGCACAAGATAAAAAATATACAAGTATCAGAATAAACACCACAAATACACAAAAAATAAACACACAAAAATAAGATGTAACAAGTACATACAGTACACTATAAGTAAGCCTACCATATCATCTTTAAATATGATGTTACCTGAGACGATTTAGCAGGGTTATTGCACAGGGAACAATGGAGTTTGCTCCAATTGTACTTGAATTGTATCAATGACCTGAGGGAAGAGTTACAAACTCAGAATGAAGAGGATGGATTTTGCAGTCTAGTATAGACCTGGACTTACGAAGAACCTGCTGGTCAAAGATAGAGCGCTCAGATTCAGTCTTGTTACGCAGGCTGATGGTAACTGTATCATCAGCAAATTTCAGGATGTGCCTGTCCTCGTGCTGGCTTCTACAGTCATTAATGTAGAGAACATACAGCAGAGGGGACAGGACACAGCCCTGAGGGGAGCCAGGAGGAGGAGCGCTGATCTGACAGCCATTTACTCTCACCCTCTACACATTAAACAATCTACAATCCAGCCCACAAAGCATGCTGCCTAAGACATGTGGCTGGATAGTATTGAATGCAGATGAAAAATCCAGGACTTTCTAGATGTCTATACAGGAAGTAATGTGATTGAGGCATCCTCTATTGCATCCCAGCTCTATATGCAAACTGCATGGGGTCCAGAGCCTCCTCCACCATTTCCAACAGTTCCCTTTTAACCAACCTTTCAAATGACTTCATGACCTGTGATGTCAATGCCACTGGTCTTAAGTCATTTAGCTCTTTTGGATTTCCACGTTTTGCCACTGGAACATCAATGGACTCCTTCCACACCTTTGGAATCCTTCACTGCTCCAAAGATAATAAAACAGAACACCTCACAAAGCTGCTCTGAACAGTCTGCCTGTGATACTATCCGGCCCTGGGCTCTTATTTTTCTGAAAAACTGCCTTAACATCACTCCTCTCCTACATAAACCTTCACCTGCTCCCTGTTCCTCCCTCACAAAGCCCTCCATAACCCTAACCCCTCCTACCTACCCCACCTTCTCCATCACCACACTCCTTCCTGTTCCCACCATGCAGGACTCCACAACTTTCATTTACCATTACATTTAATGTCTTGACCTTCCTTGTCGAGGAGCTTTTATGTACTTGTTGTTTAAAGTGTTGTTGAGTATCTTGAAAATCTTAATCTCTAAATTAAATTTATTAATAAGAATCTTTATCAGCTTGATACGTGACGTAGCAGCACAGTAATGCTCTTTGCTCACCAGTGTCCAGATGGAGATAAGAACTGCCACCTGTGGACAGCAGTGGACCTGGCCTTCTTTGTCCTGATGGGGGTGGTGGGTGGCCTGCTGGGGGCCCTCTTCAACTGCATGAACAAGGGTCTGGCGAAATACCGCATCCGCCACATCCACCCGAAGGCCAAGTTCATCAGGTGACTATCCAGAAGGTCAGAGACACTAATTACCTCTCAGGCGTGTAGTCACAGACGCTGATCTGACCTCTGACCCTTCCCAGAGTCCTGGAGAGTCTGCTGGTTAGCATGGTGACGACAGTGGTGATATTTGTAGCTTCCATGGTGTTGGGCGAATGTCGGGACCTGTCCTCCCCCACAGCCCACAACACCACGGTAAGTGTCTGCTCCCTCCTGCACCGCTACAGCTGCAAGTCCACAACTGAACCAGTATTTCAGATTTCAGCATAGCAGAGGCTGGTCAGGGTGCCTGGATCCAGTTTCCATATAAAAAAGCTTAAATCTGGTCTCCTGGCTACAGTAATGTTGGTTCCCCACCTCTAAACCCACGGTGGGATTCTTGTTCAGTCAGCGCCGTCAGTGCTGCAGCTGCAGGAGCTGTTGCTTTTAGCAAACACTTAAATAAACTTACATTAACTCATCATGTTTCATTGGTGAATCTATTTCATGCTGCTGGAGCCAGGTCACTGCTGGGAAGTTCTGACCAAACTGTGATTCTAGGTCTTCTGGTTCTCCATTGTACTTTCACACTGCAGATTCCTGCTAACTGAAGCTAAACGCAGCACAGTCCTCAGCAGACTCTAAATTCATGTATTATTCATGTATTTATGGTCTCATGTTAAGTTTTGTTTCCAGCTGTCCGGCAGTGAGGACATCAACTCAACCGTCCGCCAGTTCTTCTGCACCAACAAGACCTACAATGACATGGCCACGTTGTTCTTCAACCCGCAGGAAGCAGCCATCCACCAGCTCTTCCACCAGGAAGGTGAGACGAGCCTAACCCACAGCACAGCAGCTCTGCGATGGTTAAAGCAAATAATTCTCCTATTTTTTCTTGTTTTGTCTCTAGTCTCTGGATTAAAAGTGTTAATGTCATTATTATAAGGGGGCACTATAATTAAACATGTTCAGATGCTTTATATTCACATGCTCTGTCCACAGGTTGGGTTTAAAGATGATTCATTTGTGAAACCCAGTTTGAGACATCCTGTGGAATCTAACTGTCAGGAGTTATAATTCTGTGTTCCAGTATTAAAACCTTCTGAGTAAAATCTGACGGTGTCTTTTTATTTGTCGGTTAACGCATATAATGAGCTGATGTAAAGGAGGTATATATTATTGAACACCTGCCTCCTGTTCTGCCCCTCAGGTACCTTCAGCCCTGTGACTCTGTCAGTGTTCTTCCTACTGTACTTCCTGTTGGCCTGTTGGACGTACGGTGTGTCTTTACCCAGTGGGCTCTTTGTGCCCTCGCTGCTGTGCGGGGCGGCTTTTGGACGTCTGGTTGCCAACATCCTCAAAGTGTAAGAAACAACGTTCTCCTAATGTTCTTATGTCCCAGGTCTGGCTGTCCCCCATCCCCACTGGACATAAAATAAAAGAGTCATCAACAAAAATCTGACTTTAATTGGAAAAAACAAAAAGTACCTGCGTCTGTGAGGGATTTAAATTTAATTTAAATTTAAATTTCTACAATATTTCACACATAAGCTGCAGTAAATGGTCCCAGTTAGTCCGGCTGTAGGAAAAGGAAGCATCAGGGCCACAAAGCACTACTACTACCACACTAACATCTGGAGATGTCCACTTACTGTAGTAGTGCAGCCTTAAAAATATCATTGGCATCTTGACACGTCCACTACAACATGTTTTATATCAACAGTTTATCAGGTGTCTGTGTCAAGTGAAACTCTACAGCTCTTTAGCTCAATGTTTTCAGTTACTCAGCGCTTGCATCAGCTTAGTTTCCAGAGACAAACTAAACTGTACTCCACATTGAGAGAGCAGCTGGTGAACATAGTGGGGCATTTAGCAGCTAAAAGGCCAGATATTTCTCTCAGGAGCTGGTGGAGTCCAAACACAGCTAACAGAGAGAGAATACTGGCCTGGGTATTTTTGTGGGAAATATTTAGGCTGTGACCTAGATAGTTCCTTGAGTGGAGAGAGTATGGTTCAAAGGGTTATCACGAAAGTGAACCACAAAATTAAATTTCTGGCATGAAAGGCTCATTTTCTAAACAAAGAAACTTTGAAAATGTTCGTAAAAGCTTTAATTCAGCCACACTTTGTATTTTATTTGGTCTAGCAGCACCCCCAGGAGGACAAAGTTCAACTTCAAATGGCCCAGAATAAATTAGTCAGGTTGATTTTAAACCTCAACAATAGGACCCAGGTCTGCTTCTCTCAAAGTATGGAATTAAAGTGGTTGACGGTTAAAAACAGGGTGAGGGAGCTGAAACTGAGATTAACACAAAAGATTTTGCATAGGAATGAACCAAGGTATTTTAAAGGTTATTTTAAACTTATTGGGAACTCTCATAGCTTCTTAACTAAAGGCAGTGCCACAGACATAGTATCTTGTAGATTTAAGAGCTGTTCTGGGCAAAACACCTTTTTGTACACGGCAGCATTGGAATGGAACAAACTCCCAGTTATAATAATCGAGCATGTGGTGAATGGTTGTTAAATGCTAATTAGATTGAGTTTTTATTCAGTTTTGAAGGAGTATTTGGATTGGATTGTTTGTGTTTTCATTCTTGTTTATTTGTATTAGGATGTGTTAGGTCTTTTGGTTGTGTATTGTAAGGGTTGATTGTACAGGGTACCTTTAGTCATCCGTACCTCGCATTGCCATCTTTGTACTTCATTCTACATCTTAAGTAGACTATCACTCATTGAATTTGCCTCCTTCAGTTCTCTTCCCACTCACTGAACGTCTCCACTGCAAACACGTCAGCGTTCCCTGCTTCTTATGCCGTTTTTTTTTTTTTAAACCAGCTCAACTCACCTCGACCATCCTCTGTTTTCCATTGCAGATAGTACCCCTCAATCTAGCTGTTCGTCATAGCGACACCACACACACAACTGCCACGACATAACACACCAGGGATGCACACACAGCTGTCTCTTGATTTAAGTTAAAATGTTTCAACAGTGGCGGCTGGTGAAAAATATTTTAGGTGAGGCTGTGCCATATCCAGTCAGTTTCAGTTACCGTCCCAGTACAATTTAACACTAACTGCAGGATAACAGTGCTTTCTTAAATGATTAATGGCAATATTATTTTATTATAGGCTATTAATATACAAAAGCATAAACAGTGTACATAAATTTATTCATTTAGCTGACGCTTTTATCCAAAGCGACTTACAATTGCTATACATGTCAGAGGTCGCACGCCTCTGGAGTAATGAGGAGTTAAGTGTCTTGCTCAGGGACACAATGGTGGATGGGTCAAAGTGGGGGATTGAACCCGGGTCTCTCACACAAAAGGCATGTGTCTTATCCATTGCACCCCCCTATGAATATAGAAAGTGGCATGAAAAGAAAAGACTCAAGTAAAGTACAAATAGGCTACCTCTAATTTGGACTGCAGTACAGTAGGCCAACTTAAGTTACTGTCCACCACTGCAAATAACCACATCTTAACAGCTAAAATCCACCGACTCCCCAGAAGCGGCTCTCCGCTCCGCAGACAATAGGTAGCAGCTCTATTTTTTGATGGAAGATGCGTCAAGCAACACAGAGCTGATCGAACTAGGCAGGAAGTCAGACACAGAACGGCAGAGAGAATCCGGTCAATATTCAAAATAAAACACCCCGTGGAGACTCCGGATCGTAAAACAACAATAAACACGGTTAAAACGGACACAAAAAGGAAATCATTTAACTACGTAGCCTACTTAATCATAGCAGAAGCACAAAATGTAAACACTGATTACTAAATCAACAAAATCTAAACATGTCAGCAAAATCAGGCAGGTAAAATGCTCTGATTCTGAAATGCTCCTTGTGGGAAATGCAGCCTGAAGATTACGGAACGAAACAGAGCACACAATACATAAAGTTATGAAGAAGTTAGTTGAAGCACAAAAATGACAAATTAATAACATATAAATAACGTGGAACAGGCTGCAGGGTTTGCTGCTAAAACTCTTCTGAGATGCTTCCAGCGGTGCCGAATTCTGCCTGCCTGCCGAGAACTGCATGCACCTCGCAGGAGGTAACGCTAATTCATGCTCAGAAAAGAGGTGGATGCAAATCTCGGTAGGTAGCCTCCAACATCTGTTCTGCCCTATGCAGTCAATAGTTCTGCCAAATTATGCAACCACCTCTTAATAAGGTCCTTTTCAGACTTTGATGCGCACACTGATCAAATGCAGTTATCACCACATATTTTAGCTGAATCATAAGGAATGCTACTTTTACTAAGTGTAATAAATAATTAACGACTCTAAACATTCATAAAATATATACTTCGAATCATTTATCACCATTGATATATTATATACATTATAGCGTTTAAAAGCAGTTTTCGGAGGTGCATGCAATTCTCGGCAAGTATGCATAACTCGGAATAATACCGGTGTTTCGGTTTAACGAGTGGCCCTGTTAACTGGTGGCCGTCAGCCGAATGCGTCTGTGGTTGTCGTAGATACGACAGCTGTTGAAAACAGGAAGAGTCGGCGTGGCATAAAACTTCTAGAGCAAACAGCCAGCCATCACTCTTTAAAACGGGAGACAGATCAACTTGTGACCACTGTCTGTGTTAACCAAGACCATGTGCGTATTTTACTTGTTCCCTTCACAACCAAGCCGCCGTTTAACACAGAGTTGTTTACAAGATGTGGATGGGCAATATTTTAATATATTAAATTATATATTATATTATGTTAGTAGCCTACTGTAACGTGCCGTAGCAGACACCGGCGTTAACACTTCAGAGCTGTCTATAAACTATACAGCTAACCTCTGTAGCCAACAGCTGTTGTTCTCCTTCTTTATGTACCACAGCACAAGCGCTAACTGGCAGTGGGTGGAAATATCAATTGTCTCATCTGCCAGAATAAACATTCCTATTGAACGTAATCTTCAAGAACTAACAGCACACAGTCCAAAAGTTTCTTTTGTCTTTGAGGTGCCTTTGAAAACAGTAGCTGTCTTAAGGTGCTCCTCCAACACACTGTCCAGCGAGGCAACAAGATCTACTGAAAATGGCAGGGTTGTCAGAGGATGCGGTCTCACTGTGGCCGCGCAATGGCCGATGTTACTCTACCTAGCATGGCTAGCTTCACCATATTATCCATATGTGCACTCGTACACAGTCCATGTTGTATCCGTCCCCGCCGTTTTAAAAAGCAAGCATGGGAAGCAAAATAAGGTATTTAAATCATTGCATCCAGCTAGCCAAGGCCGAAAGCGTCGGTCTTGAGTTCCGTATTCATCTTGTCAACAACGTCACGTGTCCCTCTACCACTGACTGTGCTTGGGGCAGATCCTGGAGCGCCCTTCAGGATCAGATTTGAGGACGCTGAATGGCTTAATTTCTGTTGCTATGGGCATATCTTGTGGCAGCCAGAGTCAGCTATTGGCTGCGCAGCTGTGCTGCTTGGGCGATTTCTCTGGCGCCCCAGAAGATATCACTGGATGAGCAGGAAGTTAATTTCACCCCAAAACATAATTATTTACCCTATATTGTTACACATTATTGTGCATTTTAAACACACATATAAAGGTAATTACTGTTTATTAATAGAGGGCGCAGTCGCCACTGCATTTCAACATTGCTCAGAATGTGAAGACAGCTAAGACGGAGGTGATACGAAAAAAGTACCTGGTAGCAGGTATAAGTACAACTTTTACACAATGGAAAACCAAAAGAAGACGAGTCGAGCTGGTACCTTGCTGTGGAAAAGGGGCTTTACCGTCTCTCTCTCCCTGCATGTCAGCTTCGATGACTTTCTCCATCAGTAGTAGGCTAGGGTGTATAAAGTCACCGAGCTGCATGTTGAGGAGGCATGTTGACGACGTAGCCTATCAAAACAAAACCAACGTGGTTATGGCGGGTGGGTAGTGTCAGAGCGGTAGCTAACGAATGACATGTGACTGGTGTGTTCACTGTCGCTTGACCTGGTCCGCTCTTGTAAAATATCCAGTGTGGCGACTTGTAACAATCAACGTGTTTCTCTGATAAATGCTACAGTGTGTCGACTAATCTCGGCGGCTCGCCAAAGTAAAGTGTATGTGTGGCGTGGCCGTTTGTGATAAGTTCCAATTAAATGGGTTTAAAAATACACTCAAAACCCTGAGCCCTAGGACTCCGACACAGAGGTACCATAACCACCATACTCGGCCGATTCCTCCATCCCACTATGGCGGGTGGATAGTGTCAGAGCGAGGATTACCAGGAGAAGGAGCAGTCTACCCTGCCGTCGCTGCTGCCTTAAAGCCGTGTCACACAAACTTCGTCACTAGGTACGTCGCATTAAAACCCAGCATCTCCACCGGTTGCTCCGTCTGCTCCGCAGTCCTCACCGCTCGTCCTACAATAAAGGAAGCACTGGCGAGTAGTGTGATCTCGTCAAATAACCCGCATCCTATGCCTCACGATCCCGACTGTGCAGCCCTCCCCTGTCCTGGTCCTCTGTGCTGCCTAAATTGAGATACTCAAAATGTTACTCGGGGTTTCCCCAGGGGACAGTCGCACTGTTCGCCCAGGCCTGAGTGGAGTTGCGTTGGCGGACACTGGCTGCTGCGGTCGTCTGTACTTGTGTTGCTGCTGGCTCTGTCCAAATCAGCCCGGTGCTTCCTTGCAGACCAGATTACTTCCCCACTGGTCTCTCGTAACTGCTGTCCTCCTGCTCAATGCCCCCTGCTCAGCGCCCGACGAGCTGGCTGACTTCCTCTGCTGCTCTCTGCCCCCTGCCCTCCATCCACGTCAGTGGAGGTGTGTGGTGTTTAAGGGCAGTCCAGCCAGTAGGTACAATAACTTAAAAAACACATAAATTAAAACACACCAATGGTTAAAACACAACATGCTAAAACACCCTCTGCATGCAATAAAAATACAACACACCAATAAAACATTGCAAATAAAAAAAAACACACCAGATGCATAAAAACGGTTACTCATTTTTCTGGCCCTGTCACATATGTGTGGGAAGCACTGACTGAACCATGCTTTTCTTTTTACAAGCCAGGTCTTTAACAGTGTCAACCAGCACTGTGTCTCCCTCCATGTTGTTGAGCGTTTGTAAGTAGATGGCTGCGTGCAGACCACGCAGAGGGGCAGAGCAAACACTGGCAGGACTTTACAGAAACATATTAATTAACTCAACATCAAACTATATCGCTATAAACGGTATTGTCTATTTTCATATCTCTTTTAATTATATCGGTATACATTATATACTGATATACCGCCCAGCCCTAGCCTGGGAACGTCCCCGCTGCTCGTTCAGGTCCAGGCAGGTTTCCTCTCAGCTGACTGTAACCACAATCAGCCCAGCGGGAACCTCCAGGTCTGCGGTCAAAAAGTCAAAAAAAAAAGGTCCTTTCCTAAACACTTTTCCTTGACCTCGATGGAAAATGTCATGAGGTAAAGGAAAGAATTCAGATGGATTTAGGAAAAGACGACTGCGGGATTCAGAGAATCCGACTGCTCTTTTCTAGGCTATGTAATTATATGACGGCGGATGTTACTGACGTGGTGAAACTATAATGTTCTGAAGATGGACTACAAAAAGTGCATCTTTGACACTTCACCCCGTGTTGTTTTAATGCAGGCTGTCAAAAGGTGGACAACACGGTGAAAATAGTTATTTATTACCAAGGTAGCAAAAAGGCATATAGGGTTCCGGTTTCAACATTATCCCCACTTTGATCAAGACTAGTGACATAGCTCACATAAAGGTCTCAGTTAAGGTCTTGCTAATATGCATATTAGCAAGTTATGGCATAAGACAGAAAAGGCCTGATAGCCAGTGGTAACTTACATGGTGATCAACGTGCTTTATCTGTCATGGTACATGGATTTCTTTTTTTTTTCTATTGTCGAAAATTCAGGTACAACACTTTATGGCATAGTTCAACAATCCGAAGCATAACAAGGTGTTGAAACAGTCTAAGATTTCAACAAAGCCAAAAGAAAACAAACCAAAGAATCATAAATGAGTCCAATATAGAATAAAGTTTCCATGCATTCTTGTCCGTCATGTATTACAAAGATTTAGCAAAATGTGGTTGATAGATTTTATCGTTTGAGTTTGAGAAAGGTGCGTCACTTTAAATGTTGCTGCTGCAAGGAATTGTGGGATAGCATTAACTCATTTCCTTTGGTAAAGGAGGGTCCAGTGTACCATATGCTAAAGGAGGTAAGAAAGGAAGCACCTTTCCTTAGCTTTTAGAGAATTTGAACCGCTCTTATCATGACTGCTGCTGAAATACAAAACGCAGAGGGTTAAATACTCCTCTGTGATGAGAGGGGATGTGGGACTGCTAGTACATAACACCAACACGCACTAGTTCTGTCTGCTGTGACAGGCGAGCGCTTCTGACTCACTTTACTGTTTACCTGACTCACATCTTGGAGCCACGGAAGAGCATTTTTTTCATCGAGGTAGAAGGAATCGCTGTGTCTACTATCACTTTTTTTAGACTGCTTTCTATGTAGTATCACAGCTGGAAAGTTGCTTCCCTTTGGTCAACGTGGGCTCAGTAAGCATAGCGGATGACTTAATCAGTGGTGGTACAGGCTACGTCCCTGAAGATGGGCTCTCAGCTCAGCAGCTCTTCTCGTTCGAAGACGGCCTTACATACAATGATTTCCTGATTTTACCTGGCTTTATCGACTTTACCTCAGATGAAGTGGACCTGACCTCAGCTTTGACCAGGAAGATCACATTTAAGACCCCTCTCATCTCCTCCCCCATGGACACTGTCACTGAGTCAGCCATGGCAATTGCTATGGCACTAATGGGAGGTATTGGCATCATTCACCAAAACTGCACACCAGAATTCCAAGCCAGTGAGGTCCGCAAGGTCAAGAGGTTTGAGCAGATTTTTATCACTGACCCAGTTGTGATAAGTCATCGCCACACAGTTGGGGACGTGTTTGAGGCCAAAGTAAGACATGGCTTCTCTGGTATTCCTGTCAGAGACGGGCAAAATGGGCAGCAAACTGGTGGGCATCGTTACCTCCAGAGATATTGATGTTCTTTCTGAAAAGACCACTGCAAACCTCTGGAAGAGGCCATGACAAAGAGGGAGGAGTTGGTTGTGGCTTGAGCAGGTGTCACTCTGAAAGAAGCCAATGATATTCTGCAGCACAGTAAAAAAGGCAAGCTTTCCATTGTAAATAATAACAACGAGCTGGTGGCCATCATTGCCAGGACCGATGATAGCTCAGAGAAAATGCGGAGTGCTACAAACCCTCTCACATTTTTCTTACTTTAGAAACAGTATCACCGTGTTTATCATTATTCAGCTATGTAGGCATTTCTAACATTTTCATAGTGGATGTCCAGCATGAATATAGAGTTAAGTGAGATATTGGGTTTACAGGTTATAATGGTTTTCTCAGGAGTTACTTAGTGAAAATCCTATAGTGACGGTGTCTGTCCCCCGACCATCAAAATTATTTAAAAAGGTAAACAGAAGAGGAGCTGTGCATAAAAACCTCCATAAAAATTAAAACCACAAGAGCAATAGTGCAAACGAATAGGAGAGTTAAATGTGGACTCTTAAACATCAGATCTCTCTCTTCTAAAGGTGTACTAGTAAATGAACTAATATCAGATTATGATATTGATTTATTTGGTCTTACTGAAACCTGGCTGGGTGATGGAGAATATGTTAGCCTAAATGAATCCACCCCTCCCAGTCATATTAATACTCACATTCCTCGAGGCACAGGCCGAGGAGGTGGAGTTGCAGCTATCTTCGACTCTAGCCTACTAATCAGCTCTAAACCTAAACTAAACTATAACTCATTTGAAAGTCTTGTTCTTAGTCTTTCGCACCCAAGTTGGAAATCACTGCAACCAATTCTTTTTGTTATAGTGTACCGAGCACCTGGTCCGTACTCTGAATTTGCAGAGTTTTTGTCAACTTTAGTCCTTAAAACGGACAAAGTTATTATTGTAGGGGATTTTAATATTCATGTGGATGTTGAGAATGACAGCTTCAGTACTGCGTTTATCTCTCTGTTAGATTCCATCGGCTTCTCTCAGAGTGTTCATGAACCGACTCACTGTTTTAACCACACCCTCAACCTTGTTTTGGTGTATGGTATTGAAATTGAACATTTAATAGTGTTCCCACAGAATCCCTCTTTATCCGACCACTGTTTGATAACTTTTGAGTTTGTATTGCTGAACTACACACCATTGGGCAAAAATTTCTATACAAGATGTCTGTCTGATAGTGCTGTAGCTAAATTTAAGGATGCGATTCCATCAGCTCTAAATTCATTATCAAGTCACAAAGTAACGGAGGACTCCTATGCTAACTTCAGTCCCTCCCAAATCGATCATCTTGTTGATAGTGCTGCAGGCTCGCTGCGAATGACACTCGACTCTGTAGCCCCTCTAAAAAAGAAAATACTAAAACAAAGACGGTTAGCTCCATGGTATAACACTGAAACTCGCAAATTAAAGCAAATATCACGGAAACTTGAGAGGAATTGGCGTTCTACCAAAGTGGAAAATTCTCTTTCAACTGTGAAGAAAAAAACAAAAACCTGCTGCTGAAATACTTCCAGGCATTTCACTCAGTTAGGAACCTTCTTGAGCAAAAAGACTTTTCAACTGCAGACCAGGTCTGAAAAAAGTAAAGCCAATGCATAAGCACCTTAAACCTGCATTCTCTCTAACAGCCATCAGGGGGCGACTCCACTAAAAGAAGTGTGATTGGATAGAAGTCTATGAGAAAATGAGGCTACTTCTCAGCTGATTTATTACTTCAGTAAACACTTTCCTAATGAGTTTATGGTCTCAGTCTTCACTCCCACTCTTTTGATTCCTAGTGACTGCAGGGATACTGGTTCTCAATGTGTGTCTGTCCTCTGTTAGGAAACTGGGAATGGACATCTACTCGGGGACGTTTGCTCTCATCGGAGCTGCCGCCTTCCTTGGAGGTGTGGTCAGAATGACCATCAGTCTGACTGTCATCCTAATCGAATCCACCAATGAAATCACATACGGGCTGCCCATTATGATCACACTAATGGTACACTGTCATGTTATTTACTCCGACCACGGTGTTTTTGATGAGATCACGGTGTTACATCGCTGAATAGATGTGTTGATGATGTGTTTCCTGTCTTGTGGTTTTGTGTGAATGTCAGGTTGCTAAGTGGACGGGAGATTTCTTCAACAAGGGCATCTATGACATCCACATCCAGCTGAGAGGAGTGCCGCTGCTGGAGTGGGAGACAGAGATCGAGATGGACAAGTAAGATGTGTTGTTGGACAAACAGCTGTATACTTGTGCAGGTATTCTGGTGACTTGCTGAATGTTGTTGATACGGCCCAGCGACATCCACAGAAAGCTCTCTAAAATCACACAAAGCTCTTTATTCATGCTCTGCTCATCTGTTTTATTCACACTGTTCAACCAAGAAATCTAGTTTCATGTTCATGATGGCGTTTGGAAAAAAAAACTTGATATAAAGTAAAACTCTGTGCAGGGAAGGTTAGAAGCCAAGAACAGGCTTATAGAGATACCACCCATGTAAGTGACACTAGTTACACTAAGCAGCAGTGAAAATGTAAAAATGTACACAGTGAGATGAATTACAATAAGATCTTAAAAGTCATTGATTAGAGATCTACTGTTTTTTTTAAATGATGATAATGTAGCTGATGATTGTAGTGATGCCAGTAAATGGTCCTCTGTATTTCACTGTAAATTGGTTATGGGACATCCGACACGATGGGAGATGGAAGTCCTTAGAGTGTCTTGTATTATATGAGTGGATCTCTGTGGACAGCTTAAAAAATATATTGGAAAGTGCTGAGCAAGTCCTGGGTGAAATGTCCTTATACATAAACACACAGGTCTGCTATCTGTTCACATTAACAACTGAGGAGAGGAGCAGATGAATCATATGTTCTAGCAGTGTTGACGCCAGAGAGACAGAATAAAGATGAGTGATTCTAACCAGGAGCTAGCAGCTAACAGTGTGCTGAAGGCTTGTCCTACTCTGTGACTCTTCACAGCCGCCTGAAAACACTGACAGCTCAAAGTCAATAAGACCTTCTCTCCTCAGTAATAACCTCAGGACCATCCTCATCCAAAGGTAACAGGTTACCGGGTGCAAAAACTGCACACGTCATCTCTGTTTTACCAAGTTTAACTAAAGCAGCAGACTTAGAGAGCCGGTAGACGTGCAGCCGTTGTGAGCAACACAGGGCAGCGTGGAGGCAGGACTGTTTCTAAATGTCACTGTCTGTTGGCAGGGATCCTTTCATTATGTAAAACAGACAAATCTAAAATAGTGCATTAACCATTGTGACCGCTGGATCTTCATCCTGTCCAGAAAAGTGAAAAGAGTCATCATGAGGCTGCAGGATATCTGATGATGATGTGCACTCAGTACATCATCAGCTTCACAGGGCCAATGTTTCCCTTTATAAACTCTCCCTGGGTGTTTCCACCATCAGGGTGAGTGTTCATGCTCTCAATGTTTCCCTCATCTTTCCAAGGCTGACTGCCAGTGACATCATGGAGCCCAACCTCACCTATGTGTACCCCCACACCCGGGTCCAGTCTCTGGTCAGCATCCTGCGCACCACCGTCTACCACGCCTTCCCCGTGGTCACTGAGAACCGGCAGAACGAGCGGGACTTCATGAAGGGGAACATCCTGGTCAGCAACAACATCCGCTTCAAGGTACGTCATGAGCCGCTGGACACTTGTAGTCCCCTCATGCATGGTTCAAATTACGGGGGGGAATGGGGGGCTTTGACCCCTCTAATTAAGTCTTGGACCTCCCCAAAGGGGCAAAAACAACAGTTCAGGGGGGTCTTTCTTACCTGTCATTGTATTACAATATATTTCCCATATTCATGCCTTATATTCAAGAATCTGGAAATACAATTTCTGACCCCCCTAAAGTGGACTGTACCGTTTCCTATCTTTGACGTTAGTACAACGTCTGTCTGCCCACATCACTCACAGCGCAGCTGCTCCGGTCCAGTGCATCATACGCTGGTGGAGATGCTGCAGGTTAATGTCAGTAGTTAGCTGTCTAGCTTCTTTAATACACTTAACTTTCCTACCTTCAGAGTTTCATAATTAGCATTTATTTTACTTAAAATGAGCTATGTGATGTTAGCTAGCTGATAGTCCACCCTGGCATTTCATTACCACTAGCCTATGTCATTTCATATTTTATGTAATTGTCAGCTAACACTGGTGTTTAGGCATGAGCAGTGAAATTGAGGATTAGTTATTGTAGATACACATTTTGACATCAATATAGAGTTTATTATTTCATTTTAAGTATTTTGTGAGTCTTTCTACAATAAGCATGAAATGTGTTTTCACTCTGAAATTCAGGAGTTTCACCTGCCCAGGTAATGTTAAAATCCATGTTTGTTATTTCAAATGTATTCAGTTTAATTTATATATCGCCAATTCACTACAAAAGGCATCTCATTGCACTTTTTATATAAAGCAGGTCTACACCGTACTCTGTTTAATATAATTTACAGAGACCCAAAACACAGTACATGTGTACTGTGAGAGACAGGTGGACAATAAGACTGTGAGACTGACTGTGAGACAGGGAGAAAGGTGGACTAAAAGACTGTGAGACGGACTGTGAGACAGAGAGACAGGTGGACTAAAACACTGTGAGACAGAGACACAGGTGGACTGTGAGACGGACTGTGAGACAGAGACACAGGTGGACTGTGAGACGGACTGTGAGACAGAGACACAGGTGGACTATAAGACTGTGAGACAGAGAGACAGGTGGACTAAAACACTGTGAGACAGAGACACAGGTGGACTGTGAGACGGACTGTGAGACAGAGACACAGGTGGACTATAAGACTGTGAGACTGTGAGAGGGACTGTGAGACAGATAGAGAGGTGGACTATAAGACTGTGAGACAGAGACACAGGTGGACTATAAGACTGTGAGACTGTGAGACGGACTGTGAGACAGAGAGAGAGGTGGACTAAAAGACTGTGAGACAAACTGTGAGAGAGACAAACAGGTAGACTGTGAGAGAGGGAGACATGTGGACTATAAGAGTGTGACACCGTGAGACACAGAGACCCAACTGTTTCCAATGAAGAGAACAGTGTGTGTGTGTGTGTGTGTGTGTGTGTGTGTGTGTGTTAGTTGTAGTACCAGGTAGTAGTAGTAATTAGTGCAGTAGTAGTGGTTGTAGTAGCAGATGCAGTACTCTGGATGCAGTACACTTAACTTCATTCAAGAAATAGCTTAATGTCTGTCCACCAATCGGAACACAGGACCGTGTGTGTGTGTGTGTGTGTGTGTGAGAGAGAATGTGTGTGCGTGTGTGTCTCCCTTTGATCTCTCTCTGCTTATTAACATCACCTGGGCAACCAGCTATCCTAGATAGACAGACAGGAAACTCTCTCTGAGACTTTGCCTCAAACAAACCACCTGCGGCAGAAGGCATTTCTGAACAATATGATCTATTTTTTGTTTGGATAAAGTAAAAAAACTGGTACGTTCTGCTCTGGTCGAGAAATGCTGAGGAGAATTTACTATTGAAGCCTATGGAAGATTTTCTGTCACTCTTGTCCTTTGGAAGGACACAGAGACAAAACTATAAGTCTGAGGGATTTAATAAGCACATGTGAGGAACCACAACAAAATTTACTACGTTTCTGGTGTAAAATTATGCACAAAGAGTTAAAATTGTGGTCAAGCCAGCGAGTTAAAAAGAAAAATCTAAGAAGATTTTGCCAGCCTGCGACACTGTAGTGATGATGTCACCCACTCTAACTCACGCAATACACACCCATTATAAACTCAGAAAAGAGCTTAAAAAAAAGCATAAAACTTCAACAGCGACCGTGAACAAACCATAAAACATATCAAAAAGCTGAATGCATCATTAATAGATTAACTTCTTGTAACCAATTTACAGTTTAAATCACGTGTGTAGCTGAAAGTATGCTGAACTGGTGAGCTTTCAAAGTGGAGTAGGTATGAGGAGGATTTTGACAGTCTCCATTCACTTACAATGGGAGAATTTTCCTGGAAAACCTTGAATAATTTGGAAAGTATTCAAGGTATTAATGAAAGTAATAGCACCCCATTCCTCATTGAGCCGGACAACTTGAGTTTGAACAGAGTTTCTACGTCAAAAGCTGTGGGACTAGTTAGCGCACGAAAAAACATGACGGAAGAATAATAATAATAATAATAAAGCTTAGCAACAACATATACATTATAGATGATAATGCAGACTGTATTTTTTGATGGTGTCTTTGGTTCTGGTTCAGTATTGTGTGGGTCTGCTTTTGTGGGTCTGAGCTGCTGGCAGTTTTGGTGTAGAACAGACTAGCCTACTTGGGGCTGTGTGACTGCAAAAGTTGTCGTGTGGTATGGGGCACCTGTGAACTGATGTAATGAATTTAATTCATCATCTACAGACTGCAGGCATTAGTTACATAAACAAGGATATTGTAAGCATTGTAAGATTTTAGTTTACTGAAGCCCGCACCTGCGCTGTACTGGGTTTTCTTTTTGACCTGGAAAAAAAGTTGACCCCCCCGGTTGTCAATGTATAATTCGCACCCTGCCCTCACGTCCAGAGCGAGCGCAGCGTCCCGCCGGCAGGCAGGCACGACCTTGGGGTAGCCAGCAGATGGAGGTGCAGGTCAGAGCTACAGGAAGTTGGACAGGACTGAGGGACGGACTGACAGGTTGATGTCTGAACATGAGAATTGTTGATAAGAAGAAAAATATAGATTTAATCCATACTCTGATATCTCAGGTTATGTTAGGTCAAGAATAAAACACTGGATTCTTAATACACTGGATTAAACTCAAACAGATGTTTCTGTCTGATCTATTTATCTATAAACAGTTTATGAATTAAAGTTACATAAATATTCAATACTCTAATAACTGTTGATGTCGCCATGTAGAGTTACGCATACTGTGATAAAAGTTTTTCCGTATTCCTCACTGAACTGAATCAGTCAGTTACATTTTCTGAATTAAATCGATGAATGAGAAAATTATTTTCTGTTTGGCTGAAGCAACTTTTCGTGCCTCAGCAGGTGAATGTTTAAAGTTGAGTGTTGCAGCAGCAGACTGACCTCTCAGTGTAAACCCACATCCACTGTCGCGTGCAGAAGTCCAGCGTGATGTCCCGTGCAGGGGAGCAGCGGCGGCGCTGCCAGTCCATGAAGTCGTACCCGTCCAGTGAGCTGAGGAACGTCTGTGACGAGCAGAGCGCCGCGGTGGAGCCGGCCGAGGAGGGCGAGGATCTGCTGCAGCAGATGTTGGAGAGGAGGTAGGACAGACTCACAGGCGCTCCAGCAGACAGAAGGTCCACCTGTTCAGGTAACCTGGCATCCGTCAGTGTCACAGTACCGACCCAGCCCTCCTGTCCCCCTGCAGGCACGCTCCCTACCCCAACCTCTACCCAGATCAGTCCCCCAGCGAGGAGTGGACCATGGAGGAGCGCTTCAGACCGCTCACCTTCCACGGCCTCATCCTGCGCTCACAGCTGGTCAACCTGCTCATCAGGGGGGTCTGCTACACTGAGAACCAGTCGGTCAGTCACACACACACACACACACACACACACACACACACACACACACACACACATTCCTGTACGTGCCTCATAGTGAGGTCCAGGTTAATTAACTGCTGGAGTGAGGACCACCCTTTCTACTATACTTAGAGACAAATGCATGATAGATTCCAACACTGGGTGGCACCTTGATGCCAGTTTCCACCTCAGTTCCTTAAAAAACATGAAGGAAATTTTTAATTTTTTTAACCCAGTTTACCACTGGAGTGGGGACCTTTTCAAGGGGGCGCTATTGAGTTCGTTTCAGAATGGACTAGTTTAACTACCTTCTATTTTTAGCATTAAATTTAATAATTTTAATGTTCTAGTATAACACATTATGTAAAAATAAGTCAGTATGGACATTTTTAAAAAGAATTGCCCAGTCTGAGATTCATAGATAAGCAGAATACCTAAATTTATGGAGGTGACCATCGATTTGACTGCTGTACAAACATACATACTTACTGGTCAATTACTGCTTTACTAAAGTAAATATAACTTGAACAATCCACATAAACAACTTTCAACAAAGCTGCAGGGATATAAAAGAAATCCATTTTATTTATTCATTTAGCTGAAGCTTTTATCCAAAGTGACTTACAATTGCTATACATGTCGGAGGTCGGAGGTCGCACGCCTCTGGAGCAATTAGGGTTAAGTGTCTTACTCAGGGACACAGTGGATGGGTCACAGTGGGGGATTGAAGTGCGCTATCACCACCCCCAAATCCATTGTTTATTAAGCATAAACAGAAATAAATTATTCCAGAAACAAACTATTGCCTCTTGTACAACTCAAAAAATACAGTAAAGTGTACTGTATCATAACTACTATTAATTCACCAATTAAAGTGAGGGCCAATATGAAGAAAATTGATATTATCAGACAATCAATTGAAAACAAGGAACACTGTCTTGCAAAGTACAATGAAAACAAAATAATCCTTTGAATTTTTTACAACTGGTTTTGAGTTTTAGGAACGCTGAACACTAGCTTATTGTGGCTAGTCTTGCCTTTTTACAGTACATCATCTGACACTATATGGTCCAGGATAGATTAATTTCAGATTATTATCAATCAGTAGTTCAGTAGGAGACTGTAAATGGCAAAAACATTTGGCTTTTGAATACTTAAGAATACGTGAAGCGCCGCTTTGTCTAAGGGTCACAATTGTGTTGTACACAAAGTTTGACATCTTTCCATGACCCTTGAGCCAAGGCCTTTTCTCCAGGCACTCTACATCGCAGTTCTCTCTACCTCACTCCATGCTCTCTTGCTCTCTCATGTTTGACTTTGTTCTTCTGTGGAAGCCTGGGGGTCTCATCTACAACAGGAACAGACAAACATCATTTCCTATTAGTCGATGAAACCTCAGGTATAATGGATTTTTAAAAGTGCTTTAATTAAATGTGACAACCAAGAACTGACAGATGATTGCAACTCTCTTACCATGGGACAAAAAAGGTTAATTGTTAAAGGTCACAAAAACACATTTAATATTTACCATCATCAGTGTTAGGGCAGTAACGCTTTACTGTAATAATATTACTTTTCCCTGTAACTAGTAGTGTAATTGTAAAGTGAAGTGTAGTTACTTTTCTAAAAAACTCGTTACTAAACGCACCATCCTTGACATGAATCCACGACTGTGCGGCAGCTCAGCGGTACCGTATGTAAAGACCATAGCATACTCGCTGTTGTGAATACGATATTAGTTAATAACTCGGGAGAGATGCTTTGTTTGGGGGCAAAGGCAGGGTGGTAGTGAAAGCAGTGTTTCCCATAATTAGCCTATAATTTGGTTAATTGTCAACGCTGACCACCACATTAATTAAAAATTTTTTTACTAGGCATATTTAAAATCATGTTTGACCGAGGAGCTGTATTGAGGAGCAAATATTCGTGCAGCACCTCCTGGCTCGCGCTCTCTTTCTCTCTCGTGAACACCGCTGCACAAACTTGTCCAAAGTCTGTGTTCGGTCCCGTTCATACAGTGTTTACTGGGAGGCTGCTGAGCGCGGTGTCGTTGCACGCTTGGCTCCTGTTCTGGTGCCCAAACCAGCGCCGCTTGCTGAGGCCTAAAACCTCCAGTGCCTGAGTAGAGGTGTAACGTTAAACACAAAACACTCCCAGGTGCTGCGAGCTCCCAGTCCGGGCTGAGTCAGCTACGACCACTAGGCTAACTGAGCTTATAAGATCACAGCAGCTACTTAATGGCACTTAGCAGTTACTTTAGCAACAAGTAACACATCTGTTCATCAGCAACCTCCGTAAATCACAGAGAGTTGAGACAGAGTAGCTGGGGGACACGGGGAACTTTAATGTTATTTTATGAGGCCCAACAGTTACTGTGTTGCCTTAGTAGACAGCAGAGGACGCAGACAGAACTAAATAGATTGTGATCTGTAGCACGACAGTAATGATCTCTCTGAAAAGATAGATCGTGGAGACATTTTAATCGTCCACAATCTAATATTGCCCACCCAGTAATAAGTAAAGTAATACTTTAAAGGAGTAATAACTAGTAATATATAATAATTTCTGAGTAACTTGCCCAACACTGACCATCATAAATTAGAAAAGAGTTACAAACAAACACTCAAACAAAAGTACACATAGACTTACAGTAAGAGTAAAGTAGTACTCTACTTGTCTTTTGACTGAGTTAAAGTATGAAACAAAGGCAGGAGTTTTTGTATATTTCATAATTAAAGCAATTTAACTCACCATCAGTGAGTTCTCCTTATCTCTAACTCAGCGCAGGGGTCAGAACCTCCATCTGAAAAACAAGAGCATACAAAAAGTAACACCTCATACTATATAGTGTGGGTAAGGTTGCATCCTTCTGTATTTGTTAACTGTTAGAGAGTTGAAAAGTGTTTCAGGTTTTAAATGGACAGCATCCTTACTGCCAAAAACATATTATCCACTGGTCTTCCTCTCTTCACTGTGTGTGGGGTGGAGGTGAAAGTGAGACTTTCACCTGTGAAAAACAGCAACAGTCATTTATTATTACTCTGTGCTCTAATAAAAACCCAAGTTGCAGAGTACAAAGACTGCCGGTGAATAAAAGGAGTTTTAAAATGACTTGTCTTGACCTTCCAATGTTACTGGCCTGTATGGATCAGTTACACCATTTTCACTATACTAAAACTAGAGCAATTACACACCCAATACCTCCTTTGCGAGCATTTTCTTTCCTTTCTTCATTTTCTTTTTGTTAAACATATTTCACATACTTGTTAGTGTTGTTTAGATTTTTTTATATAACACTCGGCTAATTTTGTTAGGCCTTTTTTAAATAATGACTGCACATACAGTATAAACACCGTCCGTGGAAATTGTGGTACTGACAGAGGATTAATCAGATAATTGCACACTAATAATTATACGAGGACTGAATATCAACTGCTCTTCTAAAGGTGTAACTGTTTCTACAGTGTATATATTCGCGCAACATCTCTCGCTCACTCTCTCCGTCTCTCATGAACAGCGCTGCACAAATCTCTCCAACACAAAGCTGTCAATGTCAGAGACCCACCTTAGTTGGTATAGGGAATTAAACCTGAACGTGTCACTTACAATCGATGCCGTAGCGGTGAGAGTCGAGCTTTCAGTACAACGTAAACAAAGAAAGCAGCATGTAACCTTTCAGACCCACCGCACAGAAAGAGGCCCATTATTTCAGCGACTTGCGCCGCGCTAGGGCACTTTGTTGCTGTGTAGAGGATCGCGCACCGCACGCCATGCCGCAGTCGAAGTACTTTTGTGCTGAACCCAGCGCAAATCGCTTCTTTTCTGAAAGGTTCTTTATGGAAGAACATAGTCCTTTCAATACCTTCCGTCACTGAACATTTAACGTTACATCTGTGTTGAAAAAATGTTGCCAGGTGTAAAACACTACATAACATCAGGAGCTTTTAGACTTTCAGGACTGTAGGCTACCAATTACCTGCATTTCAGTTATTAATAACACTGCATGAATGATGTCTAGATGAGAGTTGATGACAACAATTCAGTTTATTTCCCTCTTATTAACAGTTTCCCCTGGGGAATAAATGAAGTTAATATTCCTCTTATAGTAATAATACTTACATATTATAGAAACACAATTGTTAATGTAATTTAATATTAAAAATCAACTTAAGTTATTGCTAGTGAAAATTAATGCATAATCGTGAAACCGTGATTATTTCTCTGACAATAATCTGTAATCGTTGCATCCCTATTGATGATAGGGCTGGGAAATCTGTCACAATTTAGGGTGCTATGATTACATAACAATAATAATTCCCAATGTATCTTTGTGGGTATAAAATTTTTGTTCCATAGAATTACTTTATGAATGACCACATTCATAACAACCTAATCATTAAAACCAATATAATAATCACTTATTTCCATTTGCTTTATTAATACAATCAAAGTACACAAACTGACAAGTATGTAACTGAATTGAATCTTGACTAATAAACTGTTGACATCTTTGAACAGACTCCACTTATTTTTCAGTAGGTCGTTTACTTGTCATCCACTCTCAACGTTTTACCCACATTACGACTGTCGCAGCAAGAACTGCATGGTATCTACAACTTTGCAAGTTGACAAGGCACAGCAACAAACTGACTGCAGTCCCACTGACATCTTGCTCTCAGGATTGGCCAAAAAGTTGCAGTCTCTGCCTGGGACTCTACTTTCATTTAAAAAAGAAATCTGCCATCAACTTTTGTCTGAGAGAACAGAACGAGCAGGGACTGATTTGAGTTCATGCTCAGGACAAAGGCTTTTTTACATAGTCATTTTAGTAGTATAGTGTTGAATAATACAAATAAATTATGTTAATAACTGACAATTAACGTAAAAGTTAATTTACCTTGAAGAAATAGTTTTTTGGGGGAATACATGTATTGTCTTTCTTTCTGAGGGTTTATTGAGAAGATCAAATCACTTTAGTGTGCATGCTAAATATAAATAAATCTATATTATCTAAAGCTAATTGGCTGCTGGCTCTAACTCCATATTTAGTGAATAGACATGACAGTCCTTTACTTTTCTCATCCAGCACTTGGCGAGAAAGTGAATAAGCACACGTACCAAAATGTTGCAACTGTTCTAACATGTCATAATATAACATCCATAACTTCACTAGAAGTTTTAGTCCGTGTACACGGTGACAGCGTGCGTGCTGGTCAGGACTGGTAAATGAAACTGTTGAAACACGAGAGACTGGCTTGTGCTGAGTAGGGATGCAACGATTACAGATTTTGTTGGTACGATTATAGTCAGAGGAATAATCACGGTTTCAAGATTATCATGATTATTATGCATTAATTAATTTAACAACACTAGTAATTACTTAAGTAGGTTTTTAATATTACATTAACAATTATAAAACTATAATATTTAAGTATTATTATTAATATAAGAGGATATTAACTTTATCTCCCAGGGGAAATTGTTATTGGGGAGGGGAATAAACTGAACTGTTGTCATCAACTCTCATCCACATGTATAAGTTTTAGTGAAAATGATGATGAATGTTCAATGATGAAAATTGAGAACATGTCTCATGCAGCGTTATTAATAACTGAAATGCAGGTAATTGGTAGCCCACAGTTCTGGAAGTTTATAAGCTCCTGATGTTCTGTTAGTGTTTTACACCTGCAACATTTTCTCAGCACAGACAGGAGGAAGCAACAGGATGTTAAATGTTCAGTGACTGAAGGTCGGCAGAGGACAACGTTCTTCCATAAAGAACCTTTCACAAAAGAAGTGATTTGCACTGTGTGGAAGCTGGGTTCAGCGCAAAAGTTCAGCTAATTTGACTGCTGCTTGCGTGCGAGCTCGTCAAGCTTTGGCGTGGCACAAGCCATTGAAAATAGGCCTCATAGCGCAGCGGTGCTGTCGGTTACACCTGCTTTGTTTGTTTATGTTGTACTGAAAGCTCGATCTCAGTGCGACAGCATTGATTGTAAGTGTCACAATTATATTTAATTCCCCAACAACCTGCCACATTATTTAAGTTATTATGTATTACCTTTACTTACTTATTTTAAAACAATTGTAAAATGGGTCGCCAAATTTACTTGGGCAGCTGTTAATCTACCTGGACGGCCCGCCCAAGTAAACCCTATGTGTGGGAAACGCTGATTAATTAACCGTGACGTTTTAAAGCACGGTTAATAGTGAAATCCAGCAATCGCTACATCCCCAGTGCTGAGCAATATCCCATTCAGTCAGCTGTTTACCCCAACCCCTTGTAAAATGTAGCTTTTCCACTGCAGGCTATATAAATCCATCTCGCCTGATGTTAGCAGTAAGATTACTGGCAGCTAAAGTTCAGGAACAGCGTTAAGATTAAGTACTGTAAAATAATCACAACTTCTAAGCCTGCAGATATTCAATTTCTGATTAGGGCTGTACGTAACGATTATTTTTCAAGTCAATTAATCAAACGATTATTTTTTCAATTACCCAATTAATCTAACGACTAATTTTCTGTATTCTAAAAGGAAAAAAGTTGCCTATTACTCGATTAACATACCAATTTATCCAAAATAAATATCAAAAACATTCCTAATAAATAAATCTATATTTTAATCATCCTGATGAAGCACATTAGAATAATGTGTGTGTATATATATATATATATATAAAAAATAAGAATAGCAGCAAATCTTAAAATGAATCAAATTTCCACGCCATTGATGTGTTGTGATAACAACAATAACAGACATTAATTATTAGGCTACTTTACTTAAAACTTTTAATGTTTTTGACATGGATTAATTTCAATATTGAGTACTGCAGTATGATAATCAAATGCATTTCTGCATCAGTGTCGGGCAAAGAAAACAATTGAAAGGATTCACAGACTGTACAGACAGTCACAGATCGTCTGTAATGTTAGTTTCAGCTGTTTTCTCGCTCATATGTGGCCGTTAATTAAAACAGAAAATATGAAACGGCCGAACGTTCGATGTCTTGAGGTGTAACGTTATGCTACAATGACAGCAGCGGGGCAAAAATTACTTTTAACATGAAAGCGATTAAGAAATACTACGTGTCCTTGTGCTGATGATGTGCCATGCTCGTGTGGCGACAGAAAGTAAATAGGATTTGCGGTGCTGCCGTCAGTGCTCCAGGATACTTTCGCTCACGTGTTCATGCTGCTTCACGTATTCGTGGACAGTTGTGCTGCAGTGAAGCTTTTCTCAGATCACAGAGACTGTCTGTCTAAAATACTTCCAAACTTTAGCTTGTCCGGGGGAATCCTGCCAACACTGGATCGACTATGTTGACGAATTGCCCGAGCCCTAAATTCCTGTTTATATTATCGGTCTGCAGCTGATATTGTTTCATTTAAAAATGTCAGCTTTAACGCTGAATCACAACTACTACTACTTTTACAGTGAAGAAAGAAGTCAGTGTCAGGATGGAGTAAAGAGTTTGTAAAGGCACATACCTGTGTTTGACTCATAGCGATCTCTTCCTGGACCTAACACCAATGAGAATAATGAAAATGATGTCATGTTATACTCTGAACAAAATATAAAAATAACAATGTGTAGTAGTAATATTAAGTGATACAGTACTGCTGCATTTCATATCATATAATACATCTCTCTACACAGTGAGAGAGAGAGAATAAACACATGTTTTAAGTGAATTGGACACCCTGTCATAAATACGAGGTTACGTCTCAAGTCTCCAGTGAGACAATGTGCCATTTGTGCTTTGTTTCCAGATACTGCTTTATACTCAGTAGCGACTATTCAGGACACCTGTACAATCTACTGCAATTCTGTACAACAGGTTCAGTTTCTGACCATTTTGTCAGGAATGTGTAAATTCAGTTCTGTTTATTACTAAGCCTATAGTTCAAGGTGTTGTTACACTGAAAGGTGATTTTGCTCTCCCTGTTTTATATATGAGTAGGGCGGAATATTAAACACATCTGAATATGATGTAGTCCAGTACAACATTTTCACCAACTATGACCTCAGTGCTAAAAAATTTAATTCACTTAACACCTATATGACTGTGTCAAAAAAGAAAACTGATTAAAGGCATCATTAAAGTAGACTTTGTGGCAGCACTGTTGTAATGGATTGTATAAGACTTTACAGGTGTACTTTATAAAGTAAGTGTTACTTTTTGAAAATCCGTTGCAGGCTGCGGGCAGATTTTACCTAATTTTATAAACAAACTGTTGTCAGGAAACATCACGTTTTCTTCTTTTTATGGTGGCAACTGTTATTCAGCTCTCCCTGTCAGAAGCTTTCCCTCCACTAACTAAACAGACAGTCACAGAGGTGGGAGTGAGACAGGCAATAGGAAAGGGTACTAAATCAATCAAGTAGTAGCTGATAAATATTTAATTTTCACACAATAAGCCATGAGAACAGAGCTGCTTTGGGATCAAAATAATAATAAAAAGAGACTGTGTTACATCTACTTCAGTGTCCTCTCTCAGGTGTAATGTTGGCTCACCTGTCTTGGGCCACATCCGCACTACTACGTTTCTGTTTAAAAGGAGATTTAAACCAAAAACGATCTCCGTCCCCAGCAGCATTTTATCTGCATAACAGAATGGATCTCTGTCTCTGAATACGTGAAGTGGCCGTCCACATAGCCTACACTGAGCATGCGCGTGCCGGTATAAACAGGAAGCACATTGTCTACTTCGCATTAGTAGAAGATTTGTTAAAAGAAGAAGGTACTACTACAGACTAAAAACCACACCAGAGATAGTTCTGCATGGATCTAACACGAGGTGGAATTGTTACTGACAGTAACAGGGGAGTTAAAAGCAGCTGTGGCAGCAGAAAAAACAGACTGGGATTTGTCGCAAAGCAAATACGGCCTCATGCACAGTAGCCTATAAGTGTATTGTTATTTACACAGAAAAAAATATTTACAATTTAACAGCACTATTCTGTTGCATCTGCACTAAATCCATTAAATATGCACTTCTGCCATCATGTTAAACCATGTACCTATCAATTGTGTGCTGGAGATCTGACTGGAGCGGTTCCGGAGCCACTCAATTAAAGTTAGAGCTTGCTGTTTTCTTCCATTCAAAATAATATTGCACATTAACATCATTTGACAAGAAGCAGAAATATCTATAAATCTTACCTGCTCTGAAATTGCCTCTTGCGTCGGTTAAGATGAAGTCTTCGTCTTTAAATTTTTCAAACAAATCTCTCCAAACTCCTGCTAACAAATCTCTCCAAACTCCGGCCACTCTCTGTTTTCTTCTGCTCCTCTCTGCTGCGCTGCTGAAAGGTTGGGGGAGGGGGGCAAGTTCCAGGTGCAGGGGGGCGTGTCCCTCCGCTGATGGCCCATTAATTAAGCCTGAGCCGAGAGGCTGCAAAGTCACCACAATATTCTCCACTTCTCAGCTCTGACACAGAGGCCTGTGTTACAGGCTACAGTGTTTAAAATAAAGCAAGAAACACATTTATCAGTGACAGTAGAAACACCAGGCTTTACATACTGTTAGAAGTAAAATTTCATATATTTAAAATTTTACTTAACTAAAAGTATAAAAGTACCATAAGCAAACACCGTAATTTAATTGTTGACTGTATTTTATTCATCTAAATCTGAAATGCAGCTAGTAACAAAATCTATACAATTTTAGACGTATAAAGAAAAATGGTGGTTTTAGAGAGTCTTGAATCTGTGGAACTGTACAGGCCACTTTGTGTGTATTTGTATATGGGGCAGCGGAGGTTTAAGGGGGACCTCAACACTGTCAGGAGAACTGTCTGTGTTCCCTCCACATTTGCCCAGGTTCTGGCTAAGACATCATAGGAAGAGACTTGAGGGAGATGCTTTGCTCAGTCTTATTAATGGCTCTTTTTTGTCCTCAGGAGATAAAAAAGGATGCCCTGAGCACATTTTGAATACTGTACCTTCTGTTTTAAGTGCAACAACTTTTCCAGTGCACCATCCAGCTGATAGTTACTTTAAATATAGTACAATGGTCCCTTACTCAAGAAAAGTAGAAATAGATATTTATCACAAGTCCTCAAAAAGGTATAAAAGTATTCCATAGTCATAGTGAATATACTTAAGTATCAAAAGTAAAAGTGCTCATTCTGTATGACATTGTAGTACCTCAGTTCATGCATGCATTCTGTCCTTAATGAATTAATCTCCAAACATCAGTGGTTGGTGTTCCAGTTATGCTGGCTGTAACAAAGTTGTGCAATATTTTCATTGACAAATAATTATTTTTCTTCATCTCAGTAACTTTATAGGGTTCAGATAAACAGCAATAAATACAATACAGGATTTAAAAATGTAGGGGAGCAAAAGTATAAAGCCCCTAAAATGAAAATACTTAACATTTACAGGAATCATATGTGAGGTTTCTTTGGCTCTTTCTCTGGTCTCATATGGTGCAATGTTCAGGGTACTTAAATTAAATTAGACTTATTCAAGATCAGTTAGAGATCTCTTGTTTTGATTGAGGAAGATATAAATGAGATGATATGTGGTTGTTTCTCCTGAGTTGAATTTAAGACGTAGGAGAAAAAATCCTTTGGTCTCACCTTAGTATAAAAGTAAATATTTTCTATTGAGGAGAAATTAAAGAAACACCTATATCTCTTCTTGGATTTTGCTTTTCTCTGTGCAAGCACCTGCAATGTAATCAAATAATCTACAAAGTAACAAATGTGAATCATTTTGGTTGGGAGGGTGGAGGTGGGTGCCATTATAAATGTACCTGAGCTGCCATTTCAGTGACTGACATGTTTTTATATCTTATGTAAAACAGGACATGATCCTGGATCATAGTAAAGATTTTCTCCAAAAATGATTGTTGTAAAACTCTCCCTGCTCTCTAAAACCATTTTTAAGGAACGAAGGCAATCCTTAGTGTCATTAGTCATTAGTATGCAGGCCATAATTTTCCTTTGGTGAGTTATTGTGTAGGCACAGAGTCTCTAAGACCAGCTACAGGTACCACTGAGGAACTAGGAGAGCAAAGAGGACCCAGGAGAGAGGTCATGTCCGTGTGACCGAGCTGCGTGATGTGGCTGTGGAGGCTGCTCAGTGACTACCATAGTATTTGACAGGCTGAGGTCTTCTATCTTGTCCCATTCAGTAGCATAGCCAGGAACACCAGACAGGACACTGAGGATTCTCCTTGGAGTCAAACAGGTTGGTGACCAGCTGTCCAAAGTGCTGCCAAAGTTAGATCTGTCCAAATACAGGTGGAGATGCCGCTCACTCCAGTGGCTCCCTGAACATCACACCCTCTGGGCCTACTGTATCCCTGCCCTGTAGCTGCTGAGGCAACTAAAGCTGTGCACGCTTTCACCATCTATTGTATGTGTGTTTTAATGAATAAGAGGTTACAAGAAACAACATTTATTTGTTAAACACAGTAGCAATATCTGTCCAAGCACTGTCCTCCAAAAGCATGTATATTTAAGTTTTCATGTTCCCTCTCAGGTCACAGTGCTGTAACCACATGTGTAAATATTGTGAGCAGGGCCAGTGTGGAGACAGCTGAGGTGAATTAACGCAAAGTAGTCTGTGTGTTGGAAAAACTAAATTCATAAATCATTTAGGTCAAATTTTTCAAATCATGTTCCTGAAAATAAACTTTCCCCTCCTCTCCTAGCTCCCTATGTAAGCTGTCACCAAGCTGTGTCTGGTTACCATAAAAAAGATCACAGATCAAATTATTACTTTACAGTTGACTCTTTTTTTTGCTGGTCTCTACAGACAACTCTCAATTTTAGATTTATTTTCTGCTGTTCTTCTCTTACCCTGGGATTACTTGCTTTAGATAGATCTTGGCTTCATTACATTTTTCCTTAAGAGACATTTAGGTTTCACAGATCAGAATTCATTAGCCTAGCTCAATAGCTCAGCAAAAAAACAGGTCTGATAGATGCACGAATCTGAGGCTTGAAAGAAGGCCTGAAGTGCTTGGGTTATGGCTAAAAAGACCAACTCATTCTTATTTACAGGTCATCCAATACTGCATAGACTACTATTACACAACCCTGAAGATGGGTTTGTAAATGTATTTATTCTTGGTTTTAAGATTTTATATCAGCATGACAATTATAATCTGTTCTGTTAGCTAGAGTAAGCATAACACAGAATAATAAAAATAATAAAAGGTAATAACAATGAGATACAGAATAAATTATTTTTAAATGGGAAATAAAACAGAAATGAAATATTGACATTACAAATTAATTATAGGATTTGCTATGGACAAATAAATTATGTGTAGAAAATATATAAAGATAAGAAATGAAATGTGACGTGGGGGCTGAATGCACAATAAAAAGCCCATTCTGATGATATGTGATATATATATGTATATATATATATATATATATATATATATATATATATATATATATATATATATATATATATATATATATATATATATATATGTATATATGTATGTATATATATGTATGTATATATATGTATGTATATATATGTATGTATATATATGTATATATATATGTATGTATATATATATATATATGTATATATATATGTATGTATATATATGTATGTATATATATATATGGTATATGTGACAAGTGCAGGGATTACATAAGGGAATAAAAGTCCAGTTTGATGACCCCTTCTCTTAGCAAAAGTGATTTTATAAGTAAATATCCTCAGCCAGATATTGTTAGAAATATACAATTAAATGAGCACCATCATATTTTACAATCACAGGCTGTAAAACACCCTTTCTCAACAGAAATAGTGGCCTTTGGATTCATTTCACGGCCGACTGGCAGAAATTTGAAATGGAATCAAGCCATCTTACGGCAGACGGCCCAAACAGAAATGGAACGCGCCCAGTCCACTTACGTGGATCGAGAGAGGGAGGGGGAGCGAGAGGGGGGGAGAGAGAGATACGTTAATCAATTGAAGCTTTGGCGTTTTGTGAACATGAGCTTATTAACTTATTAAATCGCCATAAAACAATCAAATTCGGAGCAAAGCAAAGCTAGTGAAGGTTAAAGTTACGTTAGCAGCGATGCTAACGCGCAGCTGCACCTGCAAGCAGACGTGAGCAGCGTGAGGACCGGACAGGATGATGGACAGAACTTTAAATCAGGGAGAGATACTGGTGGAGGAGAAAGTTAATAGATGATTTAAAAGTGCTTTATTTAAATGGACACGGAGCTGCCAGAACAAGAAGCAGGGGAGAGGATGCTGAGGCTATATAGATGTTTAATTAACAGAAAGGTAAGCATGTGTTTTTATTAACGTTATTCCGTAGTGTTGGATGTTGATTAATTATCTTGAGAGAGTGATGAGCAAGTGGGCGTTTGTGCTGTGAAATTATAAGAGTTGACTAACTTAATGCAAACTTATGTAAGTCCCATGTTGTGGGCATGATGCCTGAATGTAATATTTTGGCTTATTGCTGTAAATACAGTGGTGGAAGAAGTACTCGATTTTCCTACTTAAGTAAAAATGCAGATACCACATAAAAAAGTTACTCAAGTAAAAGTAAAAAAGTACCTGGTTTTAAAATATACTTAAGTAATCAAAAGAACTACACATCAAAATCTATACACAGTATTTATTTTTAAATTCACTCCAGACAGCATTATAAGTTACAGTGAATCACAATAAGGAAGAGTACAAGTGGATATTTCCTATACTGTGGGAGGATTAGCCTGTGTTCTGCTCTTGTAGTAGTTTCCCCCTTCAGACCGACCTCATTTTGGACTTTGGGCATGTGCACGGGTTGTGTTGGACAAGGAGGTCAAAACTAACTGAAACACTTCTCAATTCACAATCTCATCAAAAATCCACATGTTAACGTCTGCACCTCTGATAAAGTGCAACTCACAGTCCCACACAGAGCGAGGTTGGCTTCAGTTTTCACATGTTTATATTGCAAAGCTCTAGCAGCTACGTTAGCACTCGGCCACAGACAAAAACAGAGCTGCTGCACAGTCACACCTGACACAACAATGCTCTCACTACAGTCCTCCCTCTTTAATTAGCCTGAATAGAAACCTCTTCTAGAAAAGTCCAGAGCTGATTTGAACAGACCTCTGGGCACTAACTCAGTCCTCATGAAGTCTGTTAAGACCGGGGGCCAGTCTGCCGGGTCATTTGGTGAAGCAGCAACTGTTCCGTTAGGGTCTGATGCTGGCTGTTCATCTCTGGCTGCGCTGGTAATGTCTGAGGCTGCCTGTGTTTCACCTGGGTCTGTGGGACCCGCTAAAGACATCCGGACCGGGTCTGTGCTCGCACTGACTGAGGCCGGATGTGGATCAGCTGGGCTGACTGGCTGGAGTCTGTTCTTGTACTGGCTGATGATCCCAAATTTACTCCACTGACAAACTTAAGCAAAGCCCTTGTCAATGTAATGCAAATCCACTGCTTCCCATCTTGCATTAGTCCAGAGTTGGAAATAAACTTCACTGTCTTGTTTTAAAATGATGTATGAGGAGTGCCCTCACATCCTGTCTGGACTGGTTCACAGATGTTTATTGCTGGAATGCGTGAATAAAATTTTTTAGGCCGTGAATATGAACGCATTTCCACGTGCAATGCGGTCATCTTTTCCGAGCTGCAGTTTATAAACACTGTGGCCCGTCTGCATCTATCAAACATAATAAATAGTTGTATTTTTACTCAACATTGTTCTGTCACAGTCTGGCAAGAAACCAAGACACGACAGACAAGAGCTGCGCTTCTCAGCTGGTTAGCAGGACAGACAGACAGAAATTCACAGCAGCTACACATTAACTGAACATTAGGCTACTGTTACTGTTACCTGCTGACATCAGACTCTGAGAGGAGCGAACACAAGTTTACCTGCCTGCTGTTCCTGCACTTCACTCTCACTGAGCTTCTTTCTCTTCTCGTGCCTAGAAGGATAGTCCCTCTTCATCCTCTCATTTGACACGACAGTGAGGCGGGGCCGTCCACCTCTGCGCAAGACTGACTTTATTACTATCCCTGTGTAAGCCGGTGTCGCATCTGCTGGGTTAATTCGCGCAGAGTCAGCTTTATTAGTTCACATTTGTTTTTCAGTGCTGCAACCGGGGTGAGATCAGTGCTATCCACTGGCCCACCGTGCCGCCCAACAATGCACCAATATATGCACATATTGTTTATTGTGTCACTGTTGTTTAGTTTCAGCACATGTATTACCTGTGTGCCAGGTACTGTCTATAACCTACTGGGTTCAGTAGCTGACAGATGTTGTGCAAAGTTAACGTTAGTTACCACTGAAAGGAAGTATTTCCTGCCTGCGGGAGTGTAAGCATTCAGTGGTGACAGCGGAGCTTCGAGTTCACCAAAGTAGATGAAAA